ACCAGTTTAACAAAACATGTTTTGCTGGTGTGAATGGGGTATAAGTCACTTATCAATGACTTGCTGAAGTCTAAAGAAAACGAGCTCTATTTAAATCAGAGTGTAAAGTTGATGTCATATCGAAAGCGTGGTATCCATCAAATGGCCCCTTCAAAATTGGATAGTTCAGGACGTAGACACAAGTACAGCTGACCCACACCTGTTTCAAGAGTGGCAGTACATGAGTGTTCTTGGAAACCATTTTTGTGTGATTCGAACGAATAATAACAAATCAATAATAGCCCAGTAGCAACCGTGACTGTCTCAACAACGGTCCAATTAGGCTTGACTCGCCCTAATTGCCCGTCCTCGTCCGGTGCTTAAAATATTTGAACAATTTTGAGAGCCAGTCATGTAATCACGAAGCGCAATATTGAAGTCGTCTTCCTCTGTGATTAATTTCAGGACAGCAGCCTTTTCGAAAATGTTTTTTCAACTGATCATTCGTTTTATTTACTTTTCACATCCGCACGTCATTATGCATATTCTCCATACTGTTCTCCATACATTTGCTGTGGTGTATTATGGAACAGAGAAGGAGAATTTGTTGAAAATCAGGAGCTTCTTTAGGTGGCGATCATTTCCTTTATTCTCGTTACTTTTATGTATGATTCGTGGGTGATATTGTAAGGAGAAATTTGATACTAGTCACTCTTAGGGATCGAAAGGTTAATAAAAATAGGTACCCAATGGGTACTTGTGTCTGCTACGGTGGAATGGAATCTGCTGTAGGCGCCTATTTTTTTGAATACTGTTAAACTGGCTAGAAACATCTCCCGAAAGGCAGTGCTTTGGAATGCTCAAGGCATCACAAAGATGGGGAACTGAAGTGGTGAATGTCCAATGCTCCAGTTGGAGGTAAGGGATCATCAATATCAATCATCAATATCATGATTGTGATTACATCTTCATCACTGTTTAAATAACTTTTATTGTGTTATGGTACTGCAAAGACTCTAACATTAAAGTGAACGTTTCTTTTATTTTGTAGCAGAATATTTAAATCAAAGAATTGAAATACAACAGCCAATAGTTTTTAACAAAATTGAATAGTATCTGAAGTCTTTGTAACACAAGACAACTGTAATGCAAACGCAGTAGCAGTTTTGCAAAGCAAGAAAAAGTCTCTGGTTGTAATAATTCCTAGGAAATCATTATGTTTTTCATTTAATGGTAATATGCAATCAATTTGGAACAAAACATAGGTAAAACAAAGTTAGTATATTTACATTGTTGTGTTCAAGTAACTAATAGGTGAATATACTTTTAAAAGTATTTTGAAGTGTTTGTCTTTTAATTGAAATGAAATGTATCAGAAATGTAACGCAACAGAAATAATCAGCAGGATTAATGAGATCCACAGAATTGTTCCCAAAGTGTCACCTTAATGGCTCCATGTGGGTCCACAAGATAGGCAAACAACTTTTTTTTTTCACCATCATCTGTCTTCACTTTTTTTGTTGATGACATCTGAATAAGTTTGGCTTTTTTGTGATGGTGATACTTTGATTTGTGTTTGCAGCTGAAATTGATTGGATATTGTTGGCACTTGGCAACTCAATTCTTGAAAAAGGTATTTCTTTTGTAGGCTCTAACAGTACATTGTTATTCATCAGTACTGTGGTTGCATCTCCTGCTCTTTCAATTCTAAAATTTCGAAGTTTTATTGGAGATTTCTTTTTGCTCATATGATCAAAGTGTTCCTGTTTACTTCCGGAGAAGCAGACTCCTCTTACTAAGCCATCGGTGGTTTGTATGGACATGTCAAAGTAAGATGTCTTGCTACTTTTTTTAGTTGGAGACACATTGTGTAAGAAACCAACAATCTCTTCTTTTTGTTCTTCCATTGCCTGCAAGTGAAAAAGAACCTTTTGAGTTTGTTTCATAGCAATATAATGTATTTCAAAATTTCTAATAACATAGGGAGCACTGCATCAAAAGACGACAACAACTACTACAAATTTAACTATAACAACAAAATGCCAAAAAAAAAAAACTTACCTAGGTGAATTATAATTTTTTATTTGTTTACTTATTCATTATAAATCAATCAACAACAGCAGCCTCTACAGACAGGAAGGAATAACACTAAATGAAGGTTGGGGAGTGCAGTATACTGCAAACTGTTTATTAGATGATACTAATACTGAAAATCAAAGTGAACAATTACAAGAAATAGAAAAGAGCAGTGGTTCCAATAAGCAAGATGGAAATGACAGTAATGATAATGATGATCAGTGGACTGAAGATGAAGCAGAAACACCTACTGGTGTTACTGACACCATGTTGACCAACACACATTATTTTGAAGACAGTCTGCCTCAACGTATTTTAAATGTTGCACCAGGAGAGGGAAACAAACCCTTAAGTATATTCAGAGATCAATATTCTGAAGAGTTAGCATATCCTGGTATATTCCTTGGTCAAAGTCGACCAGAGAATAAAGATAGACTAGCTAATGTTCATTATAGCGACATTTGTAAATCTGAACTAAGACGATCAGATAGGAGAGCTGCTATGTGTGTTGAAAATATATTCTTCAAAACAAAAAAGCTTCAAATGAAAATTCTCTTAAGAAAATCACAAGTTGCACTTAGGAAGTGCAAAGGAAATAGCAAATCTTCAAATGCTGGACAGTTGAAATGTGAAGGAGCAATTGAGCGCTTGATTCATCTTGATGAAGGATTCCAATTTTTGAAAGCATTGATACCTTACAACTGTATGCAAAGATCTGTTCATAGCGATGCTTAGATAGTAATTATCATGAAGAATACTAGTTCTAGGTTTCTCTCCTCTGTATAAAATCACCACAGCTTTCGCACATGTTTGTCTAGTGATAGATGTTTTCACGTGTGTAGTGAAATACATGTATCTTCTGCCAAATCCATTTCGTAAACAGGGCATATTGTATCCCGCATTGGGCTTTGTAATCCCCAAGTGAGACTTAATAATTCCCTTAACGGGCTTTTCATTCCCCAAATGGGGCTCAATTGTTCCCCGAAGGGACTTTGTATTCCCCAAATGGGGCTCATAAAGCTTATTTTGCGTCCTGAGCACTTGCAAAATGGCCGGGCGGTGATCGTGTTGGCGCCGAGAAAGCTTCAGTCGATTTACAAATTCAAAGCATCTTTCAAAACCTTTCACTCGGCCGGAATGACACCCAGTGCGAATGCTGTGGCAAAATGAGAAAACACCTTTTAAGAAATCCATTACAAATATGAAAAGCGAAAAGATCACTCACCTTGCAAGCAATAATACACCCTGGCTTGACGAACGAAATCAGGACGATACGATGCAACCCAAACGTTTTACGAAAGCACATGGTTTGACGGATTTGACTTTGTCCTTTTCTCAGATTTGATTGGTTCCGAGTCTTCCCTGAAATCGGTAGTTCGCCACGACCTCTTTCCTTTGTCCTTTCCTCGTATCCGATTGGATAGATTATTCCCCTGAGGAACGAAGTTTGCACCCGAAAGTATTACAGGCCGAAAGTATTACAGGCCGAAAGTATTACCCCTCCGTGCATACTTCATGTATCGTGTCCCCAAATGGAATCCGCAGTGAAACGTCAAGAGTAAATCCGAGATCTTGTCGTATATGAATTAGCTGGTCGCGCGTTTTACAGCTTATCTAAGTGTCTGCATGCATTTTAAATGCAGCAGACACAAAAAGTGGGTGGGCTTCAAGAGCAGCAAATTTCATTATGATACAAAGCAAATGCTACATTTCTCAAACTTCATCTCCCTGCTGAGCGGAACGCTTGAGATGCTTCAAAAAATTTAAATTAGATGTGCGAATGATATTTTGTGCTTCCTCTGGCCTAAAAAGGCCCTGTTCTGTCTTTTGTTTGATAATCCGAGATGGCTCAGCAACTATTGGATCCAAAACACAGCTGCCCGCTTGTTAGTCGGTGCCAAATCAAGAGACAGTATAACACCTATACTTATGAAACTTCATTGGCTCCCGGTCACAAAACGAATTCAATTCAAGATACTGTTGATAACATACAAAGCACTAAATGACATGGCTCCAACCTATCTTGTTGAACTTCTTAGTCGATATATTCCTGCACGAAACCTCCGTTCATCAAATATGAATCTACTTGAGGTCCCAACAATTCGAACTAAAACGTATGGGCAAAGAGCATTCTCCTACGCAGCACCGTATTTGTGGAACCAACTACCTGAATGCATAAAAAACGCCGAATCTGTTGACTCCTTTAAACGCTTATTGAAAACTTATCTTTTCAAAAATTAAGCCACCAGATTATTTGATATCGTACGTTGTCAAACATATGCATAACACGTAATAATTCATTAGTTTAGATAGAGTAGCGAATTGCATGTATAGGATTTTTATCGAAATTTTGTTAATTTGAAATTGTAAAGCGCATAGAGTTCAATTTTAATGCGCTATATAAGAACTTATTATTAAATTAAAATTATTGGTTCGGTCTTCATTTGCGGTAGCTGTTGTTGTTGTTGTTCAGATTTGTTGTCGTCCAGTGGTACGAGGTAAAAAAAGGGACCTTACAGATGCCATATCAAATTGAATAATCATGAATCAATTTTTTTGTCGTTATTGCTGTTGCAATGGCGACTGCGTAGTATTCGACCATTTTTTTATCTCTATATTATTTTGCATTTTGTTTCGTGGCACTTCCTTTGCTCCTAAAGGACTTGTATGACCTGAATTGAACTGAGCGCAGTTCTAAGGGTATGAATATGCTTCCACACGCTTTCAAGAGAAGAGTCAGAAATATGAAGAAAACGTGACTTGGTTCAGCTGAGTCACGTCTTCCGACGTGATTTATTACTCAACAGTCATATCCAAATCACCGCCTGTTGCCTGTTTGATTGACATATCCTTTGTCCACGTCCCTGCAAGACAATGATATCAATTTTCACATAAAGAGAGAATTTATTTCGATGTTACGTTCTTTACGCTTTAATGCGCCGAACACAGCAACTCGCTTGACCTGAGGTGAAGAAAATTTATCAAGAACAAATTCAATTTGAAGTCGACAAAATGCGCTGCGCAAAATCAGAGCTGACAGTTCTTCTCGGTGTCGGAATATTTCTCGCTGGTTCTATTTCCCTAATTACGATAACGATGCAAAAAATATTTCCTGCTCGTGAAGAGCAAACCTTTAAAGAAATAAACTGTACGATTGTATCAGGAGACATGAACGCTACAACAAAATGCTCCAATAAAAATCAAGAGGGAAGCTATCCGTGCCTCCGGATATATGTTCTGTGTGGCAAAGATAAGATCAAAGAGAATCCTTCGTTGGAGAGCACACAGCCCCGTTTATTAAGAAAGGATTTCTACAGCTTGCAAAAACAGGTACGTACATCTACAGATCTCAGTGTGTTTATTCGCATTGTTTTTAATTATGAGAATAGATTTCTTTTCGTTGCCAAAATGATATCAATTAAAATAAGTGTAAAATAAGTAGTGGTAATTTCGTATTTTCATGAATAGCGAATAGTTATTGCGCTGATGAATTGCAAAAGCACGTCCATATTCTATTTCGCAATAAAAGCGCAGTTGGCTTTTGATCCCCATTGTTTACCTAGGTGGTTAATTAGTTATTTTTGCTTGTTATGTATTTATTTTTTGTCCTGGGAAAACCAATCACAATCATCTGAACCGAACCCAGGTCAAGATCTGTCCACGCTACCGTCCCTGGCACTTGTCCCACAATTTTGAGTGCAAGAATCTGTCAGGGTGATTAGAAAGCGTGACATTGAAGAAGACACACCCTTCTACCTCCCTCTGTTTCCAATGCGAAAATTTTGAGGTGATCACATTGGACCATAACTATTGCCAGAGCCAAAGAAAGTTCCGTTAGGAAAATTTGCTTGCGTCAAAGCTTGCACAAGGTGTACATCCTAATTACCTGAAAATATACATAGAAAGATTTCACAAGAACTTTTTAAGTTGATGATAATGATTTGTGATAGCTTACTACATAATGTTGTGGCGATATACCCGTATTAATTACATAATGTTGAGTACCAGGTAGATAAAATTACCGAAATGGCGCTGATAAAAAATCTTCTTACAACCTGCATGCTCACATTTTGCAATGTACATAGCAAGATCGGGAAGCGATCTGAAACAATTAGGTTCTTATCACTTGAGGTAATTTTTAGATGAGATTATCCCAAAATGCGTGTCCTGTTTCGTCTGAGCGCATAACAATCTCTGCACGTATGTTACGCAATGTAGAATCAATAGTTTTTTCTTGTCACTCATTGGAAATACGTAATGAGTGAGGGGTTCAAGGCGAGGAATCATTCAATAAAACGTGCATTACCTAAGGGCCTCTCCGCACTGGCGGACAAAAGTGGAATTGTCCTGACAAAATCAAAGGAAAAATTTTGTCTAAACAACAAATTTTTGTTTCGTCTGTGGCATCTGCATTAAAAATTTCAAAGCCGTCAACTTCCGTCAGCGCCTGATCTGCTCATAAGACCGGCCAGTATCGGTCTGCCAAAGAATTCCACCTCCATTTTCCACGATTTATCCTCAGTCTTTTAAAATTTTAGATATCCGAGTTTCGCAACAAAAGACAATTTTTGCCTTTCTAGCAAACTGGTTTCAGTTCAATTACACGCTTGTCGTAGCTTGCGCGATAAAGGGTCGACATGTGTATCACGGTTTTGTTTATTTGGTCGCTTTTGTCCAGTTTTTACCCAGGACAAATTTTGTCGGAGGTACGTCTGAAGATTTGTCCGCTTTGGCCAAAATTTGCCAAATTGTTTAATAAACAACTTTTTCGCCAGTGCGGAAAGGCCTAACTTTCTTTATTTTCCGCTTTCTTTTCTTTAGTGCACTTTACCGCCAGAACAGTGTAGTGACAAGAAGACTAACAAGCATCCCTTGAAGAAGTTATTTCACAGTGGTAATCCTGTAGGATCAAACCTCCACTGCTTTTACAACCCAAGTGATCCGGAACAAATCGTCAGCCAGAAAGCTTCCAAGGAAAGCTACAACAAAATGGTGCTGAGTAATGTGGTTTGGCCGCTGGCCGTTATACTGTTAGCGGTGATTGTTACTGCGGGAGCTGCTTGTTTCCTCGCTACACGGCCTCAAGCCGGTTATGAAAAGTTAGAGGGAGTGACCAGTGCTTCGCTTTATCAAACACTTTGAAAGAACAAGTGCTATTCATATCACTATCCTGGACCATGATGACTTTCTTCTCCACAATGTGTGCTCGTTTGGGGTCGAAGTGAGAACGGTGCTGAATCTTAGAATTATAACAGATGGAAAGGACATGGGTTGTGACAAGTCATGATCTGTATCTCTGAGCAACGAGTTGATACATTGAATTTTGGCCGACAGAAAAAGAGAAGGCGACTGATAGAGACTGCGTAAGCTGAAGTCGTTTACTTCACAGATCGAGCGGACTTTTGGCTGTACCGTTTACGTTCAAGACTGTTGAATTCGGACAGACTGTAATAACTACGATCAATAGAGCAACAAAAGAGCCAAAGTTGTGAAAATTAAGGAATGTTGAAATTGTGACAAACCATTATAAATTATTATGTAAATATATTGTATCATTCAATATGATTGCATAGCATTTCATCATAGCTTTATCGAAAAGAAGATATTGCGAAATAAAGTACGGAATTGACCTCAGTAACTCTTCAATTTTTGGCTCGGCGAACAAAATTATGCACTGTCACTCTTAGGATGAATCCATGTCGAGAGAAACCCTTCATTACGAACACCTTCACGTCCTAGATTGTCCGACACCCTATCGACAAGAAATGAAACTGTTCACCCTAACAAAGTTTAAGAACACTTAACACTAAGCCTTCTTTATTGAATGAAATATGTATCCGCAGGAAACAGAATATTTAATGTATTCAACCTCCGACGTTCTTAGGAATTCACGTGTCTCAAATCGTTGGCAATGTCGTCATCCATATATTTGGCACTTGATATTTCCTTTCATGATTATTTCCGTTTCAAGTGATATTCCCGTACAAGCTTTCTAGACCATCGAAAGAGAAAAAAAAATCAACAGTATAAATTGTTTCGAGAGAATTGAAAACAATTGTTTTAGTTGCGTCTCTTGCATTTAAGTTTCAACTAATTTACGATTCAAATTGGATCGCGATAATCATTTGCTTGTCTAGACGCGACATAGAACTCCACAAGTCAGCAATTAGTCCTCCGCAAAGGATGAATCACATCAGATTGTCGTTTTAACTTTGCTTCCATATCTTAAAGTTACACTTCTCACTGTACCAAAATAGTGTTGCTCATTGTTTAAGAAATAGCAATCCGGAACACTTTTAACTGGCTGAATTAAATGAAAGAAGTAGAGGGCTGATTACAGTGTTGATTGACTCTTGTTTCACTTTTCTAGCGATCGAAAGCTAATTGTGTGCGAACGTGATTGGGTGGAGCGGAAATGCGTTAAAAGACTCGCTAAGATATAATTGTTTGTCGCACGAAAGATAGGTTTTTTTCTCCTCGAAGCTGACCGAAGAAGAGGTGTTTGATAAAACAGAACTATCTAAATTTCACCAAGTTTATATCGGATCTCCTCGGAGCGTGCATTTGTAACTTCAATGTATACCAACTACTTTAAATTCACACTAATTTTGGCGAGTTTTTTGTTTGTTACGGGATTTATTTCCCTGGTGGTTTTGTCTACAACGCAAGTGATGCCCGCTCGAAGAGGGCTGAGCTACGAAAAAGTAACTTGTCGAATTACACGTAGGGAAATATTTTGTGAAAGAGGAAACTGTAGTGAATGTATCCCTGGTGGAACCAGTACTTCCTTGTGTCTCAAAGTGTACGTGCTATGTGGTAATCACGACGAAATTATAAACAAAAACCTTTCAAGCTACAAGGAAAGCGGATATCTGCTTCGTAAAGATGTGTACCACTTGAACGACCAGGTAACATAAATTCTTAATAGCTTTTTTATATAATTTCTCTCAAAGATGGTTAGGACTTAGTTCCAAATTTTGAGAAACTTAGTATGCAAATTTTTTTTATTTTTACATTTACATATCAGCGCATCCAGAAAGTGAACGCCTGGAAACATCGTATAAAATTTCCACCTAAAAATGAGTAGTTTTGCGCTTTCGTATTTGATTTGAAAAATTTAACCATGATACTGCTAAATAAGTTTCAAAATTTCATGGATATTTCAAACAGTCGACTCCTCCTCGCTCAGTCAAGATAATAGGGAATTAAAGGCCAGAAAAAGCGTCTCTCAATATTTTATTTTTCCAATACATTATTTTCGCGAACAACAATCAGCTGTAGCCAGATCACTAGTTCAAGTGAACTTTTCCTGTGGCTGACGTTTTGTTTACTCCTTTTAATCAAGCACAGAGAATAATAAAAACTAATAAAAATAATAATAGGCATCCATGTGAAAAGACAGAAACGGGCCATGAATAACTCGGCAGCTGTTTCGTTGATTAATTTCTACGTGCTAACAACTAAAGTCAAGGAACTCGCGCTACGCGCTCGTATCGGGGATCACTCGCATGTGAAACTCGCGTGTAAAATTTCAACTTCGAAAAAGCCAGCCACCCAATTCGCGCTTTTACTAAATTGAGAAAAAAAGGAAAGTGAGGAACATTATTTATCAAAATGAGGCAACCCTTATCACTCAGCAAAAGTTTATCTAACATTTCTGTGTTTCCAACAATTCCTTCTTTTCAGTGCACTCGTAAGCTAGATTCAATCTGCAGCTCGGACTTAGCTCCCACCCCAAATGGACTGCACAATTTTCAAGTTGGAAAGGGGAAGACTGGGCCTACCTACCAGTACTATCGCAACCCGAATGTCCCGAATGAGGTTGTGTACGAAAATCACAGCAAAGAACATTACAGAAAGGTCGTGCTACACAGCGTGTTGTGGCCGACCGCTTTGATAGGACTTTCCATTTTAATTGTCACTGCAGCCATGTGCCTTAGCCCAACGTCGAGAGATTACAGAAGAATACCATAAACTGTTAAACGAGTGGAAACTAATAATTGAGGGTTGAGTTGGGTCCTGCTATGGTTTAAATTCCTTGCGGGGTAAATGGACACCACGGGAAAAAAGCGCTGGCTCAAGTCACAAGATACCAACCAAGTTCAGTGAGAACTTAAACAAGTTCATAATTGCTAGCAAGAAGGCTTGAGGTTTATCAGCGGGAGGGCAGCAAGTACCGCTCGAAATAAGGTCGTACACGATTAAGTACAATAGTTTAGCTAATGTACAAATAGTAAGATTGTTAACCATTTACAAAACATGGCTAGAGAGTACGGACGCAGTCTTTGTATCGTTATATAGTAAAAGAAATAACCCTTTCACTTCGTTAAGTTAATGATAACAGCTTGAGGTATTTTTTTTGTCGTGGTTTGAAACCGGAAAATCAAACCGAGCGTACTTGTAATAAATAAATACTCTGTCAAATAACATGAATTTCATTGATTTATGATTGTTAACCAAGATTTTATTGTACACATCAACATTTTCATCTTCAAATGATAAGTGAAAAACCGTAATTTTTTTAAAAGAAAGTTGACCGATGAATCCTCGCCTTTAAGACCATGTAGCTCATTCTCGTTTCCTCCGTAGCGGTGTCATAGTGTCCATTAGTCCGAGAAGGTAGCATTTGTGCAGTCACGTGGTGTTTTATGTTATTATTCGCGTCATTCTTGGAGCAATAAGCCTGAGTAATGCCGCTGTGCAAGTTACATGATGTCCTTCTTTTGTCACACTCCGGAAAGCCTCTGTCTCCACGATTTCTTTCCTTTGCGGAAATTTTTTTCCCGTTGTCTTCTCCTAGACGGTCGCTAGGATCACAGCACCTATTCCACAGGGATTTTTCATTCTCAGTGAGCCTCGGACCCATGACATATTTAATTCCCTCACGCCATTCTTTTCTCTCAGGTTTTCTGTCATTCCCACTGGTCAGGCAAATAAAACTCGGTACCACCTCTATTGGTGGCAAAAGTCCTTTGTTATTTTCACCAAAAGGTTTTCCCCTCAAGTTCTCTTGCATTGACCTTGGATTGCCTCTTGAAGTGTTCGGAGAGTCGAGCCAGGGCAGGACGAGATTTTCCTCTTCAAAAATCTTCCTCGACACACAAGTGTTTCTTCGGTTCAAGTTCTCTAGTTCATTATAATCATCCGAACAGGGCGTCCTTTCTGAGTTTTCCTCTCTTCTAGTTTTTCTTCCTCTTCTTTTTGCTACATTCTGCTGGTCAATTACCGGCTGACTGTTCATCTTGACTGATGACGTTAAGTCATTGTGTCTTGATGAACTCAAAGGGAGCCTGGCGTTGTGGTCTTTTTCAAGTTCTTTGTTCAGATTGACATTTCTTCTTCTGAACGCTGCATTTTTCTGCCTATGATAGATTTTCGGATGCAAATTTTTAAAGGGATTTTCCATTCTCTCCATTTCGGTCTCCTCAGTGTCACAAGACTAAGCGATGCTGTTGGCAACTGAAAACACGTTGAAGGACCTCCCCAAAGTCACTTCATTTGTTGCTATGAAAAACAGAGAAGTCTTATAGATAATTGATCAATGATTATTGTAAACATCTTAAACAGAAAAACACTCGCTCTATACCAAGGCATCATTAACCGTCTTGTTTCTATTTCCGATCAACCCTTGAGCTAAGCTGAAAAAGCCTGACATTAAGTCAAAAGTCAACTAAAATAACTAGAAGAATTTTCGTTGAGAGAGATATACTGATGCAAATCAAGGTAGAATGACTTATCTTGTATAAACAGCATCAGGAATAAGCCTCTCAAAAATTAACATCAGTTCTGAATTAATAAAGTTTACCTTATAATCATTCTGATGCAAATTAATGAAGAAGAATTAATAACTTCTTTTTCACATCTCAACATCACGAATGTCTCACTGACTGTGGTGTTCGTAAACAAACTGCTTATGGATTCAAATGTGTCTTACGCGGATGAACGAATATTATGGGAAAAATGGCGCACATCTCATGGAAACACCACCAACTCAAGGCGTTTAGTTCTTAACCTCAATTTTTTGTCACGGAAGAAAAGGAAATTCATTTTATTTACTTCGAAAAATTCAAATCTTCCACATACATGTCATGTCGATTTTAATTCAAAATCTATCATCAGCTAGTTTGGGAATATTTTCAGCGACGGATTTAAGTGGCGTCGGAAATCTTCTGCTAACCTCCGAATTTACGAGGGTTCCACCTCAGATTCTTCTCTCTGTGACTGCCTACATTTCACCATAATAAATAAGGCTTAAGATTCTCTCCAACCTAAGATTGCCACACTTACCTTTTCTCATTTTCTTTACTTTCGTGTCTGATGCCGCGACGCCAGTTTCGCCGAATATCAAACATATAGCTACTGCGCAAAGTAAAATGCTTGGCTTATCAAACATCGTTACTAAGTTACGCCTCTTCTCCGCCAAGGTGAACAAATATACGTTGACAACATCAAATTTCCTATCCATTAGAATCAATCTGCCTCAGCTGAGAGATGTTAAGATGATAAGTAGGTTTAATATTTGAGAGACTCTTTTTCACAGAGTGGGTTTATCAAAATCAAGATCACATTGTGATCAGAAAAGCAAAAAATGACGAAGCCAGTGTAAAGATTAATTATATTTTCTTAGATAAACTGGCACGCAATCCTAATAGCATGCTTCGCTTATTTGTGCTGCGCCATGAGCACGTAATATCTCATTAAAATTTCAAATAGCTGATCTAAAGTCAGGCCGAAAATAATCATATTGATTTTGTTTTGGTTGCCTCACTATGGTTAACTAAGGCTAATCTTTCAGATCAAGTCAACTGGTCATGCTTTTGTTACGACGCTCGACAGCTTTAGCTGATAATTATAATAATAAAAAATGGTTGTTTCCTGTCTTTAAGGGTTCTTTTACTCCACCACTTTAAGTCTTTCAGAGACGTCATACACACTCAGCAAAAAACAGCATTTAAATTCACAAAAAATTATTCGATTCATTAATTAAATGAATATTTCTTTGATGTTTTGGTTTCCTGGCTCCGACAAGAACAATGATATTAATAATAATAAGAGTTCTCAATAACGCATTCTTTATATAAATATCTCGATGCTTTTTACAACTAAAAGGAAGAGCTCTCACAAAACAGGTACGTTTTCAACGCCCTTTTAAAACTATCAACAGAGTTACTTTGTCTAATGACAAGTGGTAGCTGATTCCATAACTTCGGAGCAATAGCCGCTAAATATCTATCTCCGTAAGTAACTGTAGTGGTCTTAGGGATAACTAGAAGGTTGGAATCCCCTGAACGAAGAGAGCGACATGGAGTGTAATGATGTAACAGTTCATTGATATACACTGGGGTAAGGCTGTTAAGAGATTTGTTCGTAATCAAAAGTAACTTAAAAACTGTTCTGTTATTAACAGGAAGCCAGTGTAACTTCTTTTAAAACAAGAGTTATGTGATCAGTCTTCTTCATGCACACACTTAATCTTGCTGCGGTATTCTGTAATCTCTAAAATTTCTCAGTTGCACGGGAGGGAATTCCATAGAGCAAACCATTACAATAATCCAATTTCGATAAAACGAAGGCATGGACAATGCGCTCAGTATCCGCTTGCGAAAGATATTTTTTGATTCTGCAATAGAATGAAACGGACGGGAAAGAGCGCGACAGGTGTTGTTGACATAGGGTGAGGTGTGAATCAAGCGTGACTCGTGTGTGACAAGTGTGGCTGCGGGCAAAATTTATGCTTTAATTAATTTTTCCTGGGTCAAACAAGCAAGAAATTAAAAATACAAACAGCGACAAATACTTTGAACTTTGGATGCATTTTATTGACTGAAGTATTCAGAAAATTTCTTTTTTGTGGGTGGGGCCGATCAATTTCCCTAAACCAGACTAGACCAAAACTAAAGATCATAGTTTGGTAATGTTGGGGAATAGAACTTGCTCTCAATACTGAGTCCTATAACTTTGAAAATAAAGCCAGCAGACATTTCAAATTCCTTAATTATCGCTGTCGTAATTGTGATTGTCATCGTCAAAATCGTCTTCATATATAGTTCATCGTTATTATGATTATTATTGTTATTATTATGAGTGAGATATTCTGGATAGTTCATTGTGTTCTTTTCTCCGGTCCGTTTGAGCTCCATAATAAGTGTTACAATGACAGATTAATGTTGAACTCCTTATTTGCATATACAACACATAAATATTAAATTTTCCAAAAATAAATCATCTGATGAATAGTCGAACGTGAACTTTATTCGTTGACTCACGATTGTTACTTTTGATTTTGATCGCGACGTTTCGACTGCAATACTGCCAGTCTAAATCAGGCGATGGGGTCGTTAAGATAAGTTAATTACCCATTTTTTTTGTTTTTTTTGTTTTGCCTTTTTTTTTTGTCGACTTGAGGTGTTTGTTCAACATAAGAAACAGCGGAAGCCAAGATATGCTAATTGTCATTAGATATATGTTTGATTTTGTGGTTGGCGACAGGTAAAAAGCTATTTTTTTTTATTAAACCAGCCAAATCAATTGCGAATCAGTTAATCAGCTACTGTAAATAAGCAAAAAATGATAGTGATGCACAACAGGGGTAAGAAAAGAAATCAGCCAGTGAAAAGGAACAGTACTAAAACTATACGAAGGATTCTTAGAAAACCAGAAAAGGAGAAACAAACTATTTACCTGTGTACTTTTATCGCAAAAATTAATACTAGTTACGCTTCTTAACAACGGGTTTGAACTTTGAGTTTGAATCCTAACTGCTTTTGTTGCAGCTAAGCAACCACATAAACAGGAACAAACACCCTTGACTTATTTTTAGGACGATTTGATTCCAAATAAGTAAACAATATCTGTATGGACTTGGTGCTGCATCGTTGTGTAAAACTGAATTCACTGCACCCCAATCCGCCCTTTTCTCAGATCGGTAACCGAATCCTGTAATTGTACATAGTTTGGACGGTTATCCGGAGCTTAGGCAGTCGAGAATATTGGTCATAAATATTACAAGATAACAAGCTAAATTCATTTATTCTATTGACTGTGACTGAGTTCAATCACACGATAAATCTCTAACGATACTTGATAGCTATTGTTCTCTGGTCTCAAGAGAGTGCTAATCTAATAATGATTCAACAGCCACTGCTGATATTTGGATAAAAGCAACACTTTCCTCCAACATAATCCTCCGCATGTATTTTCTCTCTTCATACGTAAACTCAATTACAAAATTCAATTTGAATAACCATTTACATCGATTTCACAAACATGATAAGCATTTTGTATGCTAACAAAAGTTATATCAGACAGTTGGCCACATCAAATTAACAATTAAACCTTGTTCAAATATTTTTTTTACATTCAATATTTATTATTTGTTTACGTTTTATAATTTGCAGCATCGACTGGACTAGGCGATCATAAAACTATTATTCTAATTATTTAATAAACAGATGAATAGAAAGATTACTAAGCCCGTTGAGGTAGCAATTTAGGTGAAAGGTTGGTCGTACTTGGTAAGTAACTGTGTTATCCAGCTGATAATTCTTACTACGCAAAATCCTATGGTTGGATTTCCCACGAAAATCTGTAAATCTCTAAATCTCTGGGAGTGTTCTAGGCAAATTAAACGTGTGAATAAGTTATGACCCAAACTTTACTGATTGTTCACGTCATAAGTATTTTTATGATTTTGTTGTTTTCTATGAATTTAACAAGCAATTATTGGATGAGGGTAAGCAAAAATAAAAAATTGTATGTTTTAGAAACTTAGGAAGTAGAGTTACTCACACTGTAAAGCTAACGCATGAAGAAATCTTCTTGTGACAGAGACAATATAGAGGACGGTGGATCGTTAGTGTAAGGTAAAACTATGGCTGTCGCAGTCGCCATGCTTTCCGACATTTTTTACCTTATTATTGTAAATTAAACTAGTCATGAAATCTGATTTGTCGAGAGCATTCAAACAAGAATTGTGTTCTTATGCATTTCTTAAATGCGTTCAGCCATTGTGAGTTTCTCTCTGAGCCTGAAAAAGTTTGAGAGCACTAGACGGACGAGGAGGCTTGAAAACTATACAGACCCTGAACGCAATATCCACTGCATATATTGGAATTATCATGTCAAATTCATACGCTATTGTATATTGATTGAATGCTCTCGACCAATCAGATTTTTCATAGTAAGTTTAATGCCTAATGATATGCAATTGCGTGTGAAGTTGACAGGATAGATGCAATATCTGCGGTGGATATTGCATTTATCAGAGAGACTCAAAATGGCTGAACGCTTCGCCTCTGTTTCTGAGGAGAAATTAAAATTTTTGATTGAAAATAAAGATTCAAAAAACACCAAGAGAACAACAAAATGTTAAGATTCTAGATGATTATTTGAGGGAGAAGAACCTTGAGGAACCACAAGATAAAACCCCTTTGGCCTGTGTTCTGAAGAAGTTGTGCGCCGAAGCTAGGAAAATTGATGGCAGCTCGTACTCAAAAAGTTCCATGACTTCTTTACGATTCGGACTTAACAGGCATTTCAAGACAAAAGGAACTGACATTATCAAAGACCCAGAATTCGTCGTGGCGAATAAAATATTTCTATCGAGGTGTGTTGATTTAAAACGGCAGGGTTTGGCCGAGGTTGAACACAAACCCGCTATTTTAGAAAACGACCTTCAAAAGCTGTACGAATACATGTTTTCAAATTAGATGATCCCAGAACACTTCAAAACAGAGTTTTTTCGAGATTATGCTTTACTTTTGCCACCGTGGCCGGAAAAACCTTAGGGAGCTGAAAATAATAGACTTTTCATTCACATGAAATGAAAAAGACGCTCGATATGTATGCAAAACCGGCGATGAGTTGACAGAAAACAGGAGAGAAGACGATGAAGTCTTCAAACGTGAAATGGTGTTTGAAAAAGGTGGACTTTATTGTCCCGTTGCTTCTTTGGAACCCTACATAAAACATCTCAATCCCAAGAATGAGTTTTTGTTCCAAGGGTCAAAGAAAGGAAGTAAAATCGGAGTGGACGATGTTTGTTTTGATAATATGGCGGTTGGTGAGCGCACGCTCGCCGAGAAAATGAAACATATCTCCAAGGAAGCAGAATTGTTAAGGGTTTATACAAATCACTCAATAAGGGCCACTCCAATCACAGCTTTGGAAACGTGTGGGTGTGAAGCCCGTCACATTATTGCTGATCATGATAGTGGCCACAAAAGTGAGTCGAGCATACAGAGTTACTACAAAACAGACACTGACACCAAAATCATTGATATCGTATATGTAAATTTTCCTGAATTTTGCCCAGCGGTTGAATGAAGATCAAGATTTTAAAAAATAAACTTGGATGACGCAAAGACTCTGAAATAGCAAGCGGATTTAAAACCTGCGACTAAGGATCACACTTATACAACATGTGCTATTATTATACATTAGAATTACTATGAAAAATGTGATTGTTCCAGAGCATTCAATCAATGTACAATAGGGTGTAAAGTTGACGTCGGCACAATATCTGCAGCGAATATTGCTCTAATGATTTCGAGTTCAAATTCTACCTAGTTTCCAGGCCCCTCGTCCACGTTGTGTGATATTGTACGGTTATTTGGACAGTTGGTTATTTTGTACTGTAAAAAAAATCTGTTTCACCAACTGGTTGCACGCCTTAGCTTCGCTATCCGCTTTGCTTTTCCCGCCTTAAGAGAAATAAGCAGAAAGACTTAGCAGAAAAAAAAAAGGCGGTTGGAAAATAAATAACTTATTAGACGTTTTGGTGTGTAGTATCACTAAGTATTTTTACTCGTTGTTTGTATTTTGACTCTACTTACAAGCTCGTAAAAATACTCACCGATACTACACACCAAAACGTGTAATAAGATACGTCACTATGCTCAATTGGGTTCAAACTGCCCCATAGAGACACATACGATAGTGGATGGACAATTAATAATACTTTGTCATCATAGAAACCACTATCATCTGATACTGAGATTACGTTAAACGACGCTTTTATCCACGTCAGCGTCTTTTTTGTTCCTCGATGTTATTTTCCTTAATTTTTTCCCGTTACATATTTAGTCTGATAAAAGCTAAAAATAAATTATGAAACCAAATGAACGAGAATTATCATGATTTTGGGTGATTCAAAATCCCTTGATCAAGATGTCTCTTAAGGCGAGAAAAGAATGGGCACTTTTAAGACGAGACTGAAAATTCTACAAACAAACATTGATTAAAAAATTTGAGTGAAATGGTGGTCAAACGTTATGACTTTCGAACTTATTTGACGCCAGACTGTGCAACAAATTTGGCGAAAATCAAGCGGAGGTTTACGGAATACACCCTAACTGTTAATACTGCGTCCTCCTGTTTAATGGACCCGAGCTAAGGAAATGTAAGGTAAAAAATTGTTACAATTGAACAAACGGATGCCATTTGAGCCAGCATTGATCGCTATGGTAAATATCGTGTATAATGTAAACAACGATAAGTGATGACGTAAATGTCAGGTCAGAGCGCTCGAGAAGCACTTAAGGAAAAAGATACATCTGAAGTCATTTGTTTTTACAAGTATATAAAGCACGGCCGTCAAGAAAAGATTTCAATGACAAATGGGGGTTTAATTTTTTTAAAAGAATTATTTTGTTAGCTGTGATGTTTCCAAAATTTTAATCAGTATACATGTGTTCGTATTGATGTCTGGCTCTTCAAGAATTCAACTAAAATTGAAACTTTTCAAACTTTCGTCCAAGCCTTTATCGCTATCTAGGCAGCTGGAACAATGAACCTTGCAACTGCGTCAAGAAAGATCGTTATCTAATCTAAATTGTGACAAAACAAAGGAACATTTTGTTTCCTAATAATAATAATATTAATAGCCTACCCCGCCATACTTGATTAATCTTCTTTGTTTTAAACGATCAATGAATCTAAACAACCAACAAAGATGTGGATTCAAGATCCCTTCTAGTTTGTTCGAAATATTTCAAATATTGGTGTTGTGTTTTAAATTAAAGTATTTTGTTTTCATGAAAGTTTTGCTAACTTTTTTCAGCTTTGCGGAAGTTGGAAAAATAATCAGCAGTTCCTTTGTACATATTTTTACACGATCGCATTGTTAACTTACAGAGTCTAATACAGTCTTAAGTAGTTATCTACCCCCGCGGAGGTGATTATAACCACTGTTAGCATCATTTTGTTTACGGCAAATAACGAACTGTTTGCCATTTAGTTGTGTAAAGTAAATTCTTCTCGCAAACTTTTGTGCCGTCGGGTTTTCAGTTGTTTGAAAATGTCGTTCAATGAGAATTTAAAATAATGTACAAATGCAGTCCTGCTCGAGAATAGTAACAGTACGTATTTGACACCTTTAAACAAAGTACAAAGAGTCTTGGCTTGTATTATACACGTGGCATTTCATACAGCTTTGACTTCCCTGTCGTTGATGTCAACAAAGTCTCCTTATCAACAGAAATACCTCGCAAACTGAGTTCACACAGTGAGCTTGAGACACTTCGCTTAACGGTGGTATTATTCACGATTTTGTGTCAAATTGTTTCGGTGAAATCCGCAATTCAGTATCATCTACGGTTTTCGTCATGATGATAAACACCATTCACTGTGAACAGATCTTCGTCCTCATAGTTTGAGTTGACGTTTATAGCTCCCTTTGGCAGTATGAGTACATCATTACGGTGTAGCGATGGAACGCAGCTGGGTCGTTCCAACTGATTATGCCTCAGCTCAGCTTCCAAAGGTGGAAGATTGGTTGAAAGAAGCGAAACTCGTCGCTCTTTCCTACAAGTATCACTTCTAGCAGGTGAAGCTGCCAAGCGATCACCGGGTGAACGACCCTCGCGTTCAAGCAGAGGTGCATCGCTTAACGATCTCCATCGATATTTCGGAATGAAGTCGGCCTCTTCGTTGTTCAAGTCAGCGGGACAACTTCGTCTCTTCGCAGTGCCTGGATCGACTCGAATCGATGGCAAGGGTTCGTTCGGTCGGGTTACCGAAGCTCTTCTCAGCAAGCCTTCATCAAAGAGAACGTTTGAGTCAACATCTTCTTCCGCTCGCTTTCGAATAATTTCGAGGACTTCCTTTGTGTGTTCTTTAGTTGGTCTGTTGCGTAAAGCTCTATTTCTGATCTCTTCCGTGTTTCTCATACCGCTATAGTTGGCAAACGTTAATCGAAGATGACTGTTTCCTAGACTAAACCACGTCAACGGTTTAAGAGCGAATGACTCATTTTATCTTCAAAGTCCTTGTTATAACAGTTTGTATCCAAAACAATAAAAACTTGCGTCAAATGAGCTATTAATGTTCTATTCCGCCTAGGATAATAGCGGTTAAATGCAACGTAACCAACCCATCTTAAACGAACCGTTTCTGAGTCAAATAATGACGCTGCCACGGCCACGACACACCAGTAGTGAGACTAATATCACTAAACGCTGAGTAAAGGGCAGAGCTAATTAAGATGGTCCAATAGCTAATGTCAAAGTGTGACCTCTTAAAAACCCATTGTTTCATAGCCTAAGGGACTTTAGGCTAATTAATCGTCATTTATGTATAGAATAAAAATTTGTTAACGAACACAGAACAATAGATTTACTGGGGTTTATTAAGCTCCGCTCTCTCCAATTGTGCCCTTAAACGACGCCTTAATCTTTTGCACAAATTGATCAAAGAAAGAAACATTGCTATTAGCTTTGTCTTTGAAAAGTCTGAAAAGCTTAGGAAATATCTTGTCGGGAATCGATTGAAAGCATTTTTACGACCGAAAAAATATGTCGGCCAAAACGTTAGGACGTGAATTAATGTCTCTTCATAATGGAAGTAAGATCCATGATTCCGGAACTACTGTATTTTCTCTAATCACTGCGAAATACTATAATGGAGGTTTGAGGGAAGACTCTTGTTGTGACAGACGCAGTTTTATGACCGCAATTAGTGGGTTAAACACTGCATGTGTGTATCAACATAGTGTGTTTTAAAATCTTTAGAACCCATTACCAAACATGAATGTTAAAATTATATATGTCAACATTAGCACTCTTATTGAAGGACAATTTGTTTTCTTGAATTTTAAATTTCCATGCATCTAAAAGTTGCCTAATTTCGGGTAAATAGTAAAATAAGCACAATGGAACTGTTTGGATGACTTGAGACAAAAGCAAGTGTTATTTTGAGATAAACAGCAAATGTTTCAACCTGATTTTAAAACAAAATAGCCCTGTTTACACCACTTTCATCTTATAACTTAAGATTATTCTGACACGGATAGATATTCGAGAACACTTAGACATACTGCACTAAGGTTATTGAAGAATACTTACTGGTATGTTCTTACAAATATGAACCAGATTTATTTCTTTTGTGTACTGTACTCGTGTTCTATTACGGTTCATGTGAAAATGTACTTCTTTAAGATGTGGATGAATGTCCCTTCGCTATCCAGCTCTTTTTGATTACTCCTTCTGTTCTTCCTTTGACACAATTGATACAAGAGTAAATTATTTCCTAAAGTCCAGATGATGAAATAATGAATGACAAGCCTATGTTCAAACAGAAGAAGGCTAATGGCCAATAATGGTTTCAAATGAAAGGGATTACGGTCTTTGTTTTGTTGAACCTTACAATTCCTGAGGAGAGTACAACATGAGAACTAAACTATGACTTTGTGTTAAGAAAACCGGAAGTCACAGACCGAGTTTAGTCTTGTCGTAAGTATTTAATTGTCATGATACTTCTTGGTTGGTCAATAAAAAGCTAACGGTTTCCGTTTGGCTACGTGAAATTTCAATAGTTGTTTTCATCTTTCTCTCAAAACAATGCAATCATTAATAAATGAGGTGAGGGTGAGGAACAATTAAAATTTTTTGAATACAATACCATTGGGAAATTCTAGAAACTTCATTCGATTTTTTTAATTACGAAAAATAATTTACATATACACATCATTCCTTTTCAGAGGAACGCAGGAGATATAAGGTAAACTGAATTTAAGCTTAGAAGTACAATCAAGTAAAAGTTCCACAAGTGCTTACATCTAGAATGAAAAATTTTTGTTTTCATCATATAACCCTGGCATTAGCCCGATTCCAACAGTGTATTGGAACATTCCTCCAACTGAAAACGGTCTCATGCGTTTGACTTTGGCTTCATTTTGAAATCTCAAGTCAGGGTTGTTTGAACGACTGCGATGCACTAACCTAGTTCATTGTATCGGTTGCCTTTTACGATACTTATGTAAAGGGTTTTGCATAAGGAAGAGTAACAAGGCTAAAAGTTGATATCACACAAAATTGTGATTTTGTGCATTAAAGCATAACCATTAAACAACTTCAGAATTTAATTAAAATATATATATGCTTTTACGATCGTGACAACAACCCCCTGTCGCTAGGCACTGTTTGACCTCTTTTGATCTGTATCCTGGTTACATGTTCAAGACGCGAAACTGAATAAAATCAAATACTTTATCTTGTTTCTAGAAGAAATTGTCTTCAAGAGCGCACCAGTTTAGATTAAGGACGCTTTAAATGGGAGGACGTTACCTGCAACGATACCTGTTGGCAATGACAAGAATACAGATAACGTTAACTATCAAAGGTATGTGGCCATTGTAGTTAGTTTCATCGTTGCAGGTTGCTACAATTGCAAAACACTCGAACTCAACCCAACGAGAAAAAGTGGCAGAATGTTAAGCTGTGAATGTTACAATATACACCCTAACTCAGTTGAAATGGGTCAAGTTTGAAAAAGAGCCTTGACGAACTTGGAAATGGCGCCATAAAAAATCGTGGCCGGTTTTATAAATTTAATCGCACAACATTAAAGATCGAGATATATGCTCAGATGACCATGCAAAACAGCCATGTTGCCGCTAGCAGCCTCTGTGACTTCCTTCGTCTCGTAGCCGTGGTTACTGACCACAGGCGGAACTTTGCCTTAGTATTGTTGTTAGAAAATATATATTTATATTTAATTGTGGGAAATTGTACCAAATGCTGTAGGAAAGTGCTCAATACACGTGAGTGTAGAGCGAAATACAGTTCAAAATAACTAAAATGAAACGCGCATGATTCTCTGTTACTCTGAGTTTCGTACTTACGCACTCGTCAGACAGATTAAATCTGTCTGACGAGTGCGTAAGCACGAAACTCAGAGTAACAGAGGATCATGCGTGTTTCATTTTAGTTATTTTGAACTATATTTGTATTTATGTATCCCTAGCAACAAGGCAGATCATTCAAAAACTAAGGAGATTTTGATCACTCCTAATGGGATTTTCAACTCGTCTTCTGACAATGCATCAAATTTCAGTTTGTTTTCTTTAGATGGCAGTAAATAACCGATATGGGCATCTTGAGATGGAAAGAAAAAGAAAAGAGCAGGATAAATCCACCCTCAGAGGTATGTTGCTGTACTTTCAGCCAATTAATTTAAAGTTGATCACTTGCCATAAAATTTGAAAGTTTCATTTAATTACCGTTTAGGGTAAGTTTAGGGGTAATCATGCAGGCAGTTGTAATAGAGCTCTACAATAACAAGAAAACAGAAAATGCGTGTACAGTCGAGAATACTTTTAAAAACTACTTCTTCTGCCTTATCAAGGGAATAGTTTAGACATCACTCGTTTTTTTTTGTGCCGTAAGTGTTGGTTGATTACTCACGAGACATGGTAAGCGCAAAAGCCACGTAGAGAGAGCCCTTAGTTATAAAATATAAAAACAATCAAAGGCAAAGTTCCTTACTCTTCCACATAGAAGTAAGGAATTATGTGAAATATTGATCATGTCTGATAAGCCACAAAATCAGTCCAAATTTTGGTGAGTTAAAGGAATTTGAGCGGGAGAAACCATTGCCCAGGGACATAGCAACTGAAAAAACATTGCATGTTAGTCTATTACTGATCATAAATGTCACTAAGGAAATCTAAAAACTTTTTAAATAGCGATTACGATAACGAAATATTTAAACCCAAGTAGGTCGGAAAAGAGCACGCTTTTTAAAATAAATATTGAAAATTTATATATTTCCTTCTCTTTGTCTTGCAATTGAGTTCAAAAGACTTTTCGTAATCAGGTACGACAGTTTTGAAACTCTTAAACAATATCTGTAACGTTGTGGGTGCCTTGTTCTTTATTGGACAATCCTCTTAGATTATTTTAAGTGATGCACTGATATGGTGTGGTGCAGGCAACTCTGGTTTGCAGTAATTTAATTTCACGAAAACTTTTCTTTGCCAAGTTGTAAACAGGAAAGAGTATTTTTACAGCAAAAGCAGTCAAAGAAGACTGACTACCTTTGGCATCGTCAAACTAAAAAGACTCTCTGACGCAAAGGAAGCTTAACACTATAACAGTTTTATTCCCTTTTCTACCACTGCTTAAAAGCATCACACAGACTAAAATCTTTCCATCACGGAAGCAGGATGTAGGTTAGAAGAAGCTGGTGAAATGAATTTAGAAACTTTACAACTGCTTGACAGTAGGGCATCTGAAATAACAAATACCATTTTATTCCAGTAATGCTTGTGACACCATCAGGAAACTTAATTTTAGATGTACGGAGGAGAGGGTGGTTTACATTACGGGTTCCATAAAACCTTAGCTGACTAAACAATCACTGAAAACAAACCAAACATACTTACGGTCTGAAGCTAGGCAATTTTATGTCTTTCCCACGCCTTAAGCATTTTGAGAGATTCCTCGAAGGATTTCAGTGGTGTTCACCGTGGGTGCTTTATGGATTTTGTCACCTATAGTGGGTCAATTTTGCTGTTACTAGTTAAGAGTAATATTGTTTGTCATTACATTCAGTGAAGAAAAAACGCAAAAACTTTTTGCGCACTAAGAGGGTCAGTGTTTCCTTCAGGCTAGCGGTGATGTTTAAAAGGGCTATGACGTTGCTGATAGAGTTGTAATTTGATTTTTCCCTGAATATTTTCTCAAAATTTTGCAAATGGAAGATAGATTGCGGCATGGAAGCTAAACACACATTATTCATTAACCTTTTAAAAACTTCTTTGTTTAAAATGACCGAAAAAGGAAAAAAGAGCTTACAGGATTCGAGCAGCCCTTAAAACACGCCGAGTTCGTGTGGGAAAGTCGCACTGTCAAGAGACTGACTCTACAAGAGACTGAATGATAAAGAGGCCGCGGTGGCTCAATATTAGGGAACATCTTTAAATACACGTCATCAGAGTGTGGCCAACCTATTAAAATATTAGATTTACTTTGCTATTGGTTCGGAAATTAAAGATATTCATTTTTATCTGAAACGTGATAACAAATTGTCATGCTAAGATTGTTTTTTTTTGTATACCCATCATATATTAAATTCATTCTTCTTAATGACATTTTTATCATAAAAATTTATAATGAAAAGTCTTCGCTACAATTTCTCTTGCCTCTCTTCCTATAATTAGTTGACGTCATTCATTCGTGGAATTTAGTTCAAATTTAATTCAGTTATGTTGGTCTTTTTATCGATGTATGAATCGTTCTGATGTCTCTAACCTCGTTCAAGTCCTAATTATGCGCAAAAAATATCGCATATTAAAGCTTCGGAAATTGAAAACGTGGCCTTAGTTTATAACAATAACGAAAACTGTGACAAGAGAGAGTCGTTATACAAATTGAACGAGTACAAAGTTAATATTGCAGTCAATTGAATATCAATATGATCCGTTCTGCTATTGGCTGTTTACTGGTGATATTTGTCTTCGTTACTCGCGTAGAGCGAATATAATTAGCGCCAAGAACACGTAAAAAGAGTCTCTAGGCATGTGTGTAACTTCGGTCTTCTATTCAAATAGTTCATTGCCTGGGTGTTGCGTTTCTATAGTGGAAAAGCAAATACAGCAGATTTCTTCGCCGCGTGTTAGTAAATAATTCCTTACTGTTCCGAAGAGCGTCGGAGAGGTAAGCGCATTAATTCTGGTACATTATCCTTGAGTTCATCAGTTGACATTATTTTTCATTCTTCTTTATGTCTGTCGGTAAAAATGTGTTCTGACAAACGCAGCTGCCGGGTAATTTAGAAAAATCTTTTGGTCCTCTGAGATTATCAATACTAGTTGATGAAAGTACAACTGAGATTCGATAAATAAACGGAACTTTGCCGCGTACATCTTAAAGATTTGCCAAAATGCGTGGTTAACATTTGATCAGTGAAATGCCTCTGGTTAAAGAAAAGCGGATTAACAAAGAACAACAAAGAGTAGCAGCGTTCACCTCTACACTCCAAACTACACATTGACTTCAGATTATTATAGTTTTTTTCTTTATGGACAGCCAACCAATTATCCTAGAAAAGCTGCCGAGCTTCCAGGGTATGTAAATTAGTAGGAAAATATCTCTACCAATCTTACTTTTAGGGCTCTCATAATTATGCAACGTAAAACTGAGTATAACTGGAAACTGTTAGCAGTCTCATGAAGAAATCCGTAAATGCGAAGTAACTATTGACACATAGCTCTTGGAATCAAGGCTGAACAATCTGAAATCATTTGGCATGACAAAAGTTTAACATGGCGATATTTATTTTCATTAATGCCAATATTTTAGTTCAACACCAATGTTGACGTTGCTTGAACAGCCATTGATGAAGTGTTATCTTCGTCACAAAACGTTCTCCAAGGAATATTTGCTGTTACTATTATTTGAATACCATCCTGCTTTTAGAGTCATTTTCGGACAGAATAATAGTAAATGTGGAGATACAGGGGGGATTTGAATTGCATAAAAACAAAATACACATGAAAATTTTACATATTGATTTTCGCACGCCTTAAGGTCCATGAATATGCTTAGTTTCTTACAAACTTTTTGTGAGCTTTTTAAACAAATTACCGGTGAAAGATCTTGAACTACAGTTCATTCCGGTTGACATCACGCGATTATTTTACGATTAGAAAAGCAATGTGCATTTTCATCAGCTACTGGTTTGGTAAACCGTTGGTTCATCCTTAACGTGATCACTGAAAATTTAGTTTAAGCCATGACGAGGAAAATTGAGCGTTTAAAGTGACGTGCAGAGAAAATTTTCCTTCACGTGAAAGACTTTTCGGAAATTGACCTTAAAACTTCCAACATGGTGGAGTTTATTTTTAAAAAACATTTGAAAATGCGGAGGGTTTTTCTGGTTCTGTTTCTCTTTTTGTTATTGATCACACTAATTCATCCTTGAAACTGATATGACGAATTTGATTACGGAACTTTTAACGACGATTACATTACTTCCTATGGAGAAAATCTTTTTTCGAACCTTCTTTCCATTTTTAATGAGACTGGACCAACTCTTTTTTAACAAGATGTTTGCAGTTTGACGAAAACGCATCACGGTTCTTTCAAATTAGCGTTCTGTAGGTGACATCTGTGGTACATTTTCAAAGAATTATCTTCGCGTGAGTGTATGTGTCAAGCCCTCTCTTAAAAAATTAAGCATGGCCATATAAAGTACAATCAAGTTAGGGGATTCGAGTGATCTTCGTTAGGAAAAGATACACATGCTATGACACGCAATAAGATTTTAAGGTTTCACGAAAATGTTACCCCAGGCAAATTGAGAATTAATGATGCGTGCATATTTCATAATTCATATTTCACATTTCGCGATAACAGTGCTTAGTCACATTCATTTGTTTTCAAAATTGATAACTTTGATGAAAAATGATTCTTGGAAAAATGATTTGTCACGCGAAAGATTATTGTCATTATTTTTTTTCCTTATACTACGACAAACTGAGCGACTGTGCATAGTTTGAAAATCCTCGCTGTCTGAAAACAGGGAGAAGATTTTCTTTACTTCTAGAAACGAAATATTGTGATATTTGACTTATTTTTGTTGTTATCATTATAATGCCAAGATTACACCTCCAAGAAGAGTTTAGCTCATCAATATACACCTGTAAACCATTAAAAGCCAAAAATTACAGTGCAAATATGCTTAGCTCTACATGAATATGGCGTCTTTTGGCGATAAAAATCCTCCAATGGCTTCCAATTTTGTATTTCGGCTCAGCTCAATTTATTTTTAGTCTTTTATATACAATTGCCCCCGAGCCAAAAAACCATGTTACTCCTAACAAAGCCGGCGAATTTTAAATTTTAATCATCAAGTTACAAAAATGTTCACTTGTACAAGATATTTAATTCGATATCCGGTAAAATATCGTTGGAACTATGCATGAATCGGATATTCTACATGTGTTAGAGAGTGCTAGATTCGGCGTTTTTTATCAGGAAGGAATCATCAACATTGCAACAGATATTGAAGAAAGAAAATAGAAAATACATATGCTTTGGTACGTGATCTCAATTAACTTAGTTACACGATCCAAATTTCCTACGAACTTGTTCAAATGGAACAGAAAAGAAAAAAAAATTGGAAAAAGGCGTAAATGAATTTTGGTGCAACTGAAAATTATGCTTACTGTCCCAGAAAATATATCCTTCATGTCTTGATTAGTCGATACCCCGAGGGGCGAAATAAATGCTGACTTAGATCGTGTTTTTCCTACTATTTGAAAACAAAAAATACCGTTGCTAGCGAACAAAAGAAAAACTTTGAAATATTGACACGGGAAAAATAAGTGACGCCGTCTTTCCACATTTGTAGCAGATTATTGGTCAAAACAGCAGACATTGTTCCATATAATATAGGGCGCGTGACCCAACCACGTTTTATGTTGTTTTCTAAATTAGTAAGAGTCACGATATAAATCTCGAACGGGAAAAAGACAGGTTAAAAGCGCAGCAGGATACGAAAAAAATTCTGACTTTCAATCACTTCTGTAACGTGACAACTCACAAAGAAAACTGATGTTTATACTTAGCTTATTTCATTACACGTGGTAAGGCAAATTTCCGGCTGCGGACAGCGTGTCTGGGAAAGCGAAAGTTCTGGCGTTCAGGTATAATGGTGTGAATGTTTTTTTCTTGTACAGCTTATTAACGAGCACCGCTGCCGGCAATTTCGTTTTACACGTATTTAAGGCGTTATTAGAAGGCAGGGAGCTAAGGAATTGTTCAGTTCTCTCCGTCACGAGGGAAATTAAATCACACTCCATGGTAAATTGTTTTCATTTTGATTCGCTCGTACACAATTACCGCTCTAACAACGTGGCGCTAAGAAAGTAGAACCACGCGGTGACCCTGAATAATCCTTGAATGAAATCCGATTTAAAAACTTGCTCTTATTGGATTATTTGATTCGTTTTCTGGTAAGTTGTGCGCTTCAAAGTAGGGAGAGCGCAGTGAATTATTTTGCCTATAAAGCGATGTGTATAATAATAGGTGATAACCATGAAAGTAGGTTACTATAACTACAAACGATTGTTTGTTACACTCGGTAGGTGAGGCACGGAGACTGCAAGTTTTCCCAATGAAGCAAATCGATAGCGAACACTGTGATGCAGACAGTGGAATGGCACCAACAACCCCGTGTTATCCAAGAATCCCAAGGAAAAAAACTCAGGAACAACAAGCTGTGGTGGACGAGATACTTCAAGTGGTTGCTGATCAAGGAAGGCGCTTTTCGCTTTCGCAAACGGACTACAGCGTTCAAAAGAGAATCGAATGTGGCCTAAGGAGGAAAAAAAGACTAACAAGCGACGCGTCTAGTTTTGATGATTCCAGTTCATGTGCAAGCGGCTCCGACCTTTCTACTTCGCCACCACCAACACGGCATAGCAGTATCAGTATCAATTCAAGTTTTTCAGATGATGGCAAGATGTTCGAATATAGCAGTAGACCGCAAACTCTTCCGCCGCTCCACCGAAATAGAAGCCACAGGCCGGCTCGACCGACGCCTCCTAAAATTGACTTTGACGAGGAGCGAGAAATAAGTCGCTCTGGCACCTTGTCGAGACCTATGTCCGCGCGGGGACAACGATCACGCCCACAGAGAGGTTTCACGTTATAATTCCAGAGAACGCAAAACATTGAGAGAGATCGCCATGAATTTATTACTTCAGTGAGGACGTTAAATCCCACCCATGGAGGAAGTGTTCTGGCTTGGATTTTAGTAGTGTAGAGTTTTGAAAAAGAAAACAATTCATGCGTATAGTGCACAACGAGGGCCAACATTAGGATGTCAACATATAAACTCTAAGTTCAACTGCCAGAGTAGAAGGCTTATGACAGGTGCCGGAGGCCGAGCAAAAAGAAATTAGTTAAGCTGTTGCTAGTTTAAGGAGAAAAAAGGGCCCTGAAGGAAACGATCAAACATACTTGAAGTCTGATTCGCTGAAGATTACATTAATGATTCCATACACCATGTGCAGCAAATTTATTTTCAAAAAATCGACGCCAAAACATGCCGAATACAAGAGGGATCATTAGCCACAACAGAACTTTTCAAGTGTTATCAGCTACACGTAAACAATTGCATTTTTCGAGAACAATCTAGGAGGTAAGAAGGTTGTCTCTTTGCAAAATTCATCATGAAAACTGTTAGAAAAGAAAAATAGTGACATGGAAACTGAACAGTATTCTCTATCGTCAAAAATATCATTGAGCGGTTGTAGATTACTTATAGCATGGCGTGTAGCAGCCTCATTTAAAGTCAAAACAACGGACGGTCTGAAATGAATCGTTGCAAAGACTATTCCTTTGTTTCATTCTATAAAACCTACAAATCAAAATCAATTTTTAATAGCAGCACATAGCGACTCATTTCTTCTCCCTAAGTTTTTAAAAAGCGATATTTGTTCAATAAAAATAAAAATATAAAATGCTAATTTACCTATATATTCTCGGAACATTTGATCAATAATTCTACAATGTAAAGAGATGATCGTCTTTCAGGTGAAGATCGACCGGAAAGGAAGATTCAGAAACAAATTTGTAAAAAGGCAAAATATAGGTTTTGGTTAGAGTAAATATGGAGTAAGAATAAAATATGTAGTACACAATTACACCCGCGGTGTTGTCTGAATTACAAACTGATGCGATTTGAATATGCTAAATATTTGTCTGGCGAATTATGAGAATGCGTGTTCTCATACGTGTGACGGTAATGTAAAAAAAAAAAAACAAGGAATACAGAACACAGGTGTTAAAAGTAATTTTCACATTTAAGGGTTTAAGAATAAAAATATATTCCCAGAAAACTGACGTCCGTGAATAACAAACACATATAAACCAAAAATCACTAACAAGTAACAAAAGTCGCGACGTGGTGGAAAAAAATTATCTCCCATCCAACAGACAGGTTTTCGATGCAAATATATATATATATTACATATCGCGTCAGTATTTCGGGCATCAGCCAAGTAATATTACTTGTTACCAAGCAAGATATTGATCCATCTACATGCTTTCTGCAGGTAGGAAATTAAAAAAAAAAACTTGAAGCTAGCTTGTTCTTCTATGTGCTTGGCTAAAACATTTCTGGCGTTCGTTGCTTTTTCATTTTTATTTCGGTTCTTTCGTTACCGCTGAAATCGGTGAAAAATATAGAGCATTGGTGCAAAAATAACATATACCTCCGTTTGCAGACATCAATATTAGCAGCTCTCAAATTTACAGAAGTGACACTATTTTAAGTAAGTAATTTGAATCCATTTTTTTTAAATCCCATCAAATGTTGTTGCAAATCTTATTGGGATGTTCTTTTATTATCCTTCAGGTCAAAACAAAAAAAAATTCAACAATATGTACCGTGCTAAAAAGATTGTTGCGGTCAAATTAACCCGCATATTAACAAATTTCATTCACCTGCCAAAGTCAAAATCGACATAGTACATAATTTGGCGAAATTATAATCAACCGGACAAAAACTACAAGCTCATTTGGTAGAAGAACCGCGGCAATATTTATACTAGAATTTGCTTGATACTCGCAATCGTTCAGTGTTAAATATGGAAACCTATACATAGTTGTGTTAAAATTATGGCATCACATTTGAACAGTAACACACAAACAACATATATGCATAAGGAAACTTTCAATATAGTGATCAACAAACAATATCAACAACTTCTTCCCTTGTTATGTAATAACTCTTGACGAAAAAGGTAAAGAAACATCGCTAGTATATACAAAAGCACATCTTTAATTTAGGAAGACAATAGAACGTTTCATTGACTGAAAAAACGGTTGATAACTGGTGTGAAACGGGTATTGCTTAAAAAATGCAACATGGCCTAATATAAGTGGCAAAAGAAGACTGACAGAACTAGCAAGCGGAATCTAGTTTTAAAGAAGATGGAGTCTTATTTCAATTCAGTAAGTTGTAAAAGTGTAAAGAAGCTGAAATGCGATCAATTCACGTGATGTACTAAAACAGCATCCATTAAATAGTCTCTGAACGAAATTTGCAATATTCAAGAACATGACGCACATGTGCACTTCAAAATGACATAATGACCTGTGTTTCTAATTTTATCGAGATAAACCCGCCAGAAATTTCCAGGTGCGACATCGAAATAAGTCACTAAACTGAGTGAAAACAATATTGGCACAAATTTTAAATTCGTTTCTCAAATGCATCTTGGATGTTCTCGATATATATCACAGCGATCGCTGTTACAATTAAATCATTCGTATTGGCTGTCAACAGTCTTAGCTCATCGCAAGAGCGGCCAAAAACACTAATATAAACTTACGTAAGCATTGTTGTTCTACTAATTAGAAAAATTCACAGAGTTTGTGGCAACACAGTTTACAGCAGTCGTGTTCCTACGGATTGTAGACTGTAATACATTTCCTATAGCTTTGATTAGTGTTACTCACAATAAAAAATTTCTATTAGCAAAATTACTGAATATGGCGGCTTCGGAGGACAAACAGCGGCGTCTTTCGTGCAATATTGTTTGGCGCGAGCAGTGACATCATGTACGTTGTGAGCCAGAGCGCAGGTAATTATAAAATCATAATAAAAGTTATTCATGGCAGAACTTTTTTCGCCTCGGGGAAGTTATCGGCTTAACTGCTCGACTTTTAGGAGAAATATATTCTTTTAATATGTTTTGGTTATTTCTTTCTTTTCTGACAATTTGCCGTTTAGGTAATGTACCAGTGATAAAAACAAGTTGTGCTAATGCCTTTTTAACTGGTCGAATTAACGAGTTACTAGTTCTTTGTGTGGCGCAACCTCTTGAATACATCAACTTGCTTACTCAGTGAAATTGGCAGAGTAAACAATTCTCATGATTGCCGATGTTTCTGTCAAACGATACAACCGCCAAGTGAGACAGAAAAGTGCAGTCAAAAGGATGACAAACAAAGTTAGCAGTACAAAGAATAAAGAAATTCACAAATTTAATCATCTTATCTTATCTTAATCTTTTTGTGGTATTCTAGAAAACGCAAGACTGTGAGCTACAAACACGCGCTCGGCAGAACTTGTTTTTTCATATTCTGTGACCAGTTATAACCTCATAGGTTCCACAGAAGTGAGCATTGACTTATACTGATGTAAACATCAATTGTTGTGTAACGCAAAGTCATAGTTTAAGTTTTTTCTCCACAAGTTTCTGTAGTTAGAACGGTCAAGTTTGATTTGCTGATTATTCTTCCCTAATATGGAATCTTAGATCTGTTTTAATGATTTCCTTCCTTTGCATGCAGCGCCGCAAGTACCGTCTGCTAAAAAAGCATCCATCATTACAGTTCAGATAACTCGTCCCAACTACACCGAAATAAATCCGTGCGTAAACAATACTTGAAGTTCGATCGAAAACGCAAATTGCGGGGAAGGCTTTCTTCGAAATTGTACCAGGTAGTCTGGGGCAGACATGACAGACTTCTTTATAATGACGGTGAGTATGACGACTTTGAGAGAAAAACACTTTAAAACACAAGAGTAATACTACCAAAGGAAAGGAGCATAAATTTAGCCAGGGCAGAGTTTCCGTCCAATTTTTTTAATCTCACAGATTTGTAAGTTATAAATATCAATATCAGTTCTTACAAATATCATTCACTTACATGCTGGTTATCAGTATAAAATTTCAAATGCCTGTCGAAATTTCCTCGGGATGACATTTTCGTCAAAAAGGAGCTTTGGACGGGAAGAGTTGTACATATTTCTACAAGTTCTTTAGAGGTAGCCACACCTTGATAATAGGCAAATTAATGTGATCTTAACTGAGCTATTTACAACTCTAAAACAGTTCTTTGGTCTACGACGTTAAAACAATATATCAGCTTTCAAAAAAAAAATGAAAGAAAAATTATATGTGTGGTGAATTCGCTTTCCTGAAAGTTTTGACTTTTTTAGAAAGAGTGAAATTGTCATTTACGTGATTCAAAATAAATACGCATGAACAAAATGATGCACAAAGATCACATTGTTCCATAAGAAGTAAAGACAGTTAAGTTAAAATTCAAGAAAGCCTTCTTCTTCGAGAAGACTCGTGTCATTTACTGACGAGCATCATGAATTCTCTCATCACAGTATCTGTATTGCGATACTGATAAGCAGAGTTTTGCATGTAAAATGGAGGCAACGTCTCCAAGCATCAAAACTCCTAAGAAGAAAAAAGAGAAATAACATAAATACAAAAGAGGGTACAGAACTAATGGCTGTGAGTCACTCGAACCTCAAGAAACAAACAACAACAAAAATAGCTCTAGGGCTTAAGTGGATATTCAAATAATATTTAAGTATTGTGAAACAACGCAGAGCAAATTACTATGTGGTGAATATCTTGTTAAATTCAGTTTACTTCGACAAGGAGATATTGTTTAAATTGAACAGAGGGGAGTTCGTATTTTTTTTCTGGCCTCACCTGCTAGACAGCGTGTGTTTCACTTGATCCACTTTAGCTGCTGGAAGGAGCAGGCCCTTCTCGTCCAATGGGAGGGACGTGCACCATGGTGTAGGGCGCTGTGGAGGACGCCGCCGAGTTACTTCTGTAAAGCGGTAACTCAGACGGGTGCACTGGTTCCAGCTCCAATGGCCCATCAAACGCTAATTGAGCGTCCAGTCTGCTGAAATTGATGTAAGTCCTTCGTCTTGAGCCTTTACGTACATTTTTAGCGTAAGATAGAGGGTTTGCAAGTGAGGACGGGTCACAACTGATCCGCTCACATTCGCTGGCCGATGATATTCTGGCGGAAATGATCTCTGCTGGCCGCACACGTTGAAAAGTTTGACTCGATCGAGGTCGGAAAGCTTCCGGGTGATTATCGATTCCGGAAAAGTTTTCCAAAGGAGCATTGTAGTGATACGGAGTTTCTTTGGTGGCGTAAACCGAATGATCTCGAAACGGGACGAACAGTTTTCTAGAGAGACACTGCTGAGGCCACGATGCGTTCAAGTTACCTCCTGAACTAGCTCCCTCTTCACTGGTAGGAGAGGAATTTAACTCTGTTCTTTCCGTGGAGCTATGCAGCATAAAATCACGCGAGCTGCTAGGCTCATTTGTATCTTCTTTTGATGAAACGTCCTTACCAGAGTAAAAAGAATCCACCGAATATTGTCGTCGTAAGCTCGATACCGATCTTTTCCGACTGCTTGTACTTCGTGTGCGGGGGCGACCTGACGGTGGCCGAGGCACAATGACGGCCTCTGGAAGATTACTCAAGTTATCGACGTCCGAATGTAAGGAAGATACTTCTCTAGACACGGGTCGATGGCTAGATTTATCAAGCTTTGGACTTTCGTCTGAGACTGTTAGTTTGCTTTCCTCCCCAGATCCCTTGACAACAAGCGCTGAATCTATTAAGTCTAAGATTTCATCGTCAACGATTTTCAAATCCACTTGCGAAGTTTGAAGAGCCTCTTGATCTTTGACAAAACGCAAAACCATTTCTTGCTTTGCTCGATTAATATTTTCTGAGAAGTCATCAAGCCTTGGACTCTCCGGTTTGCTGTCCTTCGATGTAGTCATGGTGAAATCTATTATGCATACAATTCCAAAATTACTCCGTGATTTCGTAAATTTATGAAGACAAACAACTATTATCGGCACATGAGATATCTAGAGATCGATCAGCACCCTTGCAAAAGAAATTCAGATGTATTCTTGAACTTGCATCAAAACTCGAAGTTGTCCTTAAATGTTGTCTAATCATTCAGATAACTCGATGAAGTTTCTCGTCGCTTCCTTCGTGTTTTGCTGTGTGGTACATGCAAGGATCCTTTTAATCCTTCAAAACTTTAGTTACCAAACCAAACCACAGTGACAGGATGACAAACACAACAGCTCCACGAAAGGAACACTCGTTTTGGTAACCTTAACAAGAATCTACTTCAATAAATTCGCTAAAAGTTTAGCGCCATCATTTAGTAATTTTCCATGTCTTTGAATGTTTTCTGCCTTTGTGTCTGCAGCTAACAAATACCGCTCTTAGAAAAGCTGCGATTGGTCCGAAACAATAAACAAATGAATCATAAATATTCATTTCTACTTTGGATAAGATCAATTCTGAATGCAAACTAATTAACTACTGTATGTTTACTTTGAAGAAAAGAAAACTTCGTTCAATTTTTTCTTTGTTTTGAAGAAACTGGTAAGACAACTATAGCACAAGATTTTCAAACTCTTCTAAAGATCTATTTTCAGCTGGAATTAATCTATTTATGAGTTTCCAAGCGGGCAGAAAGAAAGCAAGTAATTAGGCATTTCAATTCAGCCTAAAGCAATGTATACATTTTAAGATAAGTCTTTGTTTCTCTGTTTACACATACAAATAGTTCAGTAGTGGCTGAAAGGCAAGTTCGCACATCAGTCGTCTTTTAACAAACTGCAAATTGCTTTAATCGCACACAATGTTTTCTTGTCGTGGTCGTTTACGTGAAGACCTATAATCTTAATATGAAAGTGGTGAACCCATTCATGCTCTGTACTTTGAATCTATGTTAAGTGAATCTAAATTAGCTTTGCGGATCCCTAGTGGATTTCCAAACGCTCAATTATCCATTTTGGCACCCCATGTAAGGGGGCTATCGCATTTGCGTCAGAGCACATTGTTCGCTTAATCCTGTTGTATGGAAGTATACAAAAGTAATCAATTCTTAAAACTCGACGTCCAAACACATAATTTCTCTCATAATTCGCTTCGTAAGCTAGAGAACAATTATTAAAAGACTCTTCGAAAATAGGCGCGAGAAGAATCTTTGGCAATTATGTAAGAGGAACACTCGAGTTTCAGCGGGATTCTTTCAATTATCAAAAAAAAAAAAAAACTACCGGAGAGTCTGAAGAGAAAAACCTTTAGGTAGTTTAAGTCCTTCAAAGAGATTATTAGATTGAAAAGCACCTAGCAACACGGAATAAACGCAGCACATGCGTCCTCAGCATCCAAGGATTTCCCACAACGAATTCCATGCCGCTATCAAAACACATATGTAACATATAAACGAATGTGAAGTCCACGTGATGCCAAAGAAGATCAGACACATTCCACTTATCGTTTCTGATCGAGCCGGCCAGTTCATATTTAATAATATTATACTGAACGTGGCACGTCAATACATAATCGTTTAGAAATTTCTCCAACTAAATGGATTCGTTTTCTCGGATGGTCAATGTTCAAAGTCTACCCTGTTCCACCTTTAAACATACACAACTTGGTCTATCGATCATGGAGCTCATTTTTTCAGTGCTTAGCTCTGAGTAAGAAACATTTTGCAGCAAAAAGGAAAAATATGCTCTTACAAGTTACGTAATCTGGAGTGGGGTATGAGGTAATGACAAAAAGATACAGTCTGATAACTGAGTTCAGATAGCTTTGAGGAGAGCTACTGGATAACGAGAAAGCTTTCTTGTTAAACCACCTGAAAAGGGAAATAAACTAAACAAAACAAAACAAAAATACAATAAAAGCAGCCTAACGAATCAACAAAAAGAAGAAAAAAGGAAGCTTAAAGAGACCATGTCAGTGAAAACTGGGGGAAAGATATTGGTTCTCTCGCTTTTTCCACCGTCATGTTTCATCTCCAGTTCTCTATTAGAGGAATCAGGAAATAGAAACATCCTTTTTGCCTTTTGGGAAGGCTACAAAAGACTGCGAAATAGTTTGGATGAATTTTAACGCAGCGTAAGCCGTCCCCATCTAGTCTGGGGAGAGAAGTTTGGGGTAGTAATTTCACTTGTTTTTCAGTCTATAAATTAATAAATCGTCGTTGAAGTTTAGCTGCTAGTCTCTTCAGACTGGATTCGCGCTCTACTTGCCCCCTACCGCGGACAGCCGGTTTCATTCGTCGAGGGAAGATAAAACTGTTGCGTTGTGCGCTTGACTACGGCGCGTCTATCAAAACGGTTGTTTTGAAACAAACATCAATTTCTCATCTATATATTGTGGAGAGAATGTCCCACAACATGAGAAATTTTTACACAAAGCAAAACAATCAGCCGCGAAAAGGAACTTTTTCACTCTCTTCAATTTGTAATCCTCTAGTTTCCCTTATTTGGCGTTCAGTAGGAAGCAGCTGTCACCGTGGGCAATTTATAATTAATTATGTGGACATTAAAATAAAAAAGGGTAAGAAAACCAACGAATGCCAAGAACAGAAAAGAATGAAATCTCTCATTTAGATTGTTTTACCATCTTCTGACAGAAACAGAAAGACACTGAGTAGCCTGTGCAGGGCTTCATCATTGGCGCCTCCGCGTTACGAGTCTTCTTCGCCCTCAATTACTTTGTAAGTTTGAGGCCTTAGGGAAACGATAGCCGGGGAGAGGTGTCTAAGTGGTCTTGGACCTGCTTATCAATGCCAGACCCGGCCCTTGTCGGCTTACTTTGCTCAAAGCCTGAAAGTTACTCGCAGGCGAGGAAACGATCGTGCTGCAGCGCTAATGATAATGGCGGATGATAGCCTGCTCACAGGTTCTACACTGACATTTTTACAACCAACAATCGTCTAAACACTACATTTGTTTTGCAAATTATCAACGAAAAAGAAGGCTTCATAAATTTACTAAGTGCTATGAAATATTAATTGGCGAGAAAAAGCTAAAAACAAGGCCTGCAAACGGCTCCTTGGCCACCGATAAGAGGCAAATCACACGAAAGTGCGAAAATGAGAAAAAGTGCGACGAATTTTAAAAAAGAGGCCAATATTTATATAAGAAGCAAACTCTTATAATTTTTCCTATCTATAAATATATTCGCTGTAGAGTGAGTTCTTAACTTTTAAATTAATTATTTGTTAAAAGACAAAATGTTAGGCGATCGAGAAGACAAACGAAAACACCGACTTTTCACCGAGTGACGGAAATTTGAGACAGCTGTGGGTTTTTCATGGTTTTACATAATTTGCACCTCTGCTAAAGTTAATCCACAGCTAAATTTACGATCACGGATTTATTTTCGCACTAAAACGCTCAATGGTCGCTCAATGACAGCAACCGTTTGAGTGACGTAAGCAAACTGTCTTTAGCACCGTCAGTCTTTTTGTGTTTATAGCTGTCAAAGCTTTTAATACGCCAACGGCGGGAGTCAGTTCACAAGCACCGACAGCTGCGGCGCTCAACAAGCTTATGTAAACTCGACTCGCGGAACTGCAACTTAGAGGATGTTTAATAATCTGGATGTCACGGATTAATAAGGGATAAGGCGCCAAGGAAATGGAATAAGACATGTACGCACCAATTTCAGAGGAAGACAGCTTTCTTCCTGCTATTCTGTGGAGCAATCCTTCAAAACAACTCGAACATGTTCGAGGTTATTACGAACGACAGCGTCAGTTGAATTTAGTGCTCGATCGAAACTTGGAAGACATTCGAATGGCGTACTCTAGGAAGCTGTGTACTGAAAGAAATCGGCTTAGCAAGTCCCTGTGGGAGATAGAGGTTAGGAAAAGGAAATTACTGCATCAGATTTTGGAGCCACAAGCGAAACGTGAGGCGACATGGCGAAAGCAGTCTATAGCTGGACCAAAAAAGCATCGAATAAGGCACAAAGAGAGTGAAGAGGAAAATAAGTTGCGGAAGGGATATAATAAACATGGCAAGCACACTTCTAACGAGCATCAAAACAGGCAGCAAGAAAGAACTGGGAAAGAAAAGCCCAAAGATAAAGAAAGCTCTGGAGGAGAATCTGAACAGTTAGTGCTACCCAAATTTCTTCTTCGTTGAAATCAAGTTATGTATACCCGCAGCGAATTCACGTTGCTAAGACACGGAAAATGAAATATTTATCAAACTGAGGTAAATACGGAAATTATTCCATAATAAGGGAAGCCAATTTCAGGTCACTAGAATTAACAGTGAAATATTTGAAAAATAAAAAGAGAGTCAGTTCAAAAGTACAAAAACTCTCTCAAAAAATTAAACTTCTGCTTCACCAAAATGTTATTTACAAGGAAATGATTGATACGTGTTTTTCTGTGTTATTTCAGCTGCGTAGTTATTGAATTTTCAAAATTCTATTCATGAAGGAGAGGAGTGACAACCGTTGGAAACGCTTTAAGTGAATATTACCTTTCTTAAGTACATTTATTCGATCAAAACTGGCGACTCTAATGATAAGGTACTTCTTAACACTAATAAAAACATTTTTGAAGTGGACGTAGATGTTAAACATAGAAAAGAAAATCCGTTAAAACAAGCATCCAATAAACTAAGAACATTATTTATCTTTTCAATATCAGCTTATTACTGCCGCAAAGAAAAAAGTACACAAACATGAAAACGTTCATTAAATCTTGCAAGCTCTCTGTTTCCTTCGTCTTCCACTTCGCGCCAAGCTAGTTTATTTGAGATTCACTATTAAATATTTAGTTCGGATTCATAATCGACGTATTCGAAATAAGAACTTTAGCTTGGCCTGTCAAGACTTCAAAGAAGCCTTTACATAAATCTCTTAAACTAAAATGTTGTGCAAATAGGTTCGAAGAAATTGGACAAAAGAGGAAGTCTTCAGATAAACAAAAGTAATTTAAGCTTTATTGCTGGAGGGGCTGTTGTACTCAATTCTGGCCGCCTGATTTTGTTCAAAGTTAAGAGTTTTAACCAATAACGTAGGACAGCAATCAAAAAGAGGGCTATAATAGACACTATTAATGCATTAGCTAAGTGCATTGCGCTGTTAAATGCGGCGCTAAGACACAATGGGGAGATTAAGGGAAACTGGGGTAGCTATCTCTGCTGTTTAAGATTCAATCAGGAAGAAAAGCGTTAAAAGCTTTCTTTTTGTTAGGTGCGAATATTTGTTCAGCAATCTTCAAAGTTCAGTCATCACAGCATTGTGTTGCGGAAAAAGTTGCAAATATTAACAAATTAAACAAAAGATTGAAAATTCAAGTTTTCGAGTATTCTCTTTTGTACTTATAGAGTAGCTTCTTAGTTCTTCAGCTGTTTGATGAGGCTGTTACGCCGGGTTAAATAACACAGCTACAAACTCAGTATCGTCCGATTCATTTATTTCTCTCAGAGATCAACTCTGTGATTTAATTAAAGGAAATTAATAATGCTCTCACTGTCTTTTAAAGACAGAATATTCTATCAGAATACAAATGACGTTGCTTACTATCAGTTCATACATATAATCTACGGAAAATTAGCATTTATAAATTTTCCTTTTGCTCTTAAAACAGAATATCAAATAAAAATAAAAAATAAACCGTATCAAAAATAGAGAGAGCTTGCAACTTTTGCTCTCAAAAAAAAAAGAAAGATTTTACCGACATGTCACATTGACCTATCAAGGGATAGCAGATGCCGCAGTCGAAGACACCTTTCGTTATAAGGACTCTAGCAGTTTCTGAGCTTGTTCGCTTGATTCTTTGTCCTAAATTTTCGGCAATGAGAAAAAAAATTTTCAGAAAGTCAAACGTGATCGTTTGTTTGGTTCAATGAAAGCATCCATCATCGTAGAAATCGTAGAAAAGGAATTTTAGAATAACACTTAAAATATTCACGAGTCTAAAGTTTTTTTTCTTGAGTTCTGGCTTCAATGAATTCCAAAGTAGAAATTCTTACTTGGCTTCTCTTTCAATTGTGGAAACAACGACAGTAGTACGGTTTTTTGTTAAATGATAAGAAAAGCAGAAAGTAACAAAGAGTCGTTGTTCTATTCTACTTACGTCATCACTGGAGACTGGAAGCGAGAGAGCTTTCTTCAACCATTCTTTCGCCTTTGGTACATCTCCATTTTGTTTGTAACACTATGAAGGAAAAACTTGTAAAATGCTTTGGAATATTCGAATGTATTCTATGTAGAAATGGATTCTTTGCGTAGAAAGTTGCTCGAACCATTTGAGATCCCGAGTACAGGTCTTAAGAAATGTGTAACAATGTTTCTTTTTTCTCTTCACGAAGATCAATTAACGTGAACTTAAGATGACAGATAAGAACACAGCTTTTATTAGCTTCTAATTTATTACCTTTCCGATCCAAAACGAATTTGTCAGCCAAAATCCCGGCTGGAGATCTTCAGCCTGAAAAAAGGCAATCAGTTAGACAATAAAAGAGAGTCATGTAAAATTAAACAAAAAAATCTCTAGTTATTCTTTGGTAATAATAAAAGTAATATATAGGAAAATGCCAAATATTCAGTATGCTTGACCCCAATTCAAAATGTCTAGTTTCCGGCCAAGGCCAGGTCATCTGCGTTGACTGTGTACGAGTAAGAAACTTAAAAAACTTTACTTTCTCTGTGCCACTCTCCACTCTGCTAATAAGGAGGAGTAACAAGACTCCTGGTCACTTTATGCACAGAAAACTGGAATAAACTCCTCTACTAATGGTTTCTAATCTTCTAAAATTAAAACCTATTTTAATTTAAGTTAATATTCTTCAAGCAAAGTTTAGTGTGAGTTCCTGTTTCAAAGGCTGACCTTAAGAAAGTTTTGAAGAGCCTCGTCAATAGATGATGACGGAGGTTCAGCTACAAATGCTGAGGCAGCTTTCCTCTGCCACCAAGACAACATAGAAATCTGAAATAGAATTCAGTTTTATTAAAGCTCAGACAGATCTTGAATGAGAAAAAAATCAGAAAAAAATTCAATTTTAAGTTGCAAAGTTACCTCAAAACACCATCTTCCAAACAGATGATAGTTAGCAGGATCATCCCTGTTGAGTTTAATAGCTTCTTGAATATGTTCCTACAAAATAACACAGCTATCTCATATCACTGGAGTAAATGTCCTTCAAAAATCGCTACACAAGACGAGAAAAAAAGGTTTGTAAACAATTTGACCATTAAATTAAAGGTTAGATAATGTGAGTGCATTCAGATCTGTGCAAAGTTCAAATACTTTAAAACTAATTTAATTATTTTTTTCCTCTACCTTGTATTCATAGCCCAGCAAAATCTGATCTTGTAAACTTTTATATTCTGTTGTGCTTCCAAGAATTATTGCATACCTATAAAAAAAAAATTAGAAATACAATATTGGGTGTGGTAAGTATGTGCAACTTACAAGACACTGTGTTCTTCACATAGACATGAAAATCCAGATATTGAGGAGCAATTATGTTTTAATCAGTTACTTACCATTTGTGAGCATTTGGATTTTTTTTGTCCATTTGAATTGCTTTCTTTGCCTCTGCAATGCCTTCAAATTTTCAGTTTGTCAGATTAAGGTATCAAATGTATATGATTACAACAAAGCTTCATGGAAGCACCAAAACAATTACTTTTAGGTAAATTTTACAGAGTATTACCATCTAATAAGAAACTGAATCATAAGTGGTTGAAATGCAATTCAGAGGCAACTGATTAAAAGATACTGGTCAGGTACTGAACACCAATCAGAAGGTAGTGCCGCGTTTTCTTAAGAACACTTTTCAGGAAGCTGCCCTCCCATGATTTGCTGACTTTAATAATCAAATGGCAAGCATATAGGTAGTGGCTATACCTTCATATAACATGTCTTTTTTCCCATCAGCATCTCCACTTTTTCCTTTCATTGTTGCAATATCGTAGCAAGATCTTGCATATCTCCAGCTAACTTCACAGTGTTCATGTTTCTGTACAAGTGAATCATGGTTACAAAATTATATCAGTCTACTAAAAATATTTATTATCTAATGAAGTATATAATTTTGTAATAAACATTCAATTTCCACCCCTGACCTGTAAACACTCATGTAGAAGTCCATGAATTTTTTGCTTGGCTGCAGTCTCATTATTGGAGTGTAGCTGGTCTACTTCATCGATGATAGCTTTAAGATGGTCAAAGTCCAAAGCACTAGATGTAATGCCACAAAATGAAATATCAGTTAAATCAAATGTGTTGGGGAGAGAGAGGTGGTGGCAGGAAAATTAGCCCACTGAACTCTTGACTCTAGACTCTGGGTCAAAAAATCTTGGTTTAGATCTTAATGTGTGTTTTTAGGCAAAACACTTCATTCTCACAGCACCTCTCTCCACCCAGGAGTATAAATGGGTACCACCACACTGTCAGGAAAGTCTGACAATGCATAGGGAGGTAATCTGCGATGGATCAGCCTCCCATTGATTGCAAACTGGAGTATGGATCAAAAGGTCCAGATTTTAGCCCTGAGAAGGTCCAGCAATTGTGTTATGTTCTTGGGAAAGACAGTCTATTCCCACATTTCATATTAACCCAGTGAATAGTTTGGGAAACTTGTTGAAATCCTGATGTGCAAGGGGGGGGGGGGGAGGTTAAACCTGTGAAGAACCAGAATCGCATCCAGGGGTGAGTGGCAAGTCAGTCTTGATTGCTAGGACAAGCTCTGGCAGTATGGGCCACTCGCCCCATGAACAGACCACAGAGTTTGTTTTACAGGTAAAGGCTAGCAGTTTCAAGCAACTAAACTAGCATATATGTGTAATCCGTTTTTCATGGGTAAACAGCCTGGCTTATGTTTGAACTTGAACTTTAATATAGCCTGGCTTATGTTACAAAGCCCAACAATTCATATTTTGAGACACAACGTTGTCAAAATATGATCTGCATTCCTATTTGTCGTTTTGTTTCACAGCTATTGTAGGGCTATAAAAATTGTCACCTATCACCTCCTCTCTAAAGTTCGCTCGAATTTTAAGTCGCTTTACCAGTCAGAGAGATAAAAAACATATTTACACTGTACCTGGAGGAAAGTTCTTCCCCGGACATTTCAAAAAATTCGTCTTCCGTCTCCTCATCACTTTGTACAGTCACTCGAGATGGTTCATTCTTCAGTGGTACATTTCGTTTATTTTTCCCTTCAGTGAGGGTTACTTCAAGTCTAACCACTGTACAACGAAGTTCTCTTATTTCGTCCCTCAACTCAGTGAGCTGAACGACAATATTTTGTTCTTCCTTTCTCACAGCAAGCCATTTCCTTGAAGCAGCCATTCCAGCACCTATTCCTATCCCAATTCCCAAGCCAATGGAGATTCCCACAAGAATATTACGTCCACAAGATGAAAAGAACCCGAAATTATCAAATGACTGCAAAGACGCCATCTTAGTTTCCTTTAGACATTTCCGCTGAAATCACTCCTAAAATCGCGGGCTCCAAACAAAACATCTCCTTTCATCAGGCGTTTGTCGCTTCATACAGAACTTTCCGCTAACTTTGTGGCGTGTTTAGGACCTTAAAAGGCAATCATTATGCCTTATATCCTGATAAGTTGTCAGATAAGGCTGGTAAGAGCTTCTTTGATAATCCTTCTGCTCAATTACCGTTATTCTAGTTAAAAGCGTCTCTGAGTAGTTTCGTGCATTACCCCAATTAGCCTGTATTGGTAATCACAGATTGTGACCGTGTTTGACATCATTTAGGCAAGTGGGCCCACAACCTGTGGGGACGAATTTTCCGACAGAGAATTGATGGAGTATTTGGGGGCCGAGCTGGTGCACACTTTTGGTAACAACTTGTGAGTATTTTTTGTGAATGTTTTGATCATATATAACTGTGTGGGGGATGGTAGGGAGACAAATGTCGATTGATATCAAAGTTGAATGTTAAATTGGAGGGGAACAGGGAACGAGAATCTTGGAAAGTACGCGCTAGGTAAGATACAGGAGATAGAAGAAGAAAGGTCCAGAGGTTGTAGCTGTATTTTTGGCATGACACAGGAAAGAAATACAAAGATATGGGAGCGTTTGTTTTATTATTACTCTGCAATGATTTCGTCATTGAGGGTGGGAGGCAGCAGTCACCGGAAGTGGACGTGAAAGGAAAGACAGCACGCTTCAAAATTTGATAGATTCCCACGGGCCCTGCTTCCCCCATCCGTTTTCACTTAGACGATATAGTAATCATACTGCTTAATGTCACAAAAAAAATGTTTTATGCTCACATGTTCAGTAAGGAGTACATCAGCACTGATCCACCTCGTGCAGTCCTTAACAGACTGGAAGGTAGAGGATACAAAGTAATAGCAGCAACAGGTGTTGGTCAAACATTAGTCTGGACACTCTACAAGGACGACAACCGTGAGATTGTGGACAAAGGAAAAGCTGACAGGTATATGTAACTAACTGATAAAATAGGTTCAGCTTAAATGTTGTTTGCAGTAATGAACCAGCTAAGAACTAGTAATTTCTTACAAGTATTGCCCATGCATCCCAGCAAAGACAAATTGTCATTGATCAGGTGCTCTTCAGGATAGCTGATTTTAAACTTTTGGGTCTGTTCATTCTCAGTCACAAATCACTGTTAAGGCTTCACAGCAGAAGCACGAGTACATGTTTTTTACTTGGAGGCTTTCAGAACTAATTGAAAAGTATTGCATTAGAGGGATAAGATTTTCCATTTGCTCTTCAAAGTCTTTTCACATGTTCTTTATGTGTAACAAGTGTGGAAATAGTATGAAGACTATGCTTTGATTTTACCATTCCCAGCATATGAGTACACACAGTGTCTTGTTGAAATGTGTTATGTTTCCTGTACAGACAACTGACATTGTTTCTCATTTGATTCACAATGTAACACTGAATGATCAATTCCTTTGGGCTGGGGTAATCCCTAATCTGCAGAACACTCAATGCAGATTGCTGAATTCCAAACAAGCATATGTCTGGTTTGCATGTCTAGTTGGCATTGTCTTTTGGTAATTAAAGCTGCACTGGAAATGTAACATAATGTTGACAATCGTTTTTTTGCATTCTGCAAAGTATAGCCACCAGTGTGAATTATCTATAGCATTTTATCCATTGTTTAACAAGCATAATATTTCTCTTTTTTTCTTTTTTCACCAGATAAAATACCTGTCTTCCAATGCATAACTGTTTAATGGAGTGCGAGACTATACATATTACACAATGACTGAAGTTCTGTACAAGCAGTTAATGAATGATTAATAGCTGATCTTAATTATTTTTCACTGTAAAATGTCAGTCCCATGAAACCATGAAACACAGGAAATATTGTTAGAGGTTCTTTTGATGACAAGAACTTAAAAAAAGAAATGTTTCTCCTATTATTTATTAGTATATTTAATACTGTAAACCTACTCAAAGAACTTTTTAAGGTGGAATGTTACTCAGTGTTGGTCATCTGTTGCACAACTTTAAGAGGAAATGTATAACTTGTTCCCATTACAGCCATGCAGCCAAGGAAAAAAAGGAAAATATAGTGGCACCTAATCAATTGTTAATAAAATAAAAATTCATATGCAGTCTTCAGAATTATTTAATATTTTAAAATATCTTCTTCCTTTTGACTACTCTTATACATTTTCACATAGCACCATTTTTCAAGAGTTTAATTCCAGCTACTTTCAGTGCAAAGGATTTTTAAGTTTAATGTGACTCAGACATGAAGAGAAGAAGATTTAGGGTGTTCTAAATTTCTGTTCAATGTTTCTTCATTTGTTCAAGTTAAGCTAACCATGAGGCTGATTACTGTGCCACATATAGCATAAGGCTGAAAATGAAATCATGGCCTCATGGCTTTTAGCTTATACAGCTATTTATCAAGAAGCTGGAACCGGCTTTCAAGAACTTCCTGCAAGGGGAAGCCCTGTCTTGAATTACCAACTGATCCTTCACTTGGTTGTCAGCGCTTTTCCTCCTCTTCCATTTCTCTGATCAATCGTTTCCTTTCCTCAAACTGGCGAAGTTTCATCAACACTACACTTTCATAATCTCTTTCTGATATGTTGCCATCTGACTGATAAAATTCCTCAGAAACCTGCAGTAATCAGTGACGTAGTATATCTAAGCCTAACTGAGAAGTTAGTCAATCAAGGGTGAATATCAAGACCCCCACCCCTCCTTCCCTCCTTACCTCAGCCAAACAGTGTATATAAGTAACTTTCAGTAGCAAGGTTTTAAGCAAGAGAGGCATGTCTTGGAGACAAGTACAAATCATTATGACCATTTATGACTGCAAAAACCCTACCTGAAAGATAGTTTCCATAAAGACAAGTCAACTCTCACCATGTATTTATCTGTAGCTTCACCAACATCTCTTGTTGATTTTGAAACCCCTGGGTCAGTTTCTGAACTTGCATCATTTGAAGATGGCTCTCCATCCAACCAGGAGATTTGTAGAGGGTTGTCTGGGATACCATGCTCATTCTCTACTGCAAGTTTCTAAGGTAATTCAAGAATCTACTTACCATATCACTATTATTAGGTCACTCACATTGCAAATTCAAATAAAAACTTACAAAGAATATCATTCTCAAAAACCAGTTTACAATACTCACTGCACTAGCCATTGATGTGAACTCTGCCACAGCACTTCCCTTTTTATTGGAAGATACAATCACATAACTCACTTCACCATACTACAAAACCAATGTATGGAACAATTAAATTAACCCAGTGTTCTTTCATCCAAAATAAATGAAAGTACATTAACAGTAATTCCTTAAACATCTACTGTCTTGAACAACTTTCAAAGTAAGTACAGTACCTTTTCAAAGAGTGACCTGATCATTTCTTGTGTGTATCCACCATTTGTTAAATCAGATTTCTTGCTTTTCCACCTCACCTGGGCAGGTAAACAAAGTACAGATGCTATTTGATACAGTTTATGTGCATTTATGGTAGGTAAATATTTGTTTTTGTTTTTCTGCCTCATATTGTGGCACTAGATCTTAGACTTGTTGTTATTGCTGGACTTCTCTGAGCTTAAAGTGGTTTTCTTAACTGACAAACATATTCTACCACAAACTGAAGATTACGGTATGTTTATCATAAATTATGTGTAGTTATCCCTACATCATTAACCTTTAATTTCGGAGTGACATCTTGGTAGATTTTACTATCTTTATCACATTCAACTTCTTTCTTTAACTGGTCTCTGAGAAGTTCTTGTTGTTCCTTTAAAAGCTTTGATCCTTCCTCTCTCAACCTATTAATCTGAACAGCAGATATAAAAATGAAACAATTTGTGTTTGATTAAAAGTTTGCTTAAGATAAAAGACCATGAAATGACAATAAAGAAACTCACTTCAGCTTCCAAATTCTTTGCAGCTATTTCATCACTTTCCTTTTCTGTTTTGGCTGCATCCTCCCTTGCTTCAAGATCTGCAATAAAACTCTCAAATTTTACTTTGTACAACGCATTTTGTCATACTCCCCTTGATATCAGCTGATAACCATTATAGAAAACACATTTTCCTGCTAACTGCCAAAGAAAACATTGACATGATCTGAAAAAAAGCATTACCGTTAAGTCCCAACTTCTCTAAACAGCTTCTCTATAATTTTTTGGGGAAGGGAAGCAGAACAGGTTATCAGGGAATTGGATTATTCTATGATATAGGTGTCATCATTTTTTAGTTATAAAAAAAAAAACTCTATATTAGTGTATAGAGAGTGGTATGTTACCTGCACCAATCAGATCATTTGAGATATGTATCTCACTCCAATCCAATAGCCACATTAGGGTATTATCTCGCACCAATCAGAGCATCGGTTTTGTTCTTTAGTTTGAGAGGTGTTCAAATTTCAACAAAGTAATGGGGGATTCAGAGAGAGTGGTTCGTAAAATGGAATCATCCTTTAGAATGAGAAATGTTGGCTTTTCTGTGTTTTTAACATGTATTTTACCATGTGATCTACTAATGTTGAAAATATATCAAGTTGAAGGAACAATTTTGGTCTCGGTCCACATTTTTGTCAACGAAATAAACACAAACCGTTTAAAAAGATGATAATACAGACCACATGCAAAGCTGTCAATTTTTTCTCGAATATTATGCGTGTTAAATATTCAATGGTGACATCTCATTAAAATCTACATCAACATCTGCTTTTATTACGCTGGTAAAATCTGTATAGACATCACACTAACCAACTTGCGCGCAAAGTGAGAAGACTATATGAAGGCTTGAAATTATTAAGATTGATTTTGATTGAGAAACAGGTGAGGAATATTCCACAATAGTGCAAATAATCATGAAAGCTGATCATGGAAAAGCGATTGCGTGACGCTCCGTAAGTTGTAAGGTGACATGTTATCACATACTAGACAAAAAAACTCCTTAGATTCTCAGTCTGCATTTTATACCAACTCTGCAGTCTGCAGTCTACATTTTGTACCTAGTCTACATTTTGTATCCAGTCTGCAGTCTGCATTTTGTACTAAAAGGTATCTGTGGCACCAATACAGTTTATTTTTGGTAACAGTTATTCCCACAACACACACAATCTACCACAAAATAACTGTGCGTGAGTTAATTCAACATTTTTGTTCTTTTCCACTTTAATACTCTTCTTTCCTTTTGTAAAAATGGAGACATCACTTACAATGTTTCAATCACTCCACCCACCCCCAAAAATAACTCTTGCATGCATAGCATGCTTGCATTTTATTTGCTTGTTCCACTTAACAACCAGTAGTTGTTAGTTGCAACAACTAACAACCATTGTTTTTTTTTGACACATGGCTTATTATTCAAAGGACTCTTATCCTACCTTGTTTAAATTTTTTTCTCTTTGCATCCAAAGCCTGTGTTCGTAACCTTGCTTGTTCTTTAGCCTTCAGTACAGCATCATAAGCAGCTTTTGCCTTTGGATCACTGAGTACCTCCAATGCCTTTGAGAGCTCATGAAATAATTCAACTAAAAAGTGAAATATAGATCTACAGGTATAAGTACGAATAAAACCTATACTTATACTTCTTTCTGAAGAAATACTCACTTCACTTTGATCAAAAATGATCACTGCATGACCAGTACTTCAACATTTGCACGAAAGTCTATATTTCTATATTATGCATTAACATAAATTGCATCCTTACGGGCTTGTGGGTTATCAGGATTCTTATCAGGATGACATTTCAGTGCCTTTTTCCTATAAGCTTTAGCAATCTGCAAAGCAAAGCAAAAATAAAGTTTCTGTGAGCGGCACCAATTTGCAATGCAGTTGAGTTGTACAACAAGATAAGTTAGCGCAGTAAAAACTTTAAAAAATCCCCCTTGATAAGTTATATTCAATTCGTTCAGTAAAATTTTAATCATATAAGTTTTTACCTCTTTTAAGCTGCTTTCTTTGCTAACTCCAAGAATTTCATAATAAGTCAATTTGTCCGCCATGTTGAAAATTGTGACCCAGACCTCTCACGTCCTCTTCACACAGTCGTAATATAACGTGCAGGTTAAAATGGATGTAGTTAATGACTCGGGGATCAATTTTATCATTTATTTACAAAATTCTTGCGCCGATTGGCAAAAAGAGATGCTCTTCCTTTCAAAAGTTGGTGATCCTAGAAACTCCTTTCTGATCTATTTTCCAGTGGCTTTTCACTTGAACCACAAGCTAGGAGTGAGTGTGTTATGGACGGCTGTTCTGTCTGAATGGCTCAACTTAATTATGAAATGGTAAGAAGGAAATGGCTCGTGTGCTATTATCTTGTATGTTAAGCAATTTAACTGAAAGCTGTGAAAAACTTCCTTGCATGGTATCTTTTCAAGAAAGAACCAATCACAATTGTAAAAAGCATACCACCAATAACCTTATTCAAAACTAACCAATCACTTTCCATGCATCAGACTCGCAAGAGTCTCATAACAAGTCTCAGCTCAGGTGGAAATGTCATCAAATCATTGGCTGTTACCATTAGTGACTTCATCTCATTATTATGATGATAATAATTTATCTCATTATTAAATGCAAGGGTGTGGTTGTATAAATATGGGGACAGAAAGTTATACCCTTGGCTGAAATTAACTCCCTTAAGTCCCATGAGAAGCTTCAGTTTTCCTGCTACTGCTGCTTAAGTGTCCTGGTGCTGGTGTCCAGGTCCCCACCTCTAATGAGAATCCTGCCAGATGACAACAGTCCATTTCCAATTCAGGACTGCCTTCATTCTGACAATCACATTAAGTGATTAGGATGTCACAAGTTATCTTATTCTACATGCACCATCATAAATTGTTTGCTAAGATGAATCACTGTGTCTGTTAGGATTCTGAGAGGTGACAGGCCATACTGGTGGGTACATGAGTCAGAACAATGGAGGAATGTGACACTTCAGCAGTTTGAATTGACTTGTGAAACAGGACCAGGCAAGTAAAGGAATTAGACCATATACCACCTCTTTACTTAAAAGTACAAAGATGCTTTTGAAATATCAGCTCACTAACCTTCTTTAAAATTTCGCATCGTGTTATTGGTTGGTCAAGTTTATTTTGGGACTGATCCACAAACTTGCAATAAATAGGTTTTCTAACTCTCAAGAATTCTCCAACATCCCCAAGTTTTTCAATCTAAACATACCTATCAGCCAGGCAGTTTGTTAACTGGTATATAAACTAGAGTAACATCAACAAGTCATGTATCTTTTGCACGGTAGATAATTTTGTTGTTACTCTCTCTCATTTCAACAGGGTCACCATCTGGTCATGCTATGGTCACCTCAGCTGTGCTATGCATATTAGCATTGCATGTGATGAGCTCACTCAAGGAAACAATCTTACTTCAAACACATCTGTTGTTGAGATATTTTACAACCGTGACAGTTTGGAGTTTGTTTTTAACTGTTGTCTCTCTTGTGTCAGTCTCAAGAATATTCTTAGCAACACATTTTCCTCATCAAGTGGTACAGGGCACAGTAATTGGTGTGATACTAGCATTTTTTGTAAGAAAGAACATTTCTAAATTACTAAAAGTTGCCTATTCTTTTTCTTATTGTGCAGCTTTTTCCTTAGCCTTGGTGGCAATAACCTTAGTGTCACATGTTATCCTTTCATTCCTTGTATATGATCCTTCAATTTCGGTAATGAAAGCCAAGAAGTGGTGTATAAAGGCATCGTACATCCATCTGGATACTACACCATTTTATGCACTAGTTCGTGATTCTGGAGCAACTTTAGGATTAGGAATTGCTTTCACTGTGATAAGATTGATTCTTAAAACAAGGGAAAATAACTGGAGAGGATTTCAAACAACATTACTGACAGGAAGTCTAAAAATTCCATTGTCACTTTTTGTATTACAGTTATTGGAAGTGATATCTTTACCTAAATCACATCCTACGCTGTTTTATTCTGCCGGGTTCATCCGTTACTCTCTTATTTCGGTTGTTGTAATTTTAATTGTTCCAAGCATAGTATTACTGTGAGTGTTTTAAAAAAGTGAATTTTGAAGAGTTGTACGTGTATTTGATTGATGCATTTATTTATAATTATAATCATATTGATATTACATGACTTAGTTCATAAGGATGGGTTTAACTATTTTTAACTATTTTTACGCATGTCCAGATTAGCCTCCTTCAGTTCCTGGTGTTACATGTACTTTTGAGTGACAATTTGGTTTTGAACCTGTTGTCGATGGCAGTAAAGCTAATTTACGTGAATGTTAAGAATAGAAATATATAAATCATGCCACGGATGAAAGTGGCCTTTGCAAAGAAAGTGTTCCTTTTTAATTTTTTTGTAATGCAAAAGAGGCAATGCATGGAAATGGAAATAATTTATGATACATTTAATGAATGAAGAGATGAAGAAATAAATGGATAAAATCAGAATGCTTTATATTGTAATAAGTACTGCGTGACATCCAGGTGTCACGCGTGACCGATAAGCGTGATAATTATGTTCGGGCGCGGGAAGATTGGAAAGGAGCGTGCTTGATCCCAGTTTCTTCATTTCACGGCTCGCCTCGGCAGGTAAGGCGAGGGTCCACGCAACATGAACGTGAGTAGCATTGAAATTTGAGGGTAATTCGAACATAAACCACTAGAATGTCTGCTAGGGAAGTTCACGGCATTCTTTACTACAACAGGTGTACACGGATGGCGACGAACAGAAGGAACTCTGGGATGAACTTAGCAAAGGAGTAGAAAGCTCACGATTAGTTGTTGTGCATTTGACGAAAGGAGACGAAGGTACGTAAGAATATTTATCGCGGACTCAGCTATTATGACCTTCGGACCTTATTACCTTGGCGTAATTGTCTTTCCGAACGCTCTCTACTTTGACGAAATACTGATACGTGGGAATGAAAATTTTCTTTTTTCGCAAATTCGAGGTCGACGTGAAGGTATTGTTAACAAGTGTGCGCTAGCTTGACACCTCACTGCACGGAATGTATGGAGCCTCCATAAATAGATTTGAGCTCATACAACCTTTAAATACGATTAATTTAAATACTTGCTAATGGCGTTAGAGTTTTAGTTAAAGATCTGTCCGGTTTTCAGTTTGAAAGCATATTAATACCTACCGCAACAAAGTTGTTATTGTTCGTGAAAACTCATTCAAAACAGAACTCAAAGATGGTCACAGCATCCTAAATGGTGCGTGCATTGTCTACACAGTATGTCTTACGTTTCAATATCGCAGCTTCTCGTTCATCATTCGTCTACTCAAAAAAGCTTTGTACAGCGAACTCCGTTTAAAGTGATGTTACTTCACATGTTCACATAAGATCGTCTAGAACATACTAATTCTTTCATTTGTTTGGTATGTTACACATTTACTAAATGTCCATTCTAGGAATTTCCTTTTGAAGCCAATATCACATAAAATCGATTTAGGTTGAAAAATATTAAGTAGATCGCCTGATGAAGTATATTGTTGAATTTAAAACTAGATGGACTCCTGTGCGAGGGAATCCCCTTTTGTTCAAAATCCATCCACTAGCAGTAGAGTAGATTTAAACAATTTTAAAATCATTATTTATAACCTCAAGGTTTTAAATTAGACATCCAATCATTATTTGAGTTGCTATTAGTGGAAAATTAAAAGACCCTTAGTTTTATTGGAAAATCATGAAATAATAGATGAATTGAAAGCAGGGAGGCTGTGAGCTCATAAATACTGGTTGCAACTTTGATCATCAGGCCTAAAATTTGTTTTATCTCCTTCAGGGTTTGGTTTTAACATTCGAGGCGGAGTTGATCACCCTCATGTCGGGTGTGACCCAGGAATATTCATCACCACTGTCAGAGCTGACAGTGTGGCTGGGAGAGATGGGAGACTAGAACCAGGGGACAGGATATTGGCAGTATGTAGTTCAAGCAGGATTTTTTAAATAAATGAAAAAAAATTTAATCTTATAAATACAAAAATATACCTAATATTCCAACTACTAAGACCCAGTTCAGGGTTGACCACCAAGCTTTGTCTTCTGGCAACCTGTTATGGGTTCTTTTATAAAAGCTTTAATAAGGAAAGAACCCTATAACACTTTAACCTCCTTACCCTTTAAGGAAATTTAAAGATATCAGTGGAGAATATCAATACTAATATTGGGGTGTAAAAGATAAATCTTCAGCTAAGATGAGAATTTACTTTGTGTTGTAATTGATTTTGGCACTGCTGATCCTAGCAGAATGCAGGAGGTTCCTTGCATATCAACCTAGCAATGGCCTTGCTCAGTGGAAAGTTCTCTCACTGTTACTCAATGGTAGAGCATCTGGCTACAAAATCCAAAGGCTTGGGGTTTGATTCCTTGTGGGAAACTTTGATCTTTCACTGGTTTTGAAAAACTTAACTTCGAAGAATAATACATATGGGTTGACATGGCTCTCAAGACTGAACACAATAAGGTGAATTACTTAAAGTTTATTGTGATTCTTTGTATTTTTTCAATAGCTAAATGCCACAAATCTTGAACGTGTGACTCATGATGAAGCTGTCAATGAATTCCACAAAGCAGAAGAAACTGTTTCCTTACTAGTGGAGAAGAATGCTGAGGCATATCTGTTGGTCAGTTTTGAATATTGTGTACTTTTTTGACTTGTTTCTCGATATTTGATTTTAGGAAATATAATCATTGTGGGATGGCCAATGTGGGGTTACAAATCAGCAGCCTATTACTGGTTGTAAGTAAGGATATGAGGAACTATTTCCTCTATACTAAAAGTGTGGTTTAGTTCATTGATTTTTTGGCCTATTTTGCAGTCAAACGAAGTCCCAAGCTCACCAGAAGTAACAGAGACAGATGGACCAGTAACACTTGAACCAGATCAGGAAGAACCCCCTAATGCAGTTATTAGTACATTAAAACATTTCTACAATTCCAACCTAGGAGCTCTGTCAATTGGATTGGCAATTGGAAGTTTAGCTGTCTATGTTGCTCTTCGAATTTATAAAGTTAACAAGTAGCACTAGAGATGATTAGGGATAGATACACAATTCTTCAGCCTTTGTTACCAAAGATCCTCTAAATGTGAATTCTCATAGCAGTGAACCAGATCAAAAAACATGTGGATGTCAATGGCAAAAAGTCTTTTTTATTTTGGAATGTCTACAAAGCAATATTGACATTGATATGTGGAATTCTGTAGGGAGAAAATAGCTCATGGTTGCTTTAAAAAACCTAATCATTCCATGCCCCTGGAGCAGGGTGAATTTCTACATCAGTTGATACTCTGAAGGTCAGTCTCAAAACTGGTAATCGTCAAAAGCTACACAAACATTCCAGCAACACAGAGTATACCTCTCACTGTTAAGTGGTTTGACGACACAGAACAAAGTGATTGGTTATTTCTTATTCTTGCAACATAATCGTTCCATAAACTGTCCCCTCATGTCTGAGGTTGCGTTTTAACTTTATGTCAGATTAATGTTATTTTCTTGGCCGGTTGATCATCCACATTATCATTTTACACGAGGGACTAAATAATATTACCCTAGCGCTGACATTACCGTTTCTTCAAGAACAGCACGTGAGGTTAAAGATGATTGGTTTACGTTGGGCTATTGTAGATAGGCCTTTGTTAGCTAGATACCGTTCAAGTTGTTTATTATTCTCGCCTTTTGTTCTCCCCTCCACCTGTCATTAGAAATAGCTAAGTGATAAATTAACTTCATTCTTTTGAGATCGTCACCCATGGTTAAAAAAATTGAAGATGAATAGCCATTAGCTTTTACTCTTGATTCCAAATTTTTGTAGTTTATTTTGCATACACCAACATGGAAATAAAATACAAAATCCTCTTCGCCTCGCCTCTGAAATTCAATTGAAGCACAGGAACCCCAATCTCGCCATTTAAGAGCGTTCATAGGGACGACCAACATTCAAGGCTCCCATGAACTGAATAGTGTGGCATTTACTGACAGTTTTTCCTCCCGTTTTTATCGTATCGTGGCAGTTACTACTGCTAAGGTTATTAAGCCTATTTCACAGATTATATGTTTATGATTATTTTGGTTACTGCATCGCTAAAATTCCTTGACGAACGGTTCCTCAGTTCCAAATCTGTTGTCATCACCGCACCAAGTTGACGTCCAGTGGCTACTAGATCATCCGCAAAACGTTGTTCATTTTTGCGGATGATCTAGTGGTCATTTTTAAAGCAATTGAAAGTTAAAAGACGCCATTACAGCTATCAAATTTCAGATGTTGTTTACAAAACGCGAAGGGGTGAAACTCCTGAAGTACCAAATTAACAAATGCGGTGAATTTCATTGACACGCTTGGGACCTGTTTATAATGAGCGATTTTTGCGCATGTTCTCGTATTGCCAAGTGACGTAAATCAAACAACACAACCAATCAGATTACGAGTAGCACAGGCATAGCTTCATCACTGCAAACAACATCGCGTTTTGTAATTTTATAGTTTATGATTTTATCGGTAATCAGCGTATTGATATAAGGAGAATGTTTAAGGTTGATGTATTCAAGATTCCCTCAGTTTTCTTTCTCCATCAAACTCACTGCCTTGAGTTCGTAACATGCTAATTTAACGGCAAAACCATCATCGCGGTAAGTACAAATTCTCGACTTCTGTCTTGACGCGAGCTGTTAGTGTATGATTTCTTTCCCTGTATTGTAAGATAATAACTTTTCCTATCAAGTGAGCCCTTTGCAGGAAAACCGATCAAGGGCTGCCACAACTTTATGGTGAAAAAACATGGTTTTGCGGTTGTGAAATCAATGCACCTTTTTTTTTTCAAAATCTTTCCTTTGTTCTCTGCGCTGACATTATAGTGGCTATTCTTCCATTCCTTCAACGAAAAATGAAACAAAACTAAGCCTTGACACTTATACCGCATAAAGTGAAAATTTTGTGAAAATTGAAGAGCTACTTGATCGTGTGAATGGAACAGGACAATATTGTTGGAACACATTTTTCAACAGCTTTGTTCGAAAAGAGAGGCCGACTGAATCTGCTTCGTATACTCGTGAGTATCCTGGCTCTGAAGATTTGAAAACAAAAATTTCTTTCGTTTTGAATTCATCTACTTATTTACCTATTTATTTTCTAACAGGCAAGAGAAAGAATGAAATCTAGCTATCGTTATGACGATGCAACGGAAAGAAGCTCTTGGTAGTTTGTTGAACATATTGACTAAGTTAGGCTTTCATTCTAAGAGCAGGTGAAAAATTAATTACTTAAAAATTTCATGTACTCTCTATGGCTATGAGTGTTCTAACGCACTATTCCTTGTCACGAGTGTTCCCGTTGTTGCCTGAGAGAATACATATATGTTATTTGCCGGCTGGGAGGTCCGTATGGTGAAAAACTGTGACCTCGGTCTTGAAAATGTTTCCCGAGGCCGTAGGCCGAGGGCAGCATTTTCAAGAACGACGTCACAGTTTTTCACCATACGGACCAACCCTTAGCCGGTAAATAACATATTTATTGTTTTTAAACTTGACGAAATTCTTTCCGAAAGAACCCGAATGACTTATGGACGTAAATACGGCAAGATCTTCCATAAACTGAACAATTTTTGAGTGAGTAAATGGTAGTTAAAGTAGAGGTGATGCAAATTTAAGAGAGATGCCTCAGCGAAACATTTTCACTTCCGTAACGATAAAGGTGATTTAAAAGGCTTCCAAACAAACTTTGAAACATTATTTTTACAAGTATCTGTCACAATCTGACACCTGTCAATTAGAGAGCGCGCAAGAAAAAAAAATCGTAGGAACATTTGAAAACCAACAGAACTAGTTTGGCAAGGACTCTCACGACAATGTTTTCTTAAAAATCAGTTAATGATCTAACGGAAAGTATTATTTACTCTCATCGACCATTCATTCATGTACGAAGATTTACCTCTGTTCATTAAGTAAACGGCGAGGAAAGTAATTGTGAGTAAATTCAATTTTTTATTTTGAAGTTGTGAGAGTTTGCTCGTTTGTTTGCTGTAATGGCGTGTTTAACTCTGATCTTTCCTTCACAAAAACTAAATTCGAACGGCACACTCCAACGAGACACAAGGGAATTTAATGCAGCCTTTTCTCAATTCCTTCAATTTCTGTTGTGCAATTTAAGGTACAAATGTCCAAATTGAACGGAATTGGAAAGACTCACCAGGAGCGTATATTTGTTGTAGAACTTAAATTAAAACTTCGCTCGCTTTTTTTTTACTATGAACAAATTGCTCGAGAAAATTCAGATATTAAATGAATGAAAGTTCCATCGTTCAGTTTAACTGTAACCAAATACCTCACGTTTCAACTTTCTGGGTACTTTTTGTGAACAATTAAAATTAATTGCAGATGGTTTTTTTGCCGCTCGTCAACCAACGTAATGACACTATTGTTTATACAAATTCATTCTGAAACCAATATTTTTCTGTCAACCAAAGTGATTTGATAGAGAGAAAAGGGAGGATTCATAAGTTATTTATCGGCTTGAGGTAGTGACCGACGTGTTTGCTTAAAAATACTGCCCAGCTGGAAAACGAGGTATATTTATGAAAAATGACAACGAAAGTTGGGATGTACTCGGCGACTCACGAAAGCGTTACCGTGGCCCGTGGGCAGAGATAGGAAAATACTGACCGGGTAAAGAACCAATCAGATTGCAAGATTCGTTACCGTGCCCTCCAAAGAAACAATAAGATCAATTATTTAAGACTTCTGTCTTAAGTACTGCAGTATTTGAAATCATCAATACGAACGGTTCCTCAGTTCCAAATCTGTTGTCATCACCGCACCAAGTTGACGTTCAGTGACTACTAGATCATCAGCAAAACGTTGTCCATTTTTGCAGATGATCTAGTGGTCATTTCTCCCTCACTTTTCTTTCTCCATCAAACTCACTGCCTTGAGTTCGTAACATGCTAATTTAACGGCAAAACCATCATCACGGTAAGTAAAAATTCTCGACTTCTGTCTTGACGCGAGCTGTCAGTGTATGATATCTTTCCCTATATAGCTGGACAATAACTTTTCCTATCAAGTGAGCCCTTTGCAGGAAAACCGATCAAGGGCTGTCACAACTTTATGGTGAAAAAACATGGTTTTGCGGTTGTGAAATCAATGCACCTTTTTTTTTTTCAAAATATTTCCTTTGTTCTCTGCGCTGACATTATAGTGGCTATTCTTCCATTCCTTCAACGAAAAATGAAACAAAACTAAGCCTTGACACTTATACCGCATAAAGTGAAAATTTTGTGAAAATTGAAGAGCTACTTGATCGTGTGAATGGAACAGGACAATATTGTTGGAACACATTTTCAACTTAACTGTCAAGAGACGGGTTGCACAGTCATTGAAGGAAAGGTCGATTTGCAATCGCAGCATGGTTACCAAGTTCTTATGTTTACTCAAGTGGCGAAGTTGAATTTTCAATTCTGTTATTTCATTTCATTTATTTTCCTCACTAGTTAGAGACCCATCCGGCGGATACATCAGACATGTTAACGGAGCTTTTCAGTGGAATCATGATGACTTTGCCTCTGCTCGTCATCCTTCATTCTGCGCAGCCTGGTGTACTATCTTCCATAAACAACTGTTTAACAGGAGGATTCTTCTTCGCTTCAGGAAGAAACATGATAAACAACTGTGCCCTTCGGGGTCACCTGTTACGTCAGATGACTGTAACACAGCCAATCAGATGCTTTGAAAAGTGCCAGTCTGACTGTCGGTGCATCTCGTTCAATTATCTGACCGATGTGAATAAAAATAACTGCGAGCTTAATGAGGAAAGTAGGTATACCAATTTCAGTGCGTTGAAGCCTCTAGAGGGATCGCAGTACTACGATCTAATCGTCAGCTATGATATTAGGGTAAGGAAAGCTTAAGGTGATTCCTCAATACTGCACACTGCATCCTGTACTTCGCAGATTTCGAAATCACATAATCAGGCGAATAAGCGCGCGTGCATTCCGAGAACACGGTCGTGTTTTTCAATTAATAGACCAAGCAAAGCAAAGAGGTACGATGGTCCTTAGCTCTTGAACGAACACGGTGACCTACATTTTTTATTGTTTAATTTTGGTGTACAAATCATCTCCTTTAAAGTGGAGAAATTAAAAAAAATTCAGTGAAGAAAAGAAAGATATAGCTTAAAACGGTACGAAGCCTGCGGTTACTTCAGGATGCATATTATGACCTTGGAAGCAACGAATCGAGGAAAGTTTTGAGGAATTTTTAGTGCTGTTCCTGCGAGTCAAGTTTCACTTAAACGACCATAATTGGTACAGGAAAAAAGTGGTTGCTTGATGGACGTAGTCTCCGAAGAGAAAAAGTCACTACAAAAAGCCTTGCAAAAACTGATTAGAGAAGGTTTTAACTTTTGTTTTCTACAATGCATTGTGACAAAATTGTTTGGGGATTAAAAGTAACCTTGAAATAGCTGAAATGAAAAACTCTTCTTCCAAGTCTCCAATATCACTATGTTTCACATGCCATTTTAGGTCATGAACTTATTCTTTGAAACATAACTTTTCTTTTTTTATGTTTTTACCCTTTGGTTCTGAATAAACAAATTTGTTTAGACAAACGTCCCCTTGGCTGAGTGTTACAATGGATGTTGTGCAACTCAGACCTGCTTTAACGGTGGAACATGTCACGAGACTTGTGACGTCACAGGCAAGCGATTCAAGTGTTCATGCAAGCCAAACATCGTTGGAAAGTTCTGTGAAACTGGTAAGCTTAGTACTCTAGGTTTATATGAGGTTCTTAGATCGACATTGTTTCAACTTCCGTGGCATTTGAATGTCAGTTATTACTGCAAATCCTTACATCCGATTGGAGGTTATCGCTAACGAATAAACCACACTCCCTCGAACATTTCTTTTGTATCGAAAATAGAAAGAAAAAAGTAAATCATCGATTGGAAGCGATGAAGAGCTGTTCGAGACAAAGTGGGCCTCATCAGCCTGGTATCGCTAACATGATGATTTTAAGTTCCTACATAAGAGATGTAAAGATGTGGTCTCGGAAGGCTGGAACAACTTTGTATGCCCTCGAATTAGAACGCTACCTTCATATTTTCTTTTGGTAATAAAGACTTAGAACCAATATACCATAATTATCATTGGTGCATGCACATTCTGTTGTTACAGCACACCATGTCATCATTTGACTGCTTACACAACAACTAACACAGTGTCACTTTCCACAGCCACATGCTCCACTCCTGGCTGGCTCAGAGTTAACAATTCATGCTATAAGGAGTTTAATGAACAGGTAAACTGGTTTACTGCTCAACAAGCGTGTCAAAACTTGAACAGCAATCTTACATCCATTCATTCAGATGCAGAAAACAAGGTTATTCGGGAAAAGGTTGCATCATCAATTTATTCAAGATACTGGATTGGACTTAACAACTTAAGAAACAACTCCGTGTTTGAATGGAATGATGGATCTTCTGTGTCATTCACTAAATGGTATCCTGATGAACCAAATAATAACGGAGACGAAAATTGTACTGAGGTCGTGGATAACGTCGCTGGCGAATGGAATGATTTGAACTGTTATACTCATTACAGGAGTTACGTTTGTGAAAAGCAATGGAACCTTTGAAGTCTTTCACTTTGAAGAACTTTACTTTTGATCACGATGCTCTCTTGTTTCAAGCCATGAATTTTATCTCTGTAGGATGTAAAATATCTCTCTTTATACTGAGAGAAGATGAGACCCCCATCTACCAAAGCCCAAGAAGGACATTGCACAGTGTCAGTTAATTTTGCTACTTTTTAAAATTCACCTGATCTTGTCAGGAATGGGTTGATAATGAGCTAAATTAAAAGACCGAGTGACATGAAGGGCTAGAGGAGCGTTTAGCTCCACTGGGTGAGAAAAATCTGCTCAAACCCATTGGAAACATTACATTTGTAGTTTATACTTTGAGTTTATCTTATCGCTCGTGTAATTTCAGTGCACCGTAATGATTTCTCCAAATATACGAGAAGTCAGTCTTTGAGATCTCAGAGCCAAGTCCTTCTCACAAAAAATAATGTAGTCAGACATCCCTCCATATTTCTCGACAAAAATGACCAAATAAAAAAAATTTAAATCACGCTCTCATTTTTATTCTCTGGTTAAGAGAATTGCAAAGATCTTCGATTTCGTGTTGGCCTTTAAAAATTAATTATTTTAGATGCTCTTTCATAGTCAAGGGTTTTGCCTGAGAGGAACAGTCCATCGTATAATGTTAGTCCAGGTGGGATGAGAGTCGTCCTCAAAATAATTATGAGCCATTATCTCTGAAAATTAAACTGACGTTTCGACAACCTGACCTCCATCATATGGTTAATTGAGGAAATGCGTGGTGTTGGGGGATAATTCGTGATAATGCTTTACTTTTCAACAAACGTTCAACACACTTTCACGAACTAAGTCAAAATTCTCTATTCAACGCTTTCCGAGCTCAAAAATAATCTTCACTCCCATTCTAAAAAGTCTCACTGACTCCATCAAATGACAGACCGTCATTTCGACATATATAACAGGCTCTTATCTGTGAAGGGAGGGATTTTTCCACATGGCAACAAGTACTAAGCTTTTCGCCATCACTGCCACAACGGATGATACCCCATTGATAACGGAAACTGTTATGTTCGCGATAAAAACGTATAGAGGTACATCGAGGTTGATTTCAAGGTAGTAACAGTTCCTATCGAGGGAATGATTTAGCGAATTCCTAGCTTCGTAAAAGCTGTAGCTGTTGTTCATTTCTGTACTTTATGTCCCTTAATTAATGTTGATAACAATTGTCAACGGTGAACAAGTCGACTTTTCAAAACCCATAACCACCTTGAATGTTCTAGCTTTGAAAAAAAGCCTCTGAACTCTACGAGTTCACAAGCAAAAAACTTCTCATCCTCATTGTGTTTGTACCTTTAATTAAATTTGCAATTATCTTTGTAAATGCGCTTTATTTCACTACCTTGCCTCAGTCCAAATAAATATTCTCCTTTTTTTCACCAGGTGTTTCGTCGACAGCGCGTTTGAGGAATTTCATTGAAGACTGAAAACTATTTGATCGATGTCGTTTTTTATATATGCCTTTACGAGTTATCTGTTTTTTGTTTAGGAGAACTTACTACACTATTGACGGGGCCTTCGAACATGTGTGAAACGATATCAATTAGGGAGGCACGAATGAATTATTTGCCGAAGCTTCGAGAGCGAAAAGACAGCCCTGGTTAAATATTATTTCAAGTTCGATAAAGGTTTATTAGAACAAAATAAACTGATATGAAAACTTGAGAGGAATTGGCAAAATACACCTTTTCTAGGTGACAAAACAATTTGGCTTATTTTCTTATAGATAGGAATGCCTCTTCGAAAATTTCCATTAACTTTCATTTCTAAAGCAGGAAATTAAGTTAAATTATGTTTGTTTGATTGGAAAATGTATCCTTTTGAGAAAGTGAAGGTTGAAAAACAAACCAAGATATTGATATTTGTATTAATGATCTTATTCTTTGGAAACATTGTTACTCGGTAGTAAAAATGGAAAACACTATTTGCTGCAAATTTTGAATAATAACCAATGGTACATTGCTCTTTGAGAAAGCAAATGAGGAATGTACTAAGAGAACAGTTTAAAAGAAAACAGTTAATTAACTTTGAAGAAGAGAAACACTTACAAAAGGTATTAATGGGCAGCAAGAAAATCTAAAACAAGTACAAATAACATTTTTTGACAAATTTCATTTAAATTTTTCGCGAACGTGATCGTATTTTGCAGGTGTCTGTGTGGGCCTGAATTGAAAAAGAGAAAAGAAAAGATCTTGTCGAGAGAGGGATTGATATGACAAAAATCTGCGGGTATTACTGCGTCTAGTTTAAGAAATCAGAAACACAAAGAATGCAAATTTAACACACTCATAAAATAGTCAGAAAACTGCACCGTAAACGATCGATATTCCCAGGCTTACAGTGTGAGATAATCAATTATAGTTCCCAATCTTTTACCAAGATTGCCTCGAGAGTTTGGTTACTGTTTGTATCTAGCTGACAACTTCTCTTGGTTGAAATCCCGGTTCCTGAACCTACGAGCCATTACTGTGCTGGAGATAATTATTTTAACAAAGTTTGAAAACGGAGCAAAGTGACAGTTTGAGCCAAAGGGAAATAAATTACAGAAAAACTTCTAGTTCGCCGTTTGCAATCCTTTTCAATCCTCCTCCTTTTAAGCTATATCTATTCCTCTCTTTCTCTTTTTTTTCCTTTTTTTCCTTTGAATGAAATATTGAATTTGAATGGACGGATGTGGGGGAGGAGGTTGTGAATGACTGTCCCCCACGTACTATATCTGAAAATTCAACTTCTTGACATTTAAACCAACACAGTTTCAGTTCTCTAAGTCACTAATCAATACTTATCGGCTACCTTTGCAACTTTTCAAAAGTCTGAAGACAGCTCTCCGTATTTCCCGCATTCTACAGCAGTAAAATATTGGATTAAGAGATGAATTGATGTACACAATGGTGGCTGCGACACCAAGTATCACATGCAAGTCTGTTGTGATCTTACCTTCTATCGTTATGGCAACAAAGCACCAGAAAAGTGGAGTGTAACATATCAGGTACAAGGCGAACAGGTATGTCATGGTTAGAGCTGTCTTAGCTCTCGATGTCACTTCCAGGTTTCTGACCTGATTGGATGTCACGTTACGGTTGATATCCCGGATTGCTTTCTTGTGATGACGCGCTAAGAGAAGAATTCTCAAATGCAAATAGCAATTTAGTACCAGAAGCAACGGGATGATCACGTGCGCAAGTAAACCCAAACCTGATTCTACGAATCGTGACAGTGCTGAAGATGAAGTGAAGATCCAACAGGAAAGCACAACAAATAACACACGATTCTTTGTAACAATGGCTTCGTACCTCAGTGGATACATTAAGCAAGTGTATCGTTCCACACTTAGACAAAACAAATTTAGAAATGTCGCACCAGCCCCAATAGCACCAAATGTCTCAGACATGAACCACAGGAAGCAAGCTCTGGAAAGATTCACGTTTCCAAACCCCACCTTGACCATAAAACTGGTTTGCGAAAACAGCCCCACAAAGAGATCTGAGGTGATTAACGAACAAAGCAGACCATTCTTCGGTGAATGTAGTGCTGGAGTTCGTATAATAGCGCACAGAACAAAAATATTGAATGTGATTGCTGTCGTCGACGTTACTGCATTTGCAGTGATGAGGAGAATAGCAATTTCTCGCTTGTACCAGGAAACATCGGCTTCCAGATCTAGAAATGTACAATGCTGCACAAGATCTGCAGTTTGATTTCCTGAGGGCGGTAACCCAGCTCTACTTTGGTTAATTGATAGCATAAGAATTTATACATAAGCGTAACTTGAATTAAAGGAGCTTATTCTCTCTCGTTGTAGTACAAGAACAGCATGGAAACTTTGTAAATTCTTCGCTGAAAAGAAACTAATGCACTGATTTGAAAGAAACGATTACGTTGAATACAGATTGTGCAATGTTTATAGTCGAAGTGTCATATTTCAAATCTCTTTTCGTAAAAGTAAATGAAAGTCCGCTATGTTTGTTTTTCACCAAACATCTACTTCCTTTTTCAATCAATAGTGAAGTATTTTAATAACTTTATACCGCATAGCTAAAAGATTATTTACACTCAGAAAAATCGAACAGATGGAGTTTCACACGATTCTCACAAAATACGAGGACGATTGTTTGTAAATTTCGTCTGTTGCTTACGAGATTAAATTAAAGTTGACCTTCGAGAATTTTCCACCCATAGCTTTGGATCTTAAGAAATAGAAAAAAAAATCAGTGGCGAATTGTGATTTGAAGAGGATCTGGCTTCCATTTCTTCTTCTTCTTCTTCTTCTTCTTCTTCTTTTTCTTCTTTTTCTTCTTGTTCTTGTTCTTGTTCTTCTCCTTCTTCTTCTTGTTCTTGTTCTTCTTCTTCTTCTTCTTCTTCTTCTCCTTCTTCTTCGTCTTCTCTTCTTCTTTTTCCTCTTTTCCTTTTCCTTTTTCATCCTCTTCTTCTTCTTCTTTCTTCTCCTTCTTCTTCTCCTCCTTCTTCTTCTTCCTCTGCTTCTGCTTGTTCTTCTTCTTCTGTTTCTGCTTCTTACTTTTATTCTTCTTCTGATTCCTCTTCTTATTCTTCCTCTTCTTCTTCCTCTTCTTCTTCTTCTTTTTCTTCTTCTTCATCTTCTACTTCTTCCTCTGCTTCTGCTTCTTCTTCTTCTTCTGTTTCTGTTTCTTACTTTTATTCTTCCTCTGCTTCTACTTCTTCTTCTTCTCCTTCTTCTTCCTCTTCCTCTGCTTCTGCTTCTGCTTCTTCTTCTTCTTCTTCCTATTTTTCTTCTTCCTCTTCTTCTGCTTCTTTTTCTTTTTCTTCTTTTTCTTTTTTTTTTGTTCTTGTTCTTCTTGTTCTTGTTCTTCTTGTTCTTATTCTTCTTTTTCTCTTTCTTCTTCTTCTTCTTCTTCTTCTCCTTTTTCCTATTTCTTCTTCTTTCTATTTCTTCTTATTATCATTCTTTTCCCTCTTTTTCTCTTTCTCTTTCTTTTACAATTTTTATTTTTAATTCTTGGTGGTCATACATCTAATTACTACAATTACATTTTTCATTATCCCTTCGAGTCCACATCTGACTTTATACAGGGCTGATGCGCATGCCATGTTAGTGAACGGATGCGATGGAGGGGTTAGTAATGCAAGTGCGCTGTCAATCAAAGATTGAATGAAGTGAAACTCAAAACGATCAGGACTAACCCCTGACTTTTTGTATGCATGTTTTCCTTTTATCAAAAGCAATTTTTTTGCCTCACTTTGGGAACCCGTGCACCATTCAGAAAAATGGCCCACAACATACCTTTATAATTATGCAGATCCTTTAAAACAATGAATGTTAACACAAGGAAAATTTGCATTTGAATCATTAGAAAGGACGAGTGCAGATTTACTGAACAAAAGCCTTGCACACTAACACAATATATTTTTAAATTACAAAACTGTAAAGGAAAAAAGAGGTGACAATAGATACAAAGTTCTTCCTTAAATTTTGACGTGCAATAAATACGATATTTCATCATCTTATTCAGTGCGTGCTTAACCAAAGGTGAACCTATTGTTTCCGTTTAAAGTACTTTTGCGCGTCAATTTATCGCTTTCGCATTCGACTATTGTCATACTAACGTCCCAAGAGCTAAAAGCTAATTTTCGTCACTGAAAGCATTACTTGATGTCCAAAATTTGGCGTCAGTTTGCTCTAATAGAACAGGTTTTCGTTCGCACGTATGCTGACGAAAAAAAATGAATATTCATCAACGTTTTATTTGGTTCTTGTAAATTCAGAAAGATTAATCTAGCAATACGACAGCTTTTTGTTTCTTTTGAAAAACCACCTGCAGAGAATACTCAGAAGTCGAGCTTCGCGGCGAAAACTAAATCGACATTTGTGAGGAACGAAGTATGAAGCGTTGTTTTGAGCCGAGTCAAGCTCAACATTTCTTATTCTCTGAAATTTGTTTGGTATTTCCTCAGAATTTCTTTGGACTCATCCATCGATGAAAATACGTCGAGTTTACGAACAACTTTTGAAGCAAGAAAAGCGAACAGTCCTCCGATTGAAGTGTCTTTCTGGAGCAACAGCCTTTATTGTCTTCGCTGTGTTTCTCACAACGTTTCTTAGCTCAGAAGTCGTTCGGAAAATTGCTAAAGGTTTTGGTTTTGAGGAAGGTGACTGCGTTGTACAAGAATCATATTTTACTGGTAGCAATGTTAGCTGCGCATGTGGAATGCACACTTGTTTTAGCCTCTATCCTTGTTTACGGATCTTGGTAAAAATGACTGCGAAACGGACTGAAGATGCTGAAACATCTACGCCAGTCCTTCTGCATAACACCATTTACGATATGGGATCTGAAGTAAGTCAAAGGATGCCTGTTCTTCTGAGTTAACATAATTTTGCGTCTACGCACGGTTAATTATTGTTCACAGAGTTGAATAATACGTGGTAGAAAACGGAACACCGTGCTTTAAAGAGCATGTAGAATGAAACTCCCGGGCTTAAAGGAATTCCTAAACTTGAAAACAATTTACGTATGAAAGGATTTTCAAAATTTTTTCGTGTCAGCTTCATCTGCCAACGCCAAGACAATTTAAACAAATAATCGAACGGAAGACAGCCTAAAGAAGTACATCGATCCCAAGTTTTAAAAACAAAAACATATCTACAAGACTCTATAACCGTTCAGTCCAAAAAAAATTCAACTTGATATCTAAATTATGAATTAAAAAAAGTGCAACTAAAGTTCAAATACCAGTTTTCTAAACCTTCTTTCAACAAGGAACTGCAAATTGGCTAGACTATCCCGTTTGTTTACAATATAACCTTAGACGATTTATGCAAAAGTATAATCACCCGTGGTGTTTCATTATGTTAATTAGAAAACAAAATACTATCTGTTCGCGATAGCTTGCTTTAGTTTTTAAGAGCTTCCTTCGTAATAATTTATGAATCATTGATGTTGATGTTTTCTTCAATTTCAGTGTACCTACGGGCCTCCTTGTGAGCCAAATATCACCAACAACTTCGCTTCTGTGCTCAAATACAAAAACTCCAAGGGACAGCGAGATCACCTGTTGCAGTGTTACTTTAACCCGAATGATCCCACAGAGGTGATATTAGACAAAAGTGCACATGAAATGATTGCGTTTCACGCCATGTTTTGGCCATGTTGCGCATTTATAATCGGTTTGTGTATTCTGCTGAAGACATATTACATGAGGAAAGCTCACAAAAAGCAGGATGTTGTAAGGCCACAAGACATTGAACTTGGAGAGACACATCTCACCTCTAATAACAACGTTTATAATTATCATTTGGTCAAAAGTCTTACGGAATAACTGAAGAGGTGTATCATATTATCTCAAGCGAAAAATAAATTGTAAAGCAGAGATTTAATAATCTCGGAGCATTGAGTATATTTCATTTTGTCTGTTTTAGTTCTGGTTGTTCGTCTAAACCTTAGAGACTAATATAGAGATTTTTATGAAACCTAAGAGTTCCCTCTCGGCCCCGAACTCTTCCTTTTTTTTGTTAGCGCAAGAGTAAGATCGCGGAAATAGTAGGATATCAAGGGCACCGCGGTTCAAGCATCTCGTTGCAGCCTAAGTGTCCCTTAAATGCATCCATTGTTCGAAGTGCACAACACTGACATCCCGATCGTGGTCCCATTCGCTGTTAGCGATAAGAAAGGAACCAAAATATTGACCGTTAACTTCAATATTCTCATTGTATATTGTTTCTTTGATTCATTTATATAACTTTGATCCATTTATTACTCCAGTTTTTTTCATATGCTTTTTAAATAATTTCGTTTTCATTAATTTGAGATCTAAATTAATAATTCGTCAATATTTTTAAATAAATCTCTTAAAAAAATAACCTTAAATGATTATCATTATTGTTATCATTATCATCATTATTGTGATGGGTGAATATTTATAATGTCATCAATAGTTTAGTTCCCGATAAGCTTTACACTAATTAGTGTTCTTTGTAAAAAAAGAATAGTTATAATAGAAGAGATCTATTTAGAAATAAAGAAAATCTTGGGGACAGTAGATTGTTAGAGAGAAAATCCTCCTTAAATACCTTCGTCCAGAGAAGCAGCGATGCAACGCGATAATGAATTATCCCCGTTGGCTGTTCAAATGCTGCCCATATGTAATTTACAAAATTATCTTGAAAAACAATACGAAGGCAAAAGTCGACCATTTTTCACCTTTTCGGGAGCAAGTGATCTGATGCAGTGGGAAGGAGTTGTTTATACAGAGTCTAAGCGAAGTGAATGATTCCTTAAGGACTAACAAGCTAGGCAACACAGGAACAATAATCAGTGATTTTTTTAAAAGTTTGCTTTTATCTCCGTCTAAGCAATTGTTTTCCTTTTTAACTGTTCTTTCAATGTACTTGTACATATTTTCGCTAGTCTTTCTCTAATTTGTCTTTAAGAAACCTGAAATATCAGCCTCAACACAAGCCCCATAGCCTTCACGATGGTACACGCTAAACATCTCGGGTGTAAAGAACTGATTAGCGGTGATGTGATGAGGAAATGACCCTTGCAGAAGGTTAGACATGTACTGGCAGCTCTTTCCATGGCAACACAAACAGCAGCAACCTGTCAGTCTGTCAGCTTCGTGTTCAGTAATCTCAGGACTTCTTCCCCATTTCCCTTGGTCTGGATCTCCCAGCTCGATATCAGAATTTTCCCACGATTTTGGTTGCTGAGTGACAATTCTCGCAAGTGGTATGCTCTCAGATGGGTGTCTGGGAGCAATGAAGAGTATTTCTCCCTCTCCTGTTTTGTTGTCACCCTCATCATAATACTGGACTCGGAATTGGTAGCTCCGTGGCCTTTGTTGTGAATTAATTTTCAAAAAGTTAACTCTAATATCTTCCTCAATATCTCTCCCATTCACTCCAGTAAATGAGCAGTGTAATTTCTGCCTCGCCATTCTCAGAGCAGTAAGGAGAGAATCGGCGTATTTATGACCACCAGGGTTACAGGAGCCATCAAGTATCACAATTTTCTCCAGTTTTCTGTCAAGTAGTGGAAGTAAGGCTAAGTTTTCAAAGTGTCCTCCATCGCTGAGTCGCAGTACTGGCGGAGGATTAAGTCCAACGTTATTTATGTTTAGAAATCCACGAAGGAAACGAACGTAGAAAATGTGAGTAACACACCATCTAAAAGAGAAAATATAATGAATCATGGTCATTTGGAACGACAAAAAACATAAATGAAAGCATATTTTGGCAAAATCAAATAGAATGAGGCCGCTGATTCCACAGCATAAGGAAGCGTAAAAGTCAACTCCATCTCATTTGTGGTACACAAAACTAAAGAAGCAGTGACATCCAGCACTATTAGAGGATGCAGATTTTGTGATCTGTTTGGTGCAGCTGTGTTTGATACATGCTGATAGCATGAATGACGATGGTGCTCATTTTATCTATTAATGAATAAATGATGGAGTTGTTCATCATAATACTGTCACAGTCGTGGAAATAGTGATCTAGATGGCCGTCCGTGTTGGCCAACATAATGATGATGACACTGATGGTGGAGTGATAGTAGATGGTGCTCTTGGTGGTAGTAAAACAGTTTTAGAAAAGCACCTGACTAAGCGCTGAATTTTTCCCGGTTGAGTCGACCCAGTATTGAGCGCAGCCAAACTTGCAAGTGCTACAACTACGGCGATGTGTAGGAGTACTAAGAGCACCACACAGTCTTTGCTATTTCCAAGCCAGTAGACAAAGGGTAAGGCCATCAGTGGAAAAAAGCAGGCAATTTCAACCAAGATTGGTGTCACGTACTGAGGAAAACAAAACATTACTTGTTAAGATTGAGTGTTAGCTCCTTTTGCATAAGGTCTTAAAAGTATGCTGTGGTACCCAGGATAGATTCATTAGTGTCATATGAGGCATAATAAGGTCCTGAATATTTCCTGTAAAGAGCTAAATATTAGAAGGGTGAGCAACCGAGGTTCAAACGCTGAAGTAGGAAACCTTCCTCATTACGTTAAGATCGCGTATATACAAAAAGTTTAGCTAAGTTGTCTCCTTCCCCTTTGGTCTGAAAACACGACACAATTTCGTTGAAGTTATGCACACACCTTTTCACTGCAACTTAATTCCTCTTCAGAATGTTCGCCATACGCCAGTTCATCTCCTAAACTTATTCCTACCAAAGTGAACAAGTCAGAGACCATATCAAGGCCATTCTGAAAATCGTCGCCCATATCAAAGCTGACAGCAGCTCCAGATAAGGTCATTGCAACAGATAACTTCATGAGGCGAGAATGAGGACAAGCGGCAAACGTATGTGCAGCAATCCCTGTATTTTCTGTATCGTTGCCGATAAGTTTCGCTCCATCTGTTGAGAATGACATCAATTGGTGACGTGAACCGGCACCATTACCAATTTGCCAACCGTTAACTGTGATATTACTGATGAAAGTGGGTGAAAGACCCTCCAAGTCCTGAAGCGACAGCTCATCTTCCATCTCACAAGGACAAACCCTCCGGAACTCGTTTCGTTTGATGTACTTTAGGATACTTTTGATTGGCTCCACACACCAAGGAAAGACATCTCCATGCCGAAGTTTTCCTCCGTATCTAAAGAAGGCGTTGGACAAACGATACCTAAAACGGGAGACACCTATATTAAGTTATCTGACCAATTTTCTTTCCAGAGATAAAGGAAGGAGAATGAAGTCTCTTACAACTGCTAATACTGAGAAAATGAGACAGAATTCTAGTTACTTCAACCAGGTTTGAAGAACTATGAGTTAAATTTATTCTTTCGTTTCTTCGAGCTTATGATATTTAATTCCGTCACGCCAATTTTCTTTTAGTGAACCACGAAAGGAATCGAATATAACCGGTAAGAGTTCACGATTATTTACGTATCACAAACCTGTAGTATACATGGAACAGAGACTGCTGTAGAGATCTAATGTATGGAAAAAATATGAAGGCCAAGGCACACATCATCAAAGCTGGGTAAAACACTTCATCGGAATATGGTACATTCCCCATCAAATTTATCTTGAAGACCTTCCAGCTCAGGATATAAGTGTACATGTAAGAACGCAGGCAAAAACCAGCGCTATTACGGAGAACAGGAATAAATAAAGGAAGCCCGACGCTAAGAGAAAAAATGACAAATCTCATCCACATTTGTGAGGGCCACAAAAAGTCATGTGCAGCCCAAGGAAAAGCAGTAAAGGCAAATATCAATCCACTGAGTGTTGATAGGAGTCTAAGGGGGCCTTTGTAAAGAGCCAGGCCTTCCTTTTTCGACAACACATAACACACAAACGAAACTACTGCTGTTGTTGTAAACAGTAACACCCGTCTGACAGGTGGATGACAGCCATCAAACAGTTCCAGCATCAGCACCGAAGACCAGGCATCCGGATGTTGGAGGGAGTGCAAGGAAGTACAGTTCTCCCGTAAAACGTCACCAAAGAAACAATCCACAGCTACGGCAACAGGAAGTGCATAAGGCAGCCACATCATGCATGGCAAAATGCACGTCACAAGTAGCACGATTTGTATAAGTAGCAGGGATTGAAAAATTCCTAGAATGGGATTTTGCCAGTTGCATAAGTACCCAGAATTGGCTCGCATGTGTTCAAAGAACTCCTTGTGCCACTCCTTGGTGTTATTTTTGGAGCCATGGCGAAATTTCCAATCCATAAAAGCAGCACCAGTGTAACCTCCCCCGGAAACACAGCTCAGATATTCAAACGGGACGTCATCTTGTAACAATTTGCGCAAAGCACCGGAACAAAAGGCAGCCGAGCGGATACCTCCCCCAGAAAACGCGACCCCCGTGCTACTCTTTATCGTTCCATTGGCAGATCCACACTTGTTGATCGATGCTGTATTTAGATCACTGCCCTGATGAAAGATCCTTGGCTGAATACCACGAAGAGTATTGGGGCAGTGCACCCTCACTGGCGGAACCTCGCTGAGTGGAATAATAATTTCTCCAACAGTTCGGGAAGTGCTCTGCGGTGCAGCATTAACGTCCATCTGTAAAAAATGTTTATGAGAGCTGCGTCATACTTTTTTTGCCATTTCCCATTTTTGTACCGAATCTGTTTTACTCAGCCTTGAATAATCTGATTCCTTCTCTGTTTCTTCCTACATAATTGGTGTTTGTCTTTCAAAGGAAACTACTATTTTAAGGTTTTCTCATTATTTGACGTTTCTATGAAATTTAAAATGACCAAACTATCCCAACCTAAAGCAGCTTCCGAAAATTATACTAAAGGGACATCTCAACTAAGTCTAATTCTAATTTTATTCCTCAGCATTTTTTCCCTCCAATCTTAGGTGTCACGCAATGCCCACTTGAAAGGAGAGATGTGCGTTGTGTGAGATCCTAAAAGGGACTAGACTTTCTCAAAGTAGAAGAAAACCAATATTTTGGGTTTAATTATGCAATAGAAGACATGAAAAAGCCTTTTTTCATTTCGGTTTTTTTTTTCCACAGTAAAAGCACAACCCCCATAAAGCTTTGTCTGTTTTATCAGGTGGCCTAATTGTCACGCAAATTCTTTTGCTTCTGTTGCGTGACAAGAAAAGAACTATGGTCGAAGGCATAACATACAACATATATCCCACCCGAACTTAATACACCCACCCTACCTGACCAATCTCGGCCATTTACTCGACTCTTTCAGTGTTACGATCTCTTTGTTTCTGAAAAAGAAACCAGATTAAAATAACAACGACAATAAGAAGATGCTGTAGGCTAAAACGTTTTGTCTGATGATTAAGACCACGTATTTTGTGAGAGAACCTAATAATTGTAAAAAGAAAAAGGGCAAGTTTTAAAGAATATTATGACATTGACTTCAGATCGATTTAACAGTCTCTTATTATTCTGGGTCGCTTTCATAAATTCGCTACTATTCGTGGATCTGAGAACATTCGAAAACAAATCGATTATTTTTCACGCGCCCGAACGAGTCATATCACAGTTTTATCAATTGCGCCTTTGTTGGTTCGCAATATAATACTGTTCAATATTTTTTCACACGAGTCGAACCTCACGAAAATTTAAAAGCGTATTTCAGATGAAAATACAACATTTCAGGCGACGGAAGGTCAATTCTAACGATGAATTTTTATACATTTGAATTAGACCCTGTCTACTGTCAACTGTTTCCAAAATGAATTCATGAGTCAAATCTGTCAATCGAAAATTTAAAAGCGTATTTTTTAAGATGAAACTAAAGCATTTCAGGCAACGAAGGTGATTTCTAAGAATGTGATTTTATACATTTGAATTAGACTCTGTCTACTGCCAACTGTTTCCATAATAAATTCATGAGTCGAATCTGTCAATCTTTCACTTGCACGTTCTGTCGCTACGTGAAAGGCTTGAAATTTACCATTCTGGCTGAAAAGAATATGTACTAACCTTCACAGCGTAAGTGGGATGCTGCCATTTTAAATATAAAATAGTAAACAATTATCTTTCTTTGTATTCAAGATATAAAATTTCCTCGGATGCGGAGACTGAATTACAATCAGCGAAACTAATGAAATGCGAATAACTAGTCAGAAATTTGAATACAGGGTAACACGTGCTCAAAGATTCCTCTGTAGTAGCTTGTACAGCTTCAACTTTCGCCTTACGAGAGACAACAAAACAAACACTCCAGGAAATTGTTGATTGCAAACAGAGAGAAATTCATCATCGATGACCTATAAAAGAAGCCGTTTGTAACCAGCCCTTGGGCAAACAGTAAATTATATCATGACAAAACATCACCTACGTGGCATTTCAGGTGAATTATGATTCCTTATGAACAGTTCATATCGACATTTCCCTGTGTAGTGCCGACTACTTCATTTTGCACTCAAAAGGCTTCGGTGTAAATGATCGCCTTTTCAGAGAGGAAAACCATCAATCACTTGACCACGTTTTTGGCACTCATCCATGAAGACTTGCTGTGTTATATGTCACGCAATCTCGTGTTCAAATGACCCCCTTTGGTATGAAAGATATGTGTTTGAACTCGGTTGGCTTAAAAAGGGGCGAAATATAGACAAAACAAATAATTCCTAATTTATCCATGATCAAAATGTAACATCGCAAGTCTATTTCGTGGCGTTGATAGGGACAGCTCATAACTGTTTTGAATTCATTTGCATTGCGTGGTTGCATGTCTCTTTGCAGCCGATTGTTGGGTATTTCCGATCAAACCGAAGAAAACATCCCCTACGATCAATAATGATACTCTGTATAATCATACCCCTCCAAACGTTTGTAATATAAAAACACGTACTCAAAGTTTTTGAAAACTTCCCTACAGGTCGTCTATACATCACTTATTGCTTTTCTTTCGCCGACTTGCCTCAGTGAAAGATCGCCAGAGTAAACTGTTATCAATTGTGTATATTTTTAATTAGTCTCTTTTTTTGTAGCAACCTTTCATATGAATATTGCGGCTCAACCTGGCTAAAACAGTTTGATAAAAGCAAATTCTAACGCGGAATAAAATCACACAATGCTCTCGAATAAATTTCACTGTCATCGTCACCAATGTCTTTAGTAATTTTATATTAAACTAATTTTAAAATGCTTTGCCATCCTTGAATATTTCTTAAACGGATGGCTAGGTAAAAAAATATGACTGATAAACATAAAGTAAGCGTTCAAACCGGACATCTGGGCTATACGTAGATTCTCTCACAAACCGATGATTTTAAAAGCGTTTTATGAAGTTTCTCATAGCTCAAAGGCAATTAGATGCTTTCCATCAAGATAACGTTCCAATGGCTTCATTACGAGTAATGTATTCCGTTAGTTATGTCTCGTTACGTTTCGTCTTTGAAGAAGCTCTCTATGTCAGCTTCAATACAAGCTGCATAGCCTTCCCAGTGATACGCACTGAACATTTCAGGGGTAAAGAACTGGTTGGCAGTTATGTGATGAGGAAATCTTCTCAAAAAAGCATCTGAGATGCAGTGGGAGCTGCCATAATAATGACAACAAACACAAAAGCAACATGTCAATCTGCCTACTTCACGTTCTGTCAGTTCGGGACTTGGTCCCCAATCGTTGTCGTCGAGTTCGATATCCCAAGGTATTCGTCTGCTCACCTCTTGGGTCACAGGCATTTCCTCCAATGGATCATAGCCGTCCATAGCTTTTGGTCGCTTGTCGATTGTTATCAGTGGCATGCTCTCAGATGGGTGTCTGGGTGCCATAAACAGTATTTATCCTTCCTTCCCTGTGTTGTTGTCTCCTTCGTCGTAGTAACGGACTCGAAACCTGTAGCAACGTAGTCTTTTCTTTAAATGCTGTCATTTAACTTAGTTCAGCACCACATTTTCTTCTTAGCTTCTCACCTTGGAAGAGAGAAGCAAGGAAAAAGCGCAAAGTATGGTAAGTAAGATTTCAGCGGACTGAATTTTGTTTAATTGTGGGTGTGTGTACAAGTACACTGTATGAAGATACATTGAATGCAAAACTTTACACAGTCTACGGCTTCCATTGTCTGGTATAATGAGCAATCGCTGACCGCAGGTACTTTGTATCATAGCTGATTGGACATGTTGTGCAAAAAAAATTAATACAAACCTGTAGTAGACGTTGAATGCAGACCGGTGAAGAGGACCAATCAACGGGAATAAGATAACAGTGATGGCACAGCCAAACAGGATTGGATAGAAAAGTTCATCAGAGTATGGAACTGCTCCCATGAACTCTGTTTTGAACACTCGCCAGCTCACAATGTGAATGTATCAGTAGAACACAAGAAATACGCTGGCATAGTTACGAATCACTGGGATCAAGAATGGAAGTACTATACAGATTATGATTATGAAGGCTTGAATCCATGTATTTAATGGCCACAAGTCATGAATGAGAAATGGAAACAGAGTAAACAGAAATATTATGAAACTGATCATTGAGAGCAATCGTAAGAAACCTTTTAATTTATGGAAACGTTTTTTTCTTGAAAGAAAGTAGGACAAGACGGAAAAAAATTAATGTTGTTATAATGAGGGTCGTGCGTCTACCCGGAGATTTGCAATTTTCATAGAGCATCAGCATTAAAGATGAAGTCCGTGATGTCTTGGTATCTGTGCGAGCATGCGCAGATGGGGGACATTTGGCATTCTGACGTAAGATTTCTCCAAAGAGCAAGTCTACTGCCACGGCAATTGGAAATGCGTATGGCAACCATAAGACACACGGCAATATGAACACAACAGTGACCAAGAGAACTACGAACACTGCTGAATGCCAAAGACCTGAAAAGGGACATTGCCAGTCGCACATGTAGCCAGCGTTTTGTCGCATGGTGTCAAAGAATTCGTCATGTCATTTGCTATCATCACTATTATGCCCATTACGCTTTTGCCTTTCCTTCCATTCAACAAAGGCTGCCCCTGTGTAACCACCCCCGGAAACACAGCTCAAGTAGTCTGGAAGAACATTTTCTAACAACATTCTACTCAATGCACCAGAACAAAACGCAGCAGATCGAATGCCTCCCTCGGAAAATGCGACCCCGGCAGATCTTCCAGAGCGGCTAGCTGTTGATCCACTGATTTGCTGAGATTCTTGTTTGGCCCTAACAGTGCGTTGATCATAGAAATCCGAAAGGCATTCCACCGTGCCACTGGGTGTGCTGGAGGATGATGGCCTCTTTGAAGGTATGCGCGAGGAATCAGGAATGACAACAATATCCTCAGGACATGCTTGTGTTTCTGCCATCTCTGTCAAAAAGGAAATTTATTTCAATACAACTCTTACGCAGACGTTCCACACTAGAACTAGAATTGTACTGGAAAAAACTCTAAGCTGATTGTTATACAAAGAACAAAACAACACATTTCTGACGTATCAGATGACCAATACAAGACCAACAGAAAAACAAACAAAGGTAAACAGAAAGCACTACTTAATTTAATCTGACAACGTAAAAGTTTTTACAATTATGTTTCATCGCAAGAGTACGGATCCCAGGTACTGCCATCTCTTATTTCTCATCAACTCTTTTTTTTTCACGACTTCAACTTTTTTTCATAACTTCAACTTTTTTTCACGACTTCAACATACTGGCACGACTTCAACCTTTTTTCACGACTTAGACTTTCCAGCACGACTTTAACGTATTTTTCACGACTTCAACATTCCGGCACGACTGTTGTTATTCAACAGTACTTACAAATGTTTACCTTAAGATTGAATGTCATCTTGTTCAAATTTTATGGGCAATAGGCTTCGGTGGAGACGTTAACAGTCAAATTGTTTTTCAATTGACCCGCAGCGTTGATTCTTTTGTTGAGTCTTCTGGTGGAAAAAGTTAAAGGTCGTGCCGTGAAAAAGTTGTGCCAGAAAAAGTCGCGCTGGAAAATTAAAATCGAGGTCGTTCAGGAAACTTAAAGTTGTGAAAAAAAGCTTGAGTCATGAAAAGAAGTTGAAGTCACGCAGGAAAGTTGAAGTCGTGTCGAAAAAGTTTAAGTCGTGCGGGAAAGTTGAAGTCGTGAAAAAAAAAGCGGTCTCATATAAATTCAGTCCTGACGATTTCATTGTCTTTTGAGGAACAAGATTTTAAGCTCTTTTTAAAACTTTAAGAGGTTAGAGCAAGAATTGTTCGGTCATCCCGCACAATAACATAACACCTTGATTGCTGTATAAATTCATCAGAGTATGACTGTGAAATGTTTTTTGACAGTTTTCCCTGGTTCGAGAGTGTCTTTTAAACTAACTAACTTCAGTTTTTAGAATTCAAAGAACTCTACTGAAGCGAATAATCCTAACGGCATTGAGTAAACTTAGTGGAAATCGAGACTATACACTGCAACTTTAAGATTCAGTTGTTCACTTCTTTCAAATTCTTGTTTGGCTAATCGTAACCCTTTCCCAAACGTCACTACACTTATTGTACGTCTTGAATTGCGATAAATAAAATTTTAATGATGCACAACCCACAACAAACTTATTGGTTTACTCAATCAAATATTGTAGGTACTTTTTCCCATGCCCTGAGTCACGCTACACTCCTAAAAATAGCACACCATTACAATAACATTGAATATTTGAAAATGACAGGCTGCTCTCGTGCAGCTCTGCATGAAATTTACTGCCCCGCAAGGCGATATTCTTAGTGGGCATGTATTGGCAACGCGGAGTTTCAGTAAAAACGTTAAACACAGTGAATTATCTGTGGCTTTAACACCGTCTTAGATATTTGTTCCAGGTTGTACTTCGTGAACGTTTACATGTTTAAATCACTGACTAAAAGAAATGTTCACACAACTAAGGCAATTACGATTATGGAGGGAATCAATCGTCAATAGTCTTAGCAATTGCTTAATATTCTCTAATTTACATATCAGGATGTTTGTCTCTGCTACAGATATTTCTACCTCAATGGATTTATGTCCAAGACTATACAAAGTTACGGAGGATTGGTCAGTTGTCGTTACAAGTAAAAGAGTTAAGTGAAACGTTTATTGGAAAAACTGTTATAAATTTTACCAGTGCATGCTTCTACAGTTTTCAGAGCTTTACAGTGACAGAACTGGCAATATACTTTGAATCGTTAACAAACCAAAATCGTTCGAAGTACAAACGATGGGAACGCATATCAACACATTATAAATATTGTAGGTACATTAAACTACTCAAAACAAATTTAAGTTGACGTACTGTTGGGAAAATTGCAACGTACCTTAATTTAAATGGTCTTTCAGGCACGCAGACAAGAAACTGTTTTATCAAGTTCACGTGTTCCTCGATATGTTCACCAGTTTAAAGGTGAAGAAGGAATGATCGAGAACTGAATCAAACCTATTGTGTGAACTTGACCTATTGTGCGTGACATATAGGACTGGGGCTAGGCATGAGTAGTCAGTGAAGCATATCGACGAAAAGACTTATTAAGGCAATTTAAGTTTGCCTGATGGAAAAGAGAAAACAGCAATTTTACCTTTTTCTGTGGAAATAAAATGTGTGACAACGTCACCCACCCGAGTGAAATATCAAGTTGCATCATGAAAATATTAAAGACCAGTGAACGCCTGAAAACCATTTAATGGAACTTATGTTTACATTTGATGATAATTTAGAGTAAAAAATATATTTAGAGGGTAAGTTTCTAAAGAAACTGTGGTGCTACGTCGGTGAGAGAGTATAACAGGGTAATTTGGTATTATCAACTGAGTTGATCACGTTAATTAGCTCTGACGTTTCGAGCGTTAGCCCTTCGTCAGAACGATCGATGAAGGGCTAACGCTCGAAACGTTAGCTTTTAAACTCTTTACGGTGGCCAATTTAAATTATCAACTCAGTTGATAATACCAAATTACCCATAATATATTTCTTTTAAAAACAACTATTGTTTTCCTTAGTTTAAAAATTTACTTAACAATTAGAATCATTTGTGTGAAATAATGCTTTTATTTCCTATTTAAAAATTCATCAGTTTCTGGGGATGGGAGGGTGCTCCTCATACGAATCCACAGGACTATAAACAACGTCATTATACCCAAACGCCACCGGGCCTCCAACTGCCAGTCCCTGCGGGGTGGTCCATAGAGGAGAGCAAGGCATGACGATGACAGCCACTCGGAGGCCATAACGAACTTCCTCTGTTGTGATTGGCTGGCCTGTATCTTCATCTACTAAAGAGATCAAATCAGGAACCGTAGCAAGAACACTCCTGGAGCCATCATATTTTGTAACAAAAGCCACGTAGTTTTCATTCTGGAATTCAATACCAAGGTTCTGATTATTAAATTGTCCGGAGCCTTCAATGAGCAACCTTCCTCTGTTAAAGGCGCCTTCAGTTACACGGCTTACGTCCGCTATCTACAAAAAGAACACATCAAATTTCAAGTTGTCGTATTTCTTACTCAATACAATTTTCTCAATCTACAAGGCAAATCATTTGTGGCCTTCGGACATTAAATAAAAATTTTCTCTTCTAAAATTAAAATGAAGCAGCCCGGCCAGTGGCGAACAACAACTCAACCCAGCGTTGCAATGTCCGAGATCTGCATTCTATATGATGGAAACATGCCCACAATCTACGAAACTAACGCTGTCAAACAGTTGCAATTAAAACAACAAGGTAACGAACCTTGCCAATCATTAAGAGTTTTCCATTTTCATGCTGAAGAATGCTATTCACTGGGGACGCCTTTTTGTGTCTGGCACGAAGAACAGTGTTACCCAGACGCCATGTTCTACTCACAGTATACAGGGCACTTTTTTGTTGCACATCTTTCCAGTCAAGGACAAACGTAAAGCCAACCATGCAGCTAAAGAGCAAAATTAAAATATGTCAAGGAAAAAAATTAGTATCTGTTAACGGGACTGAAACTATGGCATTCGGGTTTTTGTCAAATTTGCTTGACTTCATGAGATGACTTATAGAGAAGCCAATTAGTAATAACAAAATAAATGCAAGATGCTTTTTCAACTTTTCCTGTCAATCCTCGGTAATCGAAAAGAGTTTCTTAAGTACCTACCCCATCTCTACCGTTTTAATTCTAAGAAAGCCTTCTAAGTGTTTGGGTGTTTCAGCAAATGTCAACGCGACCACATTTCCTTTTTCATCTCCAACGGCCGCTGGGTATGCTGGGCTACCATAAACAAACGGCAAAAACATTTGCAACTCAGGAAACGCTCGTCCCATGCCATCCGCATCCACGATGGGGAGTCCCAGTTCTGCTCCAGCCACTAAGGGCTCGATAGAGTTGGCACCTCCTATCTCCGCACATACAACAGCCACGGGTTTCTTAGTGGATTGAGGCTGTTGATGAACAGACATCGAATTTCATACAAGACACTGCTGGAAAAACTGCATTATCAAATACTGAAACCTACCACAAGATAGGCTTTTTATATAGTTGAAATAATTCAAGTGCAAGTGTTGACTTGCAAGTAAGGACAACAATTGCATATGAATTGTTTGTAAATTAACAAAAATGAGAATATGCCTAACAATCGGCCTCACAGAAGAAAGTTTACTCCTATACCTCATTATTGGCAGACATCCACTCTTGAACACCTTTGACTTCCTTGATTCCTTCTCCATTGTCATGTTCATTAACAGCATCACCAGCGCATAAAACTGCTACAGCTGCTTTCACAGCTGAGAGACTTTCTTGTCCACTGAAAAGCTTCTCGATCAAGATAACTGGTGCACCCATAAAGGCAGGTGTCACCACGGTACCCGTTAGTTCAGGAGTGGATCCTAACCTGAAAACACATGAAGGGAGAAGATGCAGCAATCTATATCAAAAGTTGTCATCGTTAGCCATAGTATATTTTCCGACTCCAATTACATTCTCCCTATGACTCATAATCGCCTCCTGGCTGTGAATTTAATGTTTCTATATATCATTTCTCGTCGTATAATCTTCATCACCAAATCTAACCTTATAACTGTTAGTCACTGACCTGTTTGGATGAATAACACGAATTTCCTTGTTCTTCCTGATAAGCTCCAGTGCCCTTAGTCTCCCAAGGTAAGGACTACCTCCCCCTCCACACCCCATGATACCGGCTCCTATGGTGATACACTCGACATCAAACCTGCTCAGAATCCAGTCACCTGTTACAGGGTCTACATACGGATCACTGAATACAATGTCGTCCTCTTCTTGTGTGCTGGGCTGCTGCTCCTCACCAGAAACTTCTTGAATGGGAGAGAACTCCTCGGCTGATAAGACACTGTATATGTCTGTGCCTTTAAACAAAAGCTCAAAATCACTTTTCTGTATTTAATACAATAAACCTGAAACCTTACATTATTATTAGAAGTAAGTGTTTATAACCCTTCCTTTTCATAAAAGCCATTTGCTCTGTCAATGTGTTAGCGCATGACAGTGGAATTCTCTAAATCCTCAAGGAAAATCATCTCTTAACGTCGCGGGTGAGTTCTCTTTGAAAGATGTTGGCTTTACACACAGGTTTATATCTAACATTCAAGAGACTTAAGAAGGTTTTCTCATAACTATCTATTCGCATCAAGAATATGTTGCCCTTGAAACATTTGTTAATCACAAAGGTTTAGAAAATTTTTACAGGATTGTAGTCTCACCTAACTGTGATAGCTCCTCGGGGCTATTGGCTTTGCACTCTGCTAAATCACCAACAACTTTCAGAAAACACCGCACTACATTACCAGGCAGATACGCCAGTGGTACCTCATCCCTATCAATAACTTGTAAGGTTTGTTCGTCAGCCCCAGCCTCCATGGCTCTTTTACGCGCCATCTGTTCGGCCTCATTACCTACTTTTTCACGAGTTGTATTTTTCAAAGGAACAACTTGATCAAATGTTCCGCTAACTTTACTCAAGGCAGCGCCCACCGCATTGGCAACCTTCGGAAATGATTAACACAATTCACTTCTCTAATACATACATACTATTAAGAATGTTATTAGATAAGAAGTACTTTGTCTAGCGTTAGGGTTCTTCTAACATGCGACCAACCTAGAATAGTACTGAAAAAAGTAAATATGAATCCAACTAATAAAATATATTTATACGTATATGTATACTTTATGTAAACTTTTTGAAAGCCCATTTTTTGGCGGAAATATTGAACATCTTCATAATGGACCTAAATATTTCCATTATCCACGATTGGATGATACGACGATCATCCAGCAGTGATCTAATCCAAAGTTGGAAGCCACTTTCTTGCGCTAGGATACAGAAGTAAATTCACATGATCATACAGATGTTGATAACAGAGACTGCATTTTACCTGATAGTATGGAGGGCATAAAACTTTTGAGGCTCCTTTTAATTTCTGTGATAAATCCACAAGAACACTACCTCCACCAACAAGAATTACAGGCTGGTCCTCACCACTGAACTGTGCATAATACACATGATAAGCATTAACACTCTCTTCGCCCTCTTAATATTTATTCTGAGTTGCTTCATATGAAACTATCCTCAGAAGAATTTGTCTCTCAGTTGAAAAGGGGAATTACAAATTCTGGATCAATATAAGTATCTGGGCAACTACCCACCTACCCCTCCCCTAACCCAACAACAGTTAGGGTTAATGTTGGGTTAGGGGAGGGGTAGGTGGGCAGTTGCCCAGATACTGATATTGATCTCAAATTCTTAACAGGTGAAGGACCACTAGGTGGATACACTGTTAATCTGAGTCACACTACGAAGTCCAAGATTGTAACTTAAACCAATTACATATAACAATTCACTTAGAACTTCAAAAATTGAGGCCTTTTTTCAGATTACATCTTTTTTTACTGGAGCCCTGCCAGGGTCAAACTGCAAAGTTTACCCCCTTAATCACATTCAGTTCACAGATACCTTAACCCGATCAACTGCAGCTTCAATTTTTCTCTTGATCTCTGCCATTGCTCCAACCCTGACATCCTTGGGAATGTCCTTAATTCTTTCCTTATCTCCAATGTTACACAGGCCAGAAGCAACAGCAATGTCTGTTGATGTCATGGTCTTCCCTCCAAACACTAACGCTTCGGTCTTCAACTTGTAAGCAACACTTAATGGACCCACGGTGATACCCTCCTGTAACAAAGAAATAAAAAATAATCAGGGAAATGGTTATTTATAATAATTAAAATAGAAATATATTTTTACAAAATATACAAATTAAAGAAACATCAGAACATTTTATCAAGATCAAATGACTCCCCTTGATGAATAGTAATACCTCCATAACTAACCTAACAAGTGTACAAAACATTGACAATTTGAATAGGTTGGTTGCCATCAAAAACATTTTACATTTAAGACCTGTGCAATATCAAGTTGTAATATTTTGCTCAATATCTCCAAGGTAAAATTCTAACTCCAACTCACAAATGTCTTGTTGGTTACAACTTTAAGCTGTAGAAAGAGTCTATACAAGGGAGCATAAGAGCAGGTTGTGGGGGGAGGGGGGGAAGAGGAAGCAAAATCAGTGAAAAAGGGAAAAGATGTCGGATGCTTCCTACCCTCCCTAAAAATGATCAGTTACAAAGGACAGTTAACAGACTGACTAACCTGTAATTGTTCCACTACTGATCCTCCTCCAAGTCCCACACTTAATACATCAGGCATTCGAAAGTTGGTGTTCACACCTCCAATCTAGTTTTGTTTTACAGCAATTCATAGAAAAAATTTTATTTATGGTAATTGGCATACATTTTAACCAACTTATTGAAACATGATATATCAAAAAACCTAGCTCATTCTAGATTCTTTTGAAGCCTGCATTTTTGATAGCAGTCTAAGGTATTATAGACATTGTCATGCCAAAATTCAAGTAGTTTTGACAGAATTCATGACTGGAAAAAAAAGAGACAATATTCCCCTGGAGTCCCTAATATTATATTTCATTTAAATGCATCTTATAATCATAAACTAACATAAATTATAAGTTTACCTTAACCCTTGTAGAAGCTTGTCTTGGAAATCCTCCTTTAAGAACTCCTACATCAGAGGTTGTTCCTCCAATGTCAATAACTATTGCATCTTGCACACCTGACAAGAATGCAGCTCCTCGCATGCTGTTTGTTGGGCCTGATGCAAATGTTAACACAGGCAGATGTAAAGCTTGCTCTGCACTGAAAGGAGACCAGTAAACAAGTTGAGAAAATTCTAGAGAATTATCACAGTTATAATCAATATCACATCATCGTCATCATCTTCATAATAGTTATCTTCATCATCATTACCATTACAATTACCACAATAATTGAGAAACACAAGGCAACTTACTATTAAGTTACAGAAGGCCAACGCTACGTACCTTATTATGGTTCCATCATTCTGTGTGAGATAAAATGGACACTTCAAACCAAGATTCCTCAAGGCTGAACAGAATGCTCCCACAGTCCTTTTGCATAGTGGTTTTAGGCTCTCATTTAAAACAGTTGCATTCTCACGCTCTAGTAAGCCAATCAAACCCACTTCATGCGAAAGCGTCATACTCATACCTGGGTGAACTGATCTGATGATCTCAGCCACTTGGACTTCTTGCTCTTTAGAGGCAGGAGAGAAAACTCCAACAACAGCAATGTTTCTTATTCCTAAATGAATAGAATGAAAGAAAGTTTGGCACATAAGCAAATTTATCTACATCACACCTTAAGGAATTTAATGAACATCCCTAGACAACCATGTTAATTCCTGAATGGCTTCCCTTAGTCTATTACAGCCTAAGTAAACTAAAAGTAACCAAGGCACAATTACATACAGATCATTTGGCAACAAGAGGCCAAGAACCATTTAAATTTCTTTAATCTATGCCTCAGCTAAAATGACTAAAACTACAAATAGCCACATCAAGGTTCAGGGATGATAAACAATAACATTCAGAATGTTTAACTCCTCTTGGCTGCAGTGGGAGCATGTAAATCAAAACCTGCCTAATTTAAATGTTGAGGTGAGTTTAAAGAGTGGATGGGATCAGAATGATTTTGGTTGAAAGGCATTACTATGTTGTGGATATCCAACCTGCTGCTTGAGTTTAGAGAGTGGATGGGATCAGAATGATTTTGGTGAAAAGGCACTATTATGTTGTGGATATCCAACCTGCTGCTTGTACTTCATTAGCAACCCTTTTTACTTCATTCTCATCAACATCAGTAATACTTGAACAATCATATTGAAATCCTCCATTGAGAAAAAAATGCATTCCACCAATGACATTCCTCAGATCTGCGGGGAAATCACACAGAGGTGGGATGGCTTTAGTTGCTGGTCCACATAACCTTAATACAGCCACTTTAGTGAGGAATTTCCTTTGAACAACAGCATTCACAAAATGAGTGGTGCCAATGTTAACCCTTGCAACATACTGAGTTGGATTTGGTTGAAATTCGTCAGGAAGCTGGGTGAGAGTTGATTTAATTGCTTCAGTGATACCAGATGTAACATCTTCTGTGGTGGGAACTTTGGCTGAGGATAGAACAGTCTTCTGTTGCAGGATCACAGCATCAGTGTTTGTTCCACCAACATCAACCCCAATGCAAAGCCACGGAACATTGGACATGGTTTTGCACACTTTACTGAAAGAGTTATTAGGTAGGTTTCAGTCAGGCCTGTGGTTCTTGTTTCTCCTCCATTAATTAATAAAAATTAAATATCAAAAATACCGAGCTTACGTGTCTCCACAGAATTATCATTGTGCGAAAAATTATTCTGTGTTGAGAGCGTAATTACGAAATAATGTAAAGAAAAGGCATGATAAGAATGCAAGATTTCGGAAAAGTATGTGTAAATGGCTAAGAACTGAGAAAAAAATTTTGAATAAATTAATTAGAAGTAAGAATAAAACAAGGAGTGTCATTTCACATTGGTCGCATCTGCTAAGGACATGGTCTCAAAACACTAAAAAAGGTTATCTCTCCTGTTTGTACTCTACCACAGATAAACCAGGCAATCATATGAGGTAAGGCAATAATGCACCAGTTTCAAAGCGGAAAAACGGCTCCTAATAACGAAAAAAACAACGTTCGATTGCGGAGCAGTGAGTAAGTTGGAAATTGATCTCTCGACCCCATGGGACTCTCCTAAGGAATATACTTAGCTCAGTAACTCAAGATATATATGTCTCACTTCTGCACCCTTCAACTTCACACCTTTGAGAATTGGGGACGTTCGTGGAGGCTAATGGAGGTTATCATGTACGAATCACTAGCTGTTGGCGGATTAGTGGAGAACGGAACACCCCTGCATTCCTCCGTCGATCAACATCCGCTGAGCGTGACAAAGTGAGTCTAGACTGAGTCCCCTGATTCTATCTGCTATCTCACGGCCAGACAATTCGAATAGGTACAAAGTTTGAGGTTTTACGATATAAAACCTGGGTTTGCACACTTACCCATATTAATTCTGTAGTTTTTAATGTAAAAGGTGGTTGTGTTTTCACCGTAGCTTCCCAATATTTAAGTGTACGTCGCAAATCAAAAGTACGAGATGAGGGAACTACCGGAGAGTGTAGAACACATGTCCATCGAGAGGTATTAAACACAGGTTCCTGAGGGCAACTGAGTATATTTAGAAGCCAGCTGACAGCGGGGAGGAAGTTAAGTTTGCCTAAAGGAGCCTGCAACCACATGAGGAACAGTAACGAGAACGTGGGCAAAAAGAAAGTCAAGTATGCACAGGACACTTCCTGCGACTTTTTCCATCTATTCAGGCACAAGGTCATGCACAATATAGTCTTGTTGTAATATGTTCGGTATCCACTTCGTGTGGGGTTTGAGCAATGCTTGTATGAACTTGGAAAAGAATCGAAAAGGCAATTACAGTACAACAAGAGATAACGACATCAAATCCTTTAGGTTCCAAGATTTATTACCACTCTCGACGATTAAATTCTTTAAAATGTAATCCACCCAATAATGGGAAAGACACTACTTAATTAAATGTCCCGCTCAAACTGCGTACATAAAGCATCCGGCGGCTCCAGTAAATGACAATTTTTTTACTACATTTCCGCTTGAAGGTAACGTTGTTGTCAGAACCAGTGAGTACCTGGCGAGACTCTGACAATAAACTGTTCACTTTTTCTAATAAATAACTTTAACTACGTCCACTTCATTTACACGCTTACGTAATTGCTGTACAAATAAAATTCTGTAACGTTACAAAAATAGGGCGGTTTTTCCTTCGGTAATTTCAATGTTTCCATTTTATTCCACTGAGTAGCGGAAGATTTAACGTCTTCCCCTTTCCCCACCAAGCAGGATTAAAAATAACGTTTCAAGCTTTTACTGAGAAAGTAGGAAAAAGGAAATATGATAATTCATAAATTGCACACTTCGTATAATAACTGTTATGTCCTATTGGCCCCTTGACAAACCGCGGAATATAAATGAGGACATATTTTCAACAACGATTAAAAAAAATCTACACTAAATATTCGAGCTCTTCGTCAGTGATACGATATGCACGTCTATGAAAATGTGTCTGACGTCTATTTCTCATAAGTATTACTGATAATATCCACCTTTTAGATGAAGTAATTCACTAAAAAAGGGTATTTGGGATGCCTAACTGCTGGTCACGTTGCTTCATCCTAATGAGTTGATTCCCGATTCCCCACTAAACCAACTGAAATGTTGATATACATCTTCGCTTTAGTGCTTATCACCAGTAAAGTTGTGAGCAAAACAAACAATAAAGCCTATCATACTCAGGACAGTTTGTTCGATGTCAAGTTAACAGCATCAGTCAAATATCTTTGGTTTATCGTTTCGCAGTTAGACTAAGAATATATTACGTTCGTGTTAAAATAGATTATTTCTCTCTCCATATTTGGAAAATTTTAAGAATTGCATTAATTTAAAAAGTAAATATCTGCTGTTGATACAGCACTAAATACTGTACTACCAACAATAGTACCTAACTAAAAGAATATCACAAGAATGCTCGGGAACTAAAGGCGTTCGATAACACAACAACCGACAGATTCTGTCGAGAACAAGGCATGACGAGTTTCCACAAGAATCCATCGATGACCTGGAGCTCCCGACACTCCGCTTTTGAGTGTCATGAACCAATAATCTCGTGTAACTTTTCTTGTATTCTTGGAACTTGATTAGATGCCTGCTCTGTCAAACTCCGGCCCATACAGGAGTACAGTGTACTGGTTAGTCTACTAGTGGATGTCTTCAGGGCACTGTTACCGGCGCCAGCACTGCTGTTACTCGCCGTGTTCAAGAGACTCCACAACAGAGGAAGAATATGGCGAGAAACTACTTGTGGCTTTCGAGTGTGCACTGTCGATACGATATCTAACAGACACAATCAAAAAAGTAATATCGCTGTTTATTTATTTAACATTGATAGTTGAGTAATACTGCAAAGGAAGGGGATAAGAGATACTTCAAGAATTAAGGGCAGGGAGAGAGAGATAAGAACACTTATAGGGCACGGAAAAGAAACAAGGAAATAGGCAGGATACGAAGGGTTGGGTGGGGTAGGTACAAAAGACAAATAAAATAACACCAATCAAGTAAATAAGGCAGGAAAGGTAAAGAGACGAAGAAAGACAAGATGACGTAACAAGAACAAATCATCACAACAAACTGCACAAGAAGATCACTGACCTGCTAACTTGTCCACCATGATCGGTTTAACTCGGCTGCTTCCAAACTGTGCCGTTGAACAAAATGGTTGAACTAACAGAGTTTTGTCTGACAATAAACAAATAAAGTCATTTAGTCTGCCATATCATTATAACTGTTTTTGCAAATAACAAGCCTCTAAGATTTCTTGATGTTCAACATTCATTAGGCGGATCGGCTATGACAAGTATGCTGTTTGTTAATTGACATAAGACAAGCTAAAAAAATTATGTATAGCTACAACAAAGACGAGAAAAAACAGCAACCAGAGCCATTAATACTACGATAACCTAAACCAAGTTGTGTCATTCTACCGATGTGCTTAATGAACTCATCAAGAGCTTCCTCTGCTGCAGAGAAAATATTCGTGTTCTTGGATGCAAAGTTAGATGTCAACGCAGCAACCATTGGAGGAACCAGAGCAGTTGATTGGTTGGCTAAACAGTGAAGGATCTTGGGAAGGCACTGAAGGGCATACAGGTTTACCTACAAAAACATCAGAGACCAATAGGAAAATTAGTTCTTAAGTCCATTCAAATTAAATCAAAATTCACGCTAACAAGGTACACCTTACTTTGCTATTCGAGTCTTGGAGACGAGGGATAAACGCATCAAAAACCTGCGACAAATACGTTTTGAAGTTAAGTTTATTTGTACCAAAAGGTTCCACTAGATAATCGATTCACATGAAGTATCATAACGTGCTCGATACTTGTGGTATCATGTGAAATTATTACCTTGGTAAACTTTTGTCCTGAGCCATCCGGGTTTAACTGAACTAAATCAACAAACTGATCGATCGCCTGTTGTCGTTCTTTCCAATCACTGGCCTGTAGAGAGTTGATTAAGTTTGGGATCGTCTCTTCCCCCTGTCACAAATCAAATGCCAAGGAAACTGTTGCTATAATTTTGTTGCTGATGACAAAATAATGAGGGAAATAAATTAATTTAAAAATTACACAGGACACTCACCTGAATCAATCCATCTCGTGTCACGGGTTTGCCACTCCTTGAAGGTTCTCTCGAGCTAAAAAAAAAAAAAGGCAAAATTGTCATAGTTCTAATTCTCTTACCCACGTCACATTGGTTTCCAGAAGTGATGGTTTTTCTATAGAAAACGCTTAAGATTATATTATCAAACTGAGAGCTTTAATCTGTTTCTCTCTCTCTCTCTCTCTCTCTCTCTCTCAACCTCCCTCGCATTAAATCAGACATCCTTTTAAAAGCATCCCTCTCGATCCAGCCCCCCTTCCCTTTACTGGCAGTAACTACTACGCCTCCCTATTGTTGAGCATCTCCCTAATCTACCAGCGTGGTTGACTTACAGTTCTGCATCTGCAGAAAAACCAACAGGTCTTTAGTAAAGCAATAGTTTTACAAGGAACAATCACATGAACGAAGTTAATGCAAAGTTAAAGCGGCTTTCGATGTACCTGGAATTTGAGGACGGAGATGCCGCCACTGATCCTCGCACTCCACCGCTTCGTGAACCTCCACCACCAGATGCAGGTTTCCGCTGCCGTGCGGAGGAGGAAAGGTCTGATGGGGGTTCACCCAGCCCCTACAGAAAAAAAAACCAGCCAACCAACCTGAGCTTCATAACAAGCCAACGTTCTCAGCTAACTAGAAAGCCACAACAAAAAGGATCGTGATTGGTTATTAAACATATTCGTACCTTTGTTCTAAGATTGTCCACCGTGTCACGCACGCTCTTCTGCAGATTGGACGGCACGTGTTTAGACACGTGCTTGTCAAACTCGGGATGATCGCATATAGACGAAAGAATCTTGCGTCCATAGTATCTAGACAAGGGGATAAAAAGCAGAAATGGAATCACGCTGACAGTACTAACCTTGACGTGAACAGCTGGAAACTATGGGGCGAAGCCGCAATTCCCTTTACATGATTTATTTGTTTTTCTATACTTGATGGCACGCACCTAGTTTCCTGTCCACCATCTGTGAGGAATTGAGCTGTAGTAGGAAGAATTTTCTCAGTGACATCTTTGGCTCCGCTCATCACTCGACTCGGTCCCATGCGGTCCGCGAGCATGCTGAGAAACTGGGCAGTGGTCTTGCGTACGGTTACGTTGCGATGGCTGTGAAAATTCAAAGGAAAAAATTTTAGAATGTTCTTTATCGATTATGCTTCACACTGTTAACTAAGATCAACAAAAATCCATCATTAGCCGCAACACAAAAAATAGGTATTCTAAAAAAAAAAAAATCTGGCGAAATGCCAAACTGCACAGGATGTGCTAAGAAATGTTTTCAAGTAAGTACCTGGCTCCTCCAGAAATAAGTGCGACTATTAAACGGGTTGGGGTCAGACTAGAAACCATGGCTGTCAAGGCTTTTTCCACGTCTTCTCTAATAAATCCACTCGATTCACCAGCTTTAGCCAGTAGGATTTTAGCAGTGACTTCCAGTTCCTATATAGTAACAACAACAAACACAAGCGCATGCAGTTGTGAGACATTCTACCCCGGTTGGTAAAAAAAAAAAGCGAACGAAGAAGAGAAAGGTTTACTCACATTATCCATGTTCTTTCCAAGAATGGTGTACATGTCTCCAAGACAGCAGATGCCCGAACGAGAAACTTGTGATCGAAGATTTTTAACCTTTGAAAATTCAAACCATATTTAAAAAGCTTTTTCATTCCAATGCTCTTAGTTAAAGTCACGACAATGCAATGAAATAGAACCGTACAGCTTCAGTCAAACAAAAAACAAATAAACAAAAACGTCTGAAAAAGCACGCGTACCTCTGCTATGATAGCAAGAGTCACCGAGTGTAGCTGTGAAACCAGCACTTCAGGATGATGTTTAGTAAGACGACGAATTCCTTGAATTCCTTCACACTTCATCTCCCTGATATGAACAAAAAGAAAGAGAAAATTTTACTAAGAGTATTTCATCCGAAATCAAGGGAAACTTTCAATCACAAATTGTAATCCACGTTTCTATCGGCAAAACAGAGTAATTGACAAATACTCTTAAAATAAAGGAACAACATAGCAGGACCAACACAGTGGCAATCTATATCATTTGGGATACCTACCAATCCTCTGTGTTTGCTAGATACTTCATTGCTTCTCGCAGAGCATTGTCTGGATTATTGAAGGGCTGCAGATCGTCCAAACTGATTTCCCAGCACTGAGCTGAAGTACTGCCTGCGGAAGCTGCATGATGCCGTCTGATCTCTGATGGATCATCTGTAACCGCATAACTAGAATCTCGCTCAGACTGTGTCCTGTGAGGAAAAATAAACACTTATTGATTACGTGTACCAAACTTTGTGAAGGATCCTCATGGTGCCAGGAACCTGCCTGATGAATCACCCCTTTGCTCCTCTAAAGAGGAGTAAAATAAGTGTTATAAAGTACGGTGCACCTGAAGTAAACAAATGCGAATAGTTATGTATACGTACGATGAAACAGGTGCCTTCTTTTTAGGAGTTCCTCCTGTGGGTGGTTTTTTGTTGGACTTCAGTGGAGAACTGGACCCTGATACTGAAAGATCTAGCGAAAAAATGAAAAATAAAAAATATGATTATAGTTTATATAGGATAATTTTGTTTCAGTCTAAGACAATCAATGACAATGAAACATTTACTAACTCGTATTTTCAGGTTCTGCAGCAATTTTCAGCTCCTTGGCTCTCTGTAACTGCTTCTTCTTCAGCTGAGCTTCCTTTTCTGCCAGTTGTCTCCTTATTTCCTCTTCCTGTTCTCGTTCTTTCTCAGCTCTAAGCAACTTTGCCTCTTTTTGTTTTTGTTTTTGTCTCATTCTCTCCTTCAGCCTCCTTTCTCTCTCACGCTGCTTTTCCTGTTCAATTTCCTCCAACTCTTCTTGTTGTTTCAGCAGCCGATCCCTAAGAGCCTTTTCCTGCCTCTGCAATTCCTCTTGCAGCTGCTGCTGTTTCTGCCGTTCTAATTCCCTTTCTTTTTCCTTCCTATTAAGCATCTTTCCAAGTTCTACTTGCTCTTTTAAGATTTTCTGCCGCAATTTCTCCTCCTCCTCTCGCTGAACCTGCAGCTGCTTCATACGCTCCTTCTCAAGTTCTGCAAACCTTTCCTGCTCCTTCTGAAGTTTTTCTTCTTCCTCTTGTCTTCTTCTTTCCATCCTCTCTCGGGTTGATTTAGACAGACTTTTCCTCATGGTTTTCGGTGTCATATCTCTGATGTTCTCTCTGATTCCCGAGTCACTGTCCTCATCGCTGTCTCCCAGGCTATCTGAGCTCCCTTCACTCTTGATGGTTGATGTTGTAGTGCTCGTTAGTGTTGTTGTTGTCCCTGTGGAGGTGTCACCCTCTTGTGATTCTGATGGAGTAGGGTATTCCTCTTCCTCACTGTCTGATTCACTGTGTGCTTCCTCGTCCTCGTCTTCGTCTTCTAACTGTCCTTCCTCACCTTCCTCTTCCTCGTGGTCATCTTCTTCCTCTTCCTCCTCATCACGTCCGTCATCATCCTCTACTCCTTCATCAGACTCTTCTGTCTCATACTGTAACTGGGTCGTTTCATCCTCTGCCTTGAGCTGTTTATCCAGTCTCAACAGCCCCTGACCAACGACTTCCACTTTTCCCATCCCTAAATGATCGTCTCTCCCTGAGAAGCTGCTACCCACTCTTGAAGATCTCCTATGTTTATCATCATCATCATTATGCACACCATTTTCCAGAGGTGAATATTCAGTTTTCCTCCCCCCTGTGGTCGACAGAAGCCCATGACCTGTCACACCAAGACCTGCATTGTCTGGGTCTGAGAACTTATGGGGTAAAGGTGTTGGACTCTGGAGTTGCAAAGAAGTTTCTGCCGAGAGTCTTCTAAAGTGAATTGGTGTTCTTGCAATTCGTGGTTTACTGTCAAATGGAGATTCAGGTTTGGTGGGGAGTTTTGACAATCTGTAGAACAAATGAAGCAAATATGAAGTCTCATCCTTAGTTGCTGTAACAGCAGTACATTATAGATGATAACCGACATCATCATTCTCTGTGCACAGATAAAACAAATAGCTTGCCTCTTAAACAATTCCACAATCCAATGAATAAGGACAACATGTAAAGAACAAACCGAACTAACACAATCATTACTTTTTTTTAATAGACTCCTAGCTTAGCATTCAGAAATATAGAATATTCAATTACCTTTCTTTTTCAAACAGTGGAGTGCTGGGAAGATCATTGTTATTCTCCAAGGGTGAAGGGCTACGACTTCTTCCATCCTCACCATCACTGATCACAGAGTACATTTTCAATGCTCTCTTCAACTCTGCTTGTTTGTGAACTTGACTAAAAGCATCTTGAGGAGGAAAATTGCCAGCCTGGTAAAAGAAAAGTAAGAATAAAATAAAATAAGAAATGCAGGTTTCCTCTAAATATTGGTACCTTGCAGTAAACAAGACAATAGATCTTTTGTGCGTGCATCAAGCAGTAAAGAGCTCACTATAACACTAATGATGGTATTTACAAAGTAAACATACCTTAACAGGGGCCAGTTGTGTTGGGCGTGTAGGTGTCATTTCAAGGAAGTCCATCACACCTGACTGGATTTCAGTCTTTTTAGTTTCTCCCAGTTCAGTAGCCCTTAAGCCTCGAGTCTTTGATGCTGATCGTGCAAGTTGAGGCTTCATGTGGATGGGTGTCTGAGGTACTTCTATTGGAAATCAAAGGGAACATCCATAACTAATTTTCATTTTTAATTCTGAAATTACTTCTGGTTAATCTGTATTTGTTCTCAATAAAAAGAACACTTCTCACTTGATATTGTGACACTCAGGATATCATGAAAATTTTGATTTGATTGAAACAGGTGTTTCATGTACTAACCAATCAAAACAGTGTAAAGGTCAGTGGAACAAAACTCAAAACCACAAACTTATCACAGTGGCTGACTATGATTTAGTTTCCCAAAGCCTATAGTAATTGGGGAGGCATAGATACTTTGTGCGATGTTATAAAGTTAGCATACCATTCTTTTTCGTCTCACCCTCCCCTTGCTCACCAGATGAGTCCATGTCCATAGGTATAGCTAGAAAAGATCCATAAAGAGTCAGTAAATATTGAACTCATAGTGTTTTCGGTTAAGTTTTATCTAGTAGACATGTACATGAAATTGATACCATGTACTTGACCTCAGAATAGCTTATAAGCACCATTACAAATATTTCACACAATCCTTGTGCAGACAGACAGTTGTCTTGTCTCATGTTCTTATAACAGGCAACCAGTTATTCAAACAGATCATCATACTTTGGAAGATGATCTTTAAACAGCTGTTTGTAAAGGGACACAAGTTGCTGCATCATGAGACAAACATTATCATCTGTACAACTGTATCATTACTGTGCCATGGGAAAGAGGACTCTTTTAAGGATGTCAAAGTTTGGATCTCTAAGGATTTTCAAAATTTAAAGTAGAAAACTTAGGCATCATGCATACAACTGTACACACTAATCCTACAAAACTTACAATGTGACACAGGTGACAGTCTTCCAAAAGGTTTCATCTCACTTTTCAGTTCAGTCCAGTCAGGCCATGAGCTGGACAGTGACATTGAAAAAGGTTTTCTCTGTGATGAGAGGAAGGGTTCTTCATCACCCGGTGAAAAGGAACTTTGAAGGGAAAATGGAGGAGTAGGTGTGACTGACTGTGCACCTCTTGGAATACTTTCCTTGGGTGTGTGATCTCCAATTGCTGGTTCTGCACTATTACTAGCCTTGGCTTTTGAGGAAATTGTTCCACGCTTGTATAGTAGAGCATAACTATTCACAGTACCAGCTGGAGCAGTTTGATTGAGATTCACACCAGGATTAACAACCTTAGATTTGTCTTTCTTAGCCTTTGCTCGGTGCATTTCAGCATAAGAGCTCCCTGGTGTGTTTTCAGCAGCTTTAGGGACATGACGTTCGGTAGCTTGGTTTGCCTTTTGTATGCTCATGGCATGATACTTTTCAGCATAGGATGATGTGGTGAGTTTTGACTTTGGTGGAGTTGTCAGTGATGTTGTTCGTGGCTGAGAGGTGGATTTTGTTGCTCGATCATTGACTATTTCCATGGGAGCCCATGAATTCAGCTTCATTGGTGGTCGTATTGGTTCAATATTCTCAGCAGCAGCAGCTTGCTGAAAAATATAAATTAAAACATACCTTGGTTAACTGTTTCATAACGCAATATTTAAAAGCAATACAAAAAAGCAGAAAAGTCAAATAACAAACAATTGATCAATGAGAAAACTGAAGGTTTCCTCCATGGACAAAGAAAGAAAAAGTAACCATAGTGATTGAAATAGCAACAAAACTCATAGTGGGTTTAACATTTGAAGAAACCTATCTACAACAATCAAAAGGGAAAAAAAACATGTTAGTGATATCTTATCCATGGCTTACCCACAGCATACCCTAAAAAGCGATATCTAATTTTCACACCTGTTTTAATATTCATGCCCTAGTGACAACAACAAGTTTGTACTGATAGTGAGTATTGTCAAATAACACATCTATTTTCCCAGCAGGCAATTTCAAAATTTGAACAAATTAAGCACAATAATAATTCACCTTACAATCCTTTGCCCAATAGATATGCTCAAAAAAAATTCTTCTTACAACATTGTTATTTTTTATCAACAAAATGTGTGTATCATGAAAACCAAGTAGTTTCATTAGTATGATTACTGAACTTTTAAGAGGTGCCTAAACCTTATTAAACATTTGAATAATTTATAACAAGCCGCATGAAAAAACTTGGCTGGGGATACATCAACAACATGTTGAGATAAAATACACATAATATATGAGCTTTTTAAGTTTGGTTGAAATTAATTTACAACTACAATTTAAAGTATGGCTTTTTCAATCTTTGAAGTTGAGGCTGGACCCATCATACACAACCTAATTTAAGGATGGCTAAAATTGGGAAGAGTTTTGAACAAATCAATTATTCATTCTAATACCACATTTACTACAGTGAGTTTACTCATTGTTGACCAAATTAAAATCCTGACTAAATTACCCTTTTCCACTTTGGAAAACATTAAACTTAATTTTTGAACTGTCAACAATAACTATTTGCATAATAATTTAAAAGGTGACATGTCAATCAAGCATTGAGCATCATTTGAATGTTCAGCTACTGTCCCTGATTAGTTCCAATAATCAGGTGACAGGAAATTATATTTCTTTTCAAATCTATCAAATCCAACTGCTATGAAGATCACATTGCACTTGAGCTGTAATCAGCAATTATGAATGTGCATCTGGCAAAGATAGAGGAATAATCTGATTGAAATTAATGATGTAGTCTTATGGCCAAGCAAGGCTTGCATTTGTACAGCTGTTATTCAAACTTATAGGCAGAAGGTATATGTACATTAAAAAATCTTGAGAGGATGAGAGATGATTTCTACAAATTTTATGCATACATATTCACTTTTACAAGAAAAAATACCTTTAAAATTGTGCTAACTAATGCAATGATGTTTTCTGATATCATAATAAGTCTCTTTGGGAGAGGCCCAAGCTAGAACAAGCTGTGATATCAAATCATTCTTTTTTCTCCTTGAACATTCAAAGCTTTAGATTGAAACTGACAAATTTCCACACATTTATAAATGTGGTTTAGCTGTCTCTCTATCGCAAGTATTTTGTTCCCAATCATATGAATAAAAAAACATCGTCACTGATAATGCATCTATAAATAAAATCCCTTGTACACACATATGCAATGAAATCAAATGCACTTAATTCTTGTTTTCACCAAAACATTTCAACAACTAGGTGCAGCTTTCTCAGGGACTAAAAGTGAGGTCATAAGACCTAAATGTTGTAAAACTCAGAAAAAGTTATTTACATAATGGAAACAAAAGTAAAACTCCTAAAATCAATCACTCTCACCTGAGTAACATCCTTGGCCTGGTCACCTTCCCAGGGTAAACGATTCTTTCCTGCACTAAAGAATCTTCGAGGACTTGGCCCAGACATGGAAAATGAATCATTAGGTCCTGGTGTGGAGCGACTGGAACCTGATGGATCGGCTGAGCCTGTTCCAGCAGTACCTGCTAAGATCCAGTCGATGTCAGCTCCACGTGGTGTGTTGCTCTGACCTCTGATTGTTCCAGATGATGGCATAGGAACAGCATATTCAACCAAACCATCCCTATTCAAGCGAGGAAGCTGCCTCCGGGCCAACCTGGCAGTAATAGCTGCCATTACACCATCACCACCCATTGTGAGCTCAATGGCATCAACTGCTGTCACCACAGGTTGAATGCGCCCAGGACCCATTGCTTGTGCTATAACTGCAAAAGCCTCCAGTGCTGCTTGTCGCACTCTTCTTTTACTGTCAACTAATACTGGAGCAATTGCATTGGTCACTTCTGGAAGATTGAAGTCTGAACTAGGAAATGTAAGTAGTGCAGCAATGAAAACATTTACAGTTTCTTCACGCACTCTTGAGTTTCGATGTTGTAAGTTTGATGTCAACACAGTTAAAACTGACTTTGGAGAAAGAATTTGCATAAGCTGCATGAACACCTTCATGTTTTCCTGTCTAATTACAATCTTATTGTCGCCTAATTTGTTAGATAGTGCTAACAGCAAAGGTTTAAGAACAGGACGTATGCCAACCCCCAATTTAGCAACCAGCAATCCAATAATCTGAAGACTGGTGACACCAATTTTAAAGTTCACATCGTCCAGGAAGCCAAGCAGTAATGCAAAGAGCGGTCCCAAATTGGGTTGAATAGGTTCTGTATCAGTTAACTGTCCCATAAGAGTTTTCAGTTCTTCAATTCCCTGGGCTCGTATCCTCCAATTACTTTGATCTCTTAGTTTCAACATTACAGAAACAGGGACAAAACCAAACTCGAGCAGTCCGTAGTTCGCATCAGGGTAATTATCTGTATTTGTTACGGCTATCGTGTGCCCTCTATCGAGCACGGTCCCTCTCTCTGGTAGCTCAACGTCTGAAATGATTCCGTTCGTGTTCAAGTGACCGGCACTTTTGGCCTTGCGACCTCCGAGCAACTCTAATTCTTTAACAGGATCGGCGCTTCGATTTTGAAGCGCTGATACACATAAATTTTGTTGATCAGGCGATAAGCGATGAAGGTAGCTTTCGAAAATTGTGGACCCAACAACATTTCGTATCCTTTCCAGAGAAATGACAGCAGGTGAAGTTTCGGGTCTCGACGAAGTTTCTAACTTCCCAACAAGCGCTTTTGTCAACGTAAACAGATCTTCATGGGCCAGGTTCGGCATAATGAGAATTGGTAAGGCTACTAAACTTTCTGTTCTTGTCCTTCTGTTGTCACTTTCAAGGCCATGATCGATGATTGCATTAAGAACAGCACTGACTTGCGAAGAATGTTTCATGTACACATGTAGGGTCTGAATAGCGGATTTTTTCACCGACACCTGGTTGTCTCCGATGTTTGACACGATTAGAGGAAGAACAAGTGTCATGCAACTATCCAAATCCTCTCCAAACTCAGGAATTATTTCACACAAGAATTCGATGCAACATAGTCGGGTGTTAGAATCTGAGTCGGCCAGAGCTTCTTGCAGAACCTGAAATAAGCCATGTCGATCGTCAAATTGTAAGCGACCACCATTTCGCCGTGCGTTTGCTCTGAGTTCGTCCAAAATGTCAGCTTTCTTCGCAGAGTCACTGTTTCTGGCTAGGCCCGCTAGCACTTCAGTCTCTTCCATATTTTGTACGAGGACTTCATCGGGCTCGGCGATCACTGATGACAGTGGTTTTAGCTTGGCAACACTACTAGCCATCTACCGTATGCATGATTGTATTAATTGCCACGAAATTATCAACAAACCGCTGCTACATAACCATCGCCAGGGTTTTATGCTTAAACGACGTTTGCATACGTTAGGAGTAAAATCCTTTCATCTCAAAAACAAGCAACCAGGCAAAGAAAACATTAGAGGAAATAAACTGGATCCATTACACTCGTCAAGAGTTTAGCGAAAATTCTACAAACTTTAGCTGCGTAAGATTCCCGGATGAACAGAAAGTGACATCAAACCATGCACAGCGGCATAAATGAACTGTTCTGATTGGTTGAAATCAAAGAGAAATTAGAATCTATCAAAATATTGCGGGGGCGAACAAAGAAATCGATTTCTGCAAAATCCCAGCAGTCATTCCACAAAATTCATCAGCCCCAATCAAATTCAATCTTAGGCGATCTCGGAAACTTGAATAACAGCAACATAATTACCCACCGATTAGAATTGTTTATCGGGATTTTACCTATGTGACCAACAAATAAGGACCGGAATATTTGAACCAATATTCCATACGTTGACAAGCCTTTCCTACGTCTTGAGTCAGTCGAACATTCTCAAGTGCAGGGCAGGCGAAAAGGGGATGACAATATTCAATTCAGAACATGCAAACCTCAAGACACGCACAAAGTGGAAAAAAAAAACTAATTTACGGGGAAGTTAAAGTTTGCGGGTTAAAAACGCGGGAAATAATATTTACTTTACATACTGGATGAAAGTGTGTTATGACCGGGGGAGCTGAATGTGCACATTCAGCGTGCTATAACTTTGGTCATGATTATGCAAAATTAGGCATTCAATTTGCTCTTTCTTATCTGATTGGTTTTCTGTAATAACTTGCGAGCTCTTATTTTATTTGGGAGCGTAAATTATCAATGTCCAGCTAACTAGGCGGTATAAGACCCATTAACACGTGCTCTCAAGGTTAGTTTTTGGCAAGCAGTGCTAATACCAGAACCAACACTAACTGTTGTCAAACCCAATTTTGTGTGCAATTTTCAGCACAGGAGGATTGTCATTTCAGAAAAAGCCATCCTCCATACTCAGCTTAAGGGCTGGGAAATAAACAATTCATGCTGTTGAAACAGAGAAACGGTGTCAAGAAATTACTTTCTATCACAAGGAAAGAGATTAGTAAGGGCGGGCGTCGTGTGTGTTGCTGTCATGATTTATTGTAATTTTTTTCGTAAAATTTTTCTTTCCAACTGTAAGAAATACACGCAATATGGGAGTGATTAAGTAATACTGGATGATCTCCATCTCACACTAAATCGATCAGTGAGCTCGTTTCAGCAGTCTATCTTTCTTTCGACAGAATAACGTTCTGAACAATTTTAATAACGTAAATCGTTTTGAAAGCTTTTAGATTGTAATAGCTCCCACGATTAATGTAAAGTATTTGTTCAAATCGGTAGAGACGTTGTAGCTTAGAGGTATGGGGAGCCTCCCCATATAGAGGAGGATGGTGTCAAATGCAACCGTTAATTCTGTTTTGGTCTGTTAGGGCTGTTTCTTGGGTCAGTGAACCATAAATGTTAGAGCAATAACACCATATGCGGAAACCGAGAAAATCTTCTCAATTTTGTAAATGAGTTTAGAAAGCTAAAAGTATACAAACAAATGCAATCATAAAAAGAGGCGAAGGAACGAAAATTGGGGGGATTATGAAATTAATGCCAAAGGTTGGAGCCTTTATGGCGTCTGGTTCATTAGAAAAAGGGTCACAATCGGTCATATCAATTACGGAGTGAATTTTATTCTTATTTTTCTACAGGGACAAAAGTTACATCATGATGCAATTTCTTTTGTCACTGTGATTCGCAGCTGTTCTGCATGGTATCCATGACAAAAAAGTGAAAATGGCCAGCAGCTGAGTAATGGAAGATATCAAGAGAAAGATTATTAGATGATGTTTTTTAGTCTGTGATACAGGAATACAGTTATCAGAAAATATATAGGGCCACGGCCGAGTTCTCGAAACTAAAGATCTTTCGTTTGTTTGAACTAGAAAAAGAAACCGTTATGAAGTCCTCAACTGACAAATCATCGTAAATGTAATACATATATTTTTTTGTTCTGATCTGTTCTGCTTTTATCAATCGCATTATCTATCTTCTAAGAGATTGCTATAATACCAGATTGGATTCCCCCTGCAAAAAATTTCTGCGTATTTTAGATTGTCTGCGCACCTGGCGGTTTTCTCTGTACTTAGGCGATGAGTGGTTAAGCCGCGAGAGGCTTGGGACGGATTCTTTGTTCAGGTTGTTCATTGTTTTTCTGTAAAATATAACGATAACATTGCAAATAGAAAAAAAAAGGGAAAAATAAAAGAGAGGAAAAAACTACCAAAAAGAGCTACCTTATATTTAGTAACGCAACAATGTACTATATATTCCAATATGCTCTGACCATTTGACTTTTTCGTTTGAGGGTTTTCCCTGAGCAGTGATCGGTGGGGTGATATCATCGAGTGACATTTGGCTCCCTGTTGAAGGTGCACGCTTCACAATTCAGAAAAGAAGCATTTCATTCTATATCTCGATTTAGAAGTATGGAAAAAACGTCTGTTGTAGTTTTCCTTTTCTGATATCCTCTCATGATCATTATTATCTTTATCATTATTATTATGACGTTTTCACGAACTTTTGTCATGTGTTGTATGTCGTAATGTCGTAATGTCCTTTGAACCGGAAAACCATATATGGAAGTGGTCTGATATGTGGTCTTTTTTGCGAACAAAAGGTTGTCAAATGGCAGTCTTATTCCCGCGGAAGATACTCTGGTACGCCTAAAGTTTTGTCGCCTCAAGAGATTCCTATTTTCAAACCATCTGAAAATACATCTTCCTTGAGTGATTTAGTAAATTGCGAGCACGTCCATATTTGGAAGACAGTCTTATTGTCTAAAATTAGGCTTTGTCACGTGATTTTCAGGCGAAGAGAAAATTAAGAATAATGGCAGCGTTGTAGTCCCTTGCGAATTTAAGGACGAAAGATCCCTTCACACCATCGTCATGGAATGAGTGAGTCTTACGTGTTCTCACAACGGCATTGCGACATCATAAACACGGCTCCTGGTTCACCACGAAAGACAAAGTTGCTGCGCAAGTTGAGACCGACTTGAGAGCAGACGACATCATGGCCGGCTGTGAAGAAAGCTGTGGATTTTACTTTGTCTTTGCCCTTGTGACATTTTTCGTGTGGATGGACCTAAGCTTTTTCGATGAATTAGCAGAACATGGTTCATTCTACAACGATTCAATGGCAGAACACATGATGTTCCCAGTGAAAACGGTCAAAATTCGGATGCAGGACCATACGGATCATTACGTCAATGTTCCTTCCATGCAATTTTTAAACGAGAATACGGGCTTGCACACTGTTCCCGGAGTTACTCCCAATCTTATCAGTGGAATCCATCTCTTTTTGGCTGTTATGGCAGCGAAGTGCTTTATTTCAGGTTCCCTTGCCATTCGTAGGCTTGGAGTTCTTTTTTATCAACTTCGCTGTGCGTTGGATATTTTAGACGGTGTTGTCTTTCGTGCGCAACAAAATATTAGAGGCAATTTTATGTCCGTTTGGGGATCGATGGGTTATTTAATCGACGCTTTCGCTGATATGGTGGGTGGTTTGTTGGTCGGGTTAGCATGTGCTGTATTTCTGAACCGTTATCCACCTTGGAAACGGGTTAGGACAAAGCCCCACGATGAATTAGAGTCGGGAAGAAAGACTGTGAGTTTTCAAACCGAAGAAGAGGAGCGTTATGTCCATGTTAGTCGGCGTTCTGTAAATATCAAAATGTTCCTCGTTATTGCTCAAATTGTTGCTAGGAGTGGATTCTGGGATCATTACTTACATTCCTATGTGGAATTATTGGAGACACCTAACCCCGATATTCCCAGAGTAAGTGGAGTTCATGAGGAGGTTGTCTGCTTTACACCACAACATCCCCTAGCTTATTTTATTGTCTGTCAAGGGAAGATCTATGACAGCAATGTATTAATTAGAAGTTAATGTTCTTAAATGCTTTAGGAAATCTTGTTACAAAGCAGTAATTACAGGCAGTGCTGGCAAGGTGTATGGAATGATTTCAGTTATGACCTGTCAAATATTTTGCCCAGGGGAAATATGCTTGTGTATTTGTCCCTCCTCCAAGCTCACAGTTTTCCTTGAGCTTTACTCTGTTGGCATCTTGGAACAGATAATGTTTGCAGACAAATATCCGTGCATATTTTTGCATTAAATAGGGGCTATTGTTTACATATACAATGCTTATATTATATAATAGAGTTCACTAAACTGTTATTGCAGTTTGACTATGTAGTGAACAACAGTCATTGGTTACAACATACTCAAAGACAAACTATGATAAGATTGTTTTATGGAGTCTCCTTAGGGTATTTTTAGCCCGCAAGATATGGATGCCAACATGTTGCAAATTTAAAAAATTGTCAATAAGGGAATCAAGTAGCTTCGTATGATCACATCATTGTTATATTAAAAAATTACTTTTATTGTAGATTTTGGTTGGGTTTAGGGTTATGGTTTAGGTTTAGGTTTAGGATTGAGGTTAGGATTTGAAGTCATTATTAATGATGATAATTCTAAAATTAAGGAAGCATTCATCATTAGGGCTTTGTTTTGGGTTGCTTGAGATCTGTGATTATGGTAACTATATCTTTAAACAGCAAATACAGCAATGTGACCTTACCAATTATAATTTTTTTTCTTTATAAAGGAGCTACAGGCGGAAGTGCTTAGTTATCGCAGTACATGGGTGATCATGTGGCTGTGGAAAGTGTCCAGTGCTGATGCCTTTTTGCAATTTACAAGCCTGGCAATCCTGTTTGATAAGTTATGGGTGAGTAACTTGGTTGTTGTAATCACACTTACAAAATTCACACCCTCAGTAGATAGACCTTCCTCTGGAGATCTGGCATTGACTTGATTTTTATTATTAATTTCAGGTTTGGGTGCAGATCCTAAATTACTTTGGGCCCCTTGAGCTTGCCTTCGTTATTGTTCTCTCTCAATTGCATTTAATGGAGGTATGGAAGTTTATATATAACAACTAGTAGTACCGGTAATCATTGATTATGAATTGTCTTTGCAGGGAAGAAATTTGGGTCCTGGAATACTTAGATTGGTGAACATGCCAGGAAAATGATGGATTTATGAGAGTAATGCAATTGGGAATGAGCCATAATAATTGTCTGGGGAGAAATGGAAAATTATGTGTCTAACAAACAGTTGACTCTAGAGTATGACAATTTAAATTACTTATATCAGCAAAAAAAGCAATAGATGCATATTAAGTTTTTACCCAGAAATCAAGATAAAAGATGAAAAGTACTAATTTATTTCCACATGTGCAAATGGTTACCAGTCACTTTGCCACCACTGAGAGTCAAACTACCAGCTACCAGTGGCAGTTTGATTTGGGCATTATGTGTAGCCAGTTGTTTGAAACTTACATCAAATAAAGCCAAGATGTAGTAATGTATTGTGTAAATTACTTCTCCAGTAAATGGAAGTGCTCATATATGCTTAAATCATGAATTATGGTGATATAAACAAGTGTTTCTAAACTTCACACTGCAGTTCTTTTTTAAATTCACCGTGTTTTCAATACATTCTCAGAAATAAGAGATCAAACACTTGGAAACTTTCTATCAGTCTGAATTTTTCTTTTACTAGAAATGATGAAAAATCCAATCTTTGGCCTTGAAATGGGGGGTTGACTCATACATGGGTTTGACTTATAAATGGATAAATACAGTAAGGGTGATTTTGCCGAAAGTGACTCTTATGATTTCAACATGTTTTATGTAATTCAAGGGATAACATGCTATAATTGAGATGCTACACATATAGTTTGAGTTTCTCTTGCTGTATTTGTTGGCACCTCTAATTTTGCAATATGACAACTTTACTTTCATTTCATCATGATGCAAATTTAATGTGAGGCTAAACATAACTCTTTAGTCAAATAGCCACTGGTGGTGATTTGACTCTCAGTGGTGTGGTGCCATTGACTTGAAAGCTTATTTTGTCGCTTTTAGACTTAAATGTCCATTATTTTCCAAGAGTATTCCATTGTAATTTTCAAGATGTCTGAGTGTGGAATGAAATGGTATTTTTCTACTTGACAAGCTGATCTTGTTCCATACCCTCTTGGGCAAAAACTAATCAATTTTTTTACCCAAATTTTAGTAAATGTTTTATTGAATGGAATGCATCCCTTTTTTGAAGTGATTAGAATACTGAAATTTGCACCAATTCTAAAACTGTTCACTATTTGACAGGTTGTTTTTAGCAAAAAAATTGATTAAATTTTAGATTATTAGTGCCTCTGGTAGTAATCACTCCAAAAATTTACTTCCTTCAGGCCCCATGAATATTCTCAAATATCATCTACATAAGAACTTAGAGCAATTGTTTGGAAACATTTTGTGCAGACACCTTCCACTGAAGTGTTCTTTCTCTTTATCTCTTTAGGTAAGAGCATACTTGCTTGGAACATGAAGCTTTTTTGAACCACATTGCATATTGTTCCTTATTGGAGCTTAATTAATTTCATTTTATTTTTAGACATTGTTAATGTTTAATGGACCACATGCTAAAGAGTGGATCAATAACAGTTACTGAAATAGAAGGATGTTAGCTTTTTCAACACCAGGGTTTATATTTCTCAGAAATGATGTTAATTAAATAGGGAATAGCTCACTGCTCAGGTTTAATGTGATCCCAAATGTTTAAATGGTTGCTTACATCTCAATCTGAGTTATAATTGTGCTTAGGTTCAGATTAAGTTGTGAATGTACATTTTCCTTAGCTATGTTCATAGAATGAAAATTGCTATCCTTTGCTAACAGTAACTGGCTAACCTAACATCAACTTAAAAGATAAAAATTTCTGTTAATTTACACAAAAGGCAAATGGTTCTCTTTTCCACTTCTCATCATAAAGTGGTGCATGGATTCTCAACCCTGCACTTCCAAGATACTTTACCTTCAAATATTTTATAGGATATGATATGATGAGGTACAACTGTGTTCATTTTTCACTAAAGAAACATTTAAATGAAAATAGGTGTCAAATCAAGAGCAAAATTTTTGGTCAAAAATCCAAAGAAACTAAAAGCAGATTTTCCTTTCAGTTGTGTTCAAATTATTTTGGGATTGTATTATTAACACAAACTACTACAAGTTAAAATCAGAGTTCCACTAATCAGCATTAATTACATTTTTGTCTTTATTATTTTCAGTACAATTTTAATTCAGATTTATCTTATGGATCACTAGTGACATGATTAATACTATTGATGATATATATTAGCACATTTTCTTCACTTCTCAGTCCTAACTTGCTGTATCACAAAAGAGTCGAAAAACAAAGAGATGTTTATGGAGAATTATTTAAAATATTTTCATACTATTTTTTATCTATTTATCACCACAATTGCTGAGGAGAAATTATCACTGTTAGATAACTTACTCCTTTTAAAAGGTTCAAAGGAAGAGAGACCACATTGTATATACAGAATTTACATCTATATAATGTACAATGTTTCTGTTATAATGAAGATCCCTACCTAATAAAAACATGTAATTGGTGAATTTTTAAATGCGTAAGATTATGGCAAAAGCCTTAGTTTCATAAGTGTATGGGTGTACTTAGGAGAGATGGAAATTGATTTTTCAAACTAGTTGCAAGATTTTGTTCAAGATTTAAGAAGTGCCATAGCTACTGATCTTCCCTTAGTGTTACAACAGTATGCTTTGTTGTCAATGTTATCTCTTTCACATGGAAACCTTGTTTCCTTTAGATTTCTTTGCATATGAAAGGTGAAGGACTAAGGACCACTTAAGATGAGTAAAATCATTCTTATTGCCTCTCAATTAGTATGTTTATTATGAGAGTGATTAATTTAATTGCCATAATGATGCTGACTTCAAATAAAGACTTTGAAAGAAGTAATAAAGTGAAAGTAGGATATTATATTGGTGTACAGTCATTGTTTTCAGCTCCAATTTTCCATCCTCTTAACTTTGGCTAAGAAAATTAACGTTGCATTATTAAAGTGGTAAGGGTCTGAATTGATATCTATACAGTCATAATGTATTGTGTAAAATGGCTACCTCACAACCATATGGGACAGATTCCAGCTTCACCTTACAACAGAAAGCTTTAATAATGAACCATTAGGTTTATTTTGTACTGTTTGGCTGAACATCAGTGTACATTATATCAAGGAAACAAAAAATACAATCCACATTATATTAGAAGTAATTGCTATTGCAATACATTCACATATATATTGAAAAAACAAAAACAAAATGAACAGACAAGAGCTGGGAAACCATTTACAATTATTTTGGTTGGAAAGGTGGCCCTAAAAAACTTGTAAAAATCTGGTTAACCTGGGGATGGTGAAGGGATTATTTGGGATGCAGGATGGAGCTCAACATTAATATAGGATGCATTTATTTCACAGAAAGGCAAAGTAAGGTGCAAATTGATGTTTTTTCTCAACTGTGACACATGAAGTGTTACTGTATTCGAAGTAGAGTTTTTCTAGAATTTGTGCATGAAACAGGATAAGACCCCAGTGTCATCCAACTGTTAGACTATATACTGATACAAGTTAAGAAATGGGAAACTTCCAAATTCATAGGTAGTATATAGCTAAGCAGGGCAATTGTTGTCTGATTGATTTGACCAAAGAACAGTGTGGGTTGGATTTCTGTGGTCAGCACACCTGATTTTGTGAGATTACCTTGCCTTATTCTACTTTATCCCAATCCTGTGGGGCTCTAAGTGATGTGCTCCAAACTGACATTAAGCAGTAAGGCTGGATGGAACTCAAACAAGTTTATTTCCATTTGTACTTTGAGAGAGTTTTTAAGAGAAGCCCTAATGCGTCAACTAGGAGTGGCAGAATGATGCAGAATTGGTGGCATAATTGCTGGCGGATGAGATGAATTCATTGGTGATTTTATTGGTATTGGAAGAAAACAGATACTATTAATACCTATCAATCACCAACACACAAGTTTAGAGTAATTTTTTTTAAAAACCTGACAGTTTCTTTAAGAGCCACCTGAGGTATAGGATGTTACAATAAAAACAAACTTTTTTCCCTAATGTATGAATGTAATGGTCTCAATTACTGCATTCAACTGCACTACTAATATACAATCCAAGAAAGACTTGTGAATTCAGCAGCCATTATATCTAATTAGTACAAATATGGTGAAAATGATGGAGTTACTACAAACTTAACGTAACTCCAAATGGATAGTGGATCAGTGAAAAAGAAAATCAGAGAGCTTATTTTGCAATTCCTAGAAGTAGGCATGGCAATTAGCAGGAATTTGGATTAGAATGGGTCTTCTGTTTTCATCAGATAACCTAAGTTCAACTATTTCTGATACTAGCAATCTTTGCCTCCAAGCAGATCATATGATTAACATGTACAGACAGCATGAAATACACCAAATTCAGGGCCTTTTAATTAAGGAATATCTTACATGACAGTAATAATGAACAAAACAAGGAAGTATAATCCCTAATAAATTGTATGAAAGTGATACAAACATTATTTGCATCAAGATAACTTCACATCATCATTACTTGAGAGTAAATCTTCACTCATAAAAGTAATAATATTGTTAATTAGCACATTGTGTTGATATTATTTCATAAGTTATGTCTTTCAGAAACAAACAGAGAGAAATGGCTGCACTAATAACTAACAGGAACTTAACATATTTCACACCCTAAACTAAAAGAATTTAATGAGATTTTGTACTGTTAAAATAAAAGGATTCTTCCAGACAAGTGTGAGTGTTAATGCATAATCAATGATGTACAGTTGTGCTGAGGAGAATCTTTATCATTACCACAAATAGTTCAGCTGGCTGGCCATGGTACAGTCTGTAGATAAAACATATCACTACCACTCCTAAATTTAGAAAGAGAAGTCAGCTCACCCTCAATTCTTAGATTTCCAAGTAATAACAATGATACCCATAAGACCTGTACATGTAAAAGTTTCAACCACTGACATGGCTGCCTGCCTGCCTGCACCAGGCTTGGGTACACATCAAATGTAAATAATTATTTTAGTCAAAGAATAAAATCCTTGAATTCTTCTAATATTTTATGTTCATGTCACCCAAAATAACCCTTCCTTGGCTGAATAAAACCTAAGATTATTTCTTTGTAACTTTAAGTTTATGGCTGATTAACTTCCAATATTTGCGGATTGTTTAAGCGTCTTAAATCAAGAGCATTAAACATCAGAGAAAAAATAAAGCTTATAAAATTATATTTACCATCCTGCCAATGACTGAATTATTGAGGGCTATCAATTCTTAATAATTATTTTCTGTCCATTAGAACAAAAGAGTTCTCACTGCATGTTTTATTTTATTGTAACAAAAGTTAAAGAGTCGCTATACCAAAACTACAACGACTTGAACACATGCTTTTGACATTGTGCCATGTATTTGTATTTGGATCATAGCACTGAACAAGATTGAGGTAACCTGATCCATCATGTCCTCCAACTGAATACAAAAATCCATTCAATACAGCAACACTAAGACCTGTTCGTGGTCGACTCATAGGTGCCACCATAGTCCATTCACTAGACAACGGATCAAAACGCTCCACACTTCGTAAATGGGACACCCCATTGTGACCGCCTAGTGCAAGATGAAAATGACAAATGAATTTGGCTGCATACATTGCAATTATCATGAATCACATTTAAAGCATAACATTAAACTTCTGTTAAAGTACATTGAATGAATTCTGACAATTCTTCACAATGGATGAAACAGTCACATCCGAAAAAATTCACAATTTATATATCAAATATTAATCTCACCAACAACATAAAGACATCCATTCAAAACTCCAACACCAAAATTAATTCTATAGGTGCTCATTGCTGGCATCATTTCCCATGAATTTGAAGCAGGATCATATCTTTCAACAGTTCGGAGATAAGATGGCCCGTATCCTCCCAGAGCATAAAGATATCCATCACATGCTGCTGTGGCAAAGCAGCTGCGACTGTAGTGCATTGGCACCACATGACTCCACTGTTTGGTACGACTATTGTAGCACTCCACTGTGTTGAGGTAAGAGTTACCATCATAACCACCAAGAGAATAAAGGTACCCACCTGTTGGTAAAAGACAACAAGTTTCCTACCAAGACTGGACTTGCCTAATAAAGTTAGTGAAATTCAACACTGACTATTGGAAAAAAAAAATTTATACCATAGTATGGTACCCTGCCAACTTTTTTAGCAGTGTGATGTTGATAATGGCAATGATGTATCTCCTGCTCACACAACTAAAGTGTGTGTTTAGTTGGTAGAAAAAGTAATAACCTAGAGCTGGCCTAAGAAGTATCATACAAATGCCATCCACCCTCCAACACATACAAGACACACAGCACAGATATAACTGAAGCATTTCATCAAAAGTCAAAAGTTACTTGCCTAATGGTTGCACTGTGTGGTTGCTGCGACACTGATTCATAGGAGGTACTCTACTCCATTGCCCTGTATCAGGATCAAAACATTCACTTCCATTGTCACAGTACCTGAAGGGTGCTCCACTGTGGACACCAACACCACACACCAGGCCACCCACAGCATACAGTTTACCTGTGAGATACAGCTATATTAATATAACATTCACTTAAGATAGGTGCAGTAACTACTAATGGTTACAAACTAAATGGTCAAAGGGAAAGCCTTGTTAAGATGGCACACTTTCAAAACTGAAACCAGTGCCTTGATGAAAGTCTAATACAATTTCAGCTTCTGGATCAATTATAAGATGAGATACCTCAAGTTTAACACATAAATTATGATAAAAAGTTTTTCCTGAGACTGCTGAAAATCTTAGCAATGCATTGTGAATATCTAATTTAATTCACCAACTGAGTAAACTGGCTGACATTTGATCATTTGAGCTAGTCTAAATTTAGATTAAAATGTACTAATTAAAGAAAAGTTCAGCATATGAAACAGGAAAAAATGCTCAACAATGTCAAGGACATGGAAATGTGAAGTATTTGATGAAGTTATAAATCACTTGAAATAAAATTGCAGTTCGTGAAGGATAGCAATGGGCATGGAAAATGTTGTGTTTGTTCCAAAGTCTAAGAAATATGCTCTCTCATTAAAAATATTCAGAGCTTTGCCTCCTCGACTCATGAAATTTTGTTTGCAGACTTAAAATTGTCTTTACCCTTGAACAAACGGGTGTAACTGGTAATAAAATTAGGATCAAAAGATCTCACGATTAATTTCTCATAAAACCCTACAAGGGTTTTATGTCTGAAATCTACAATAAAGATGATATAATTATCGGAAAGTATGTTGTTAGAAGTGAAACTATATCTCATTGAAGTTCACCTGTGTTGTCTTGATCGAGTCGAAACAAAAACCTACCATCTAATACTGCTGCTCCAAACTCGAATCTTCTTAGATTCATGCTGGACACTTCAATCCATTTGTCCCTCTCGGGTTCATAATATTCTACACTACTCAAAGTTGCAAAAAGACCATTTTTACCCCCCAAGGCAAAGATTCGCTTCGGCGCACGTCGAGGGATGACTGTGGTGCTAAAAGAAGGGCACTTCCCTTGAATATGTCTGTAATTTAAAGCATCATGTAACAAAACTTGGCTTGCTCTATCTGCCCGAATAAGTTCATTTGTCTCGTAGCTCAGTGTAAGAAAACGCGACGTCAACAAAGGTAAACGGACGTTCTGAAGTAGTTTTCCAAGAAGCGATATTCTCTCCTGGAGTTTATGCCTAATCCAAGATAGAACTGCTTCGAACACAACTTGTTCTGAAACAACGTTTAGGTTATCGTCGCGGAGTAGGTCCGTCAGCTGACAAGGTGACAAGAGGAGATATTCCTCGTACTGGATAACTTCTTGGAAGTGATCTTGAATGTACTTCCTAGATCTTTTTTGCAGACTTTGACAAGAGTACGCGTCTGAAAACTTGCTGATTCCTAAACAGTTGCTAGGATGAAGCTGTTGGCTGAGAAAGTGACAGCATATCTCCTTGACCCTGTTTAACTGCAGCATGTTGGCAGCTGGCAGTAAAACTTGGACGTTTTCCTGTGTAACTTGAGCTTTTCCTGTGTAGGCGAAATCGACTAGAATATGAAGGGCACTTTCGTCGATATCTTTCAAATAAATGACTTGTTTCTGGCTTTCAAGAAGCTTTCCTGTGAACATAGCATTAAAGTATGGGCTACACGCCGACAAGACTACACGATGAGCTGAAACTCTGTTTTTTCCGGCACAAAGTTCAACATCACACAGTTCATGTCGCTGGCGAAGTTGATTCAATCCCTTGAGCAGTTGATTTGAATGTACAATTTCAGGTGTACCTTGATTAGCCTCTGATTCATTAACCATTGTCTCAAAATCCTTCTAATTCTCGGCCTTAACGCCAAACTAAAGAAAGAAGACACCTAAAACTCCAAACCAAAACAAACGAACCCCTCCATGAAGCCTCTTTTCAAGAACCCAACGCTAGACACCTGACTGGACAGCGGCTGACTGCGGGGAATATGCGAAGTGGCCTTATCTCTGCCAGATGGTCTGCTTCTGTTCTTATCGGCAGTCAATCAGAAGACTTTAACGAAAATATTTATACATTTTATTTATACTTTGCGATAAAAACGCTGAATTTCCCTCATGTATCGAACGAGATTTTTGAACGGCTTCCAGTACGTGTCGGTTTCGTTGGAAACCGCTAAAATACTTATGAAAAATTCATTGTTATCTATATTTAGACAAATGTTTACTAAAAATAGATGCTAATTGGATATAGAGTCACGAAACCAGGAAAAGACGACATGAAGGCGGCTAATAAGGCACGGAAAAGATGATAATTTAATTTTAAGAATGTTTTCGTAGTTTGAAAAAGTTGATAGCTGGTAAAAACAAGGTTTTCGTTCTGAGCTTATCTGCAGATGTCTTCTTCAAACAGAAAGGTATCGAAATCTTTTAGCTCTTTTTAGGAAAACCCCAATCAGTTCTATTTGGCGTTAGACGTGCATTTTACGTTCATAATTACCCAAATATGAACTGGAAAGGAAAACTAACAGGATAATTGGAGTCATCGAAAAGCATCAACTACAAGAAGGAAATGAGTCGTTGAAAACGGCGAACTAAGTATGAAAATGAAACAATAGGAACCGAAAGTAATTGCATTTTTGTGTTCATCTTTATCACTAGTATAACTCTCCATTATTTGAAGATCTTTAGAATTTTCATCCTTAATCATCAATTTAAAGAAACTACTCTTGATATCAAACACAGACTACAATGTTTGGGCAAGACAGTTTATTGAGCAGCAGAACGAGACATTGGCGCTAGAGATCAATAAACTAAACCAGTAAGGGTGGTGTGGGTGGGAAAGCGCTGACTAGTTCAAAACTGGCAGAGCGTTAGAGCGATCTGAAATTCGATACACTAGAACAGCTAAAAGTAACTGATCGGGGGCGTGTTCTCTACGGTAATTATCCATCATCAAACATGGTGATCATTGTGTGAACATAAATAGCAGCTAGTCGCGGTCTTTTCAACATTGTAATTCACTACTGAGTCAAATTCGACAAGCGTTCATTATATGTAATAAGTGATTATCATAAAGAGATTCACAATTTTCTGGTATTTGAAATATGTAATTTCTAGTTACTAATCTCCTCTGGATCAATTCCACAAGAATCTATTGCCATAGTTAAGAAATCATGTTCTAACTTGGTTACTAATCATCTCTGCTCATCAAGAATCTTTGAGTCGAGGGTAGTTTTTTCATGCTGAGCTCCACACATAGGTCATCACCTTTTTAACATCTTGAAACCGTTAAGTCAACCTACTGGATAACTGGAATAAAGAAATGGTACCTGGACTGTTGATGCGCCTTACGGAGTCCACTGTAAATGTTTAAAAGGTAAAGAGAATGGATAATGAAGATGCTCATGATATTTATTCATCTGTGGAAGTCTTTTTTTGTTTTGTTTTGTTTCATTTTCTTTTTCAAGAATGACAATGTCGAAGAGGGAACAGTTTTTTTTACTGTAATTTCCCTCATTATCTTTTACTTGTTTCACCTACCCCTCCCTAGTTGGTACTTTTCGAGAACGTTACCTAGCAACTGTTAGCAATTGACTTAGAAAGGACACTTCACATTCCTGCACAGTTTGCGCTGTTTGTTTTGTCGAGACAAAGTGCAAATATTTTCAAAGTGATCAAAGGCTTCTTATTTTCATTTCAATTTTATTTCGATGTTCTCATCAAATTTTAACAAGGGTCTTTACGGTCCAACTCGGACAAGTGCTCGGACGGAAATCAAAGACGTCCTTTTGCGCGATCATGTGTTACAAAACGGAGAATGGCACGGCGATGATCGGCAGAAGAATCCGTGGAAAACCTCCTTTTCCATTTCTTTTGAGGTAGAATTTAGCCACGTGTCAGTTATCACTTTCGTAGAATCTGTTGTTTTTTTTCTACGGAGTATCAGTTGCTCGTCAGATTGTAAGGATCTAGAGATGTAAGTGAAATATGTGAGCTTGCAATGAACAACAGCTGAACCCAGCGGGTCGTCAAGGGTCACCAGACTGGAGAGCCGCAAAATTAATTTGGAAATTAGTGATCGTGAATTACTCTAGAATAGAGAATACCGTTTACTTTGCCGATTATGTACTTAGAATCAGGCGGGTTATTTGCTCATTTCTCTTTTTTCAGCACTCTCGTGTACGCGTTGCAGCCGAAACCTTCGAGTCATAATTTGTTTACAGTTTGGATTCTCGAGTGATATGGTTGATTTGACATGGACATAGCTAGCAGTGAAACGATTGACGATAATTTTTTTAAAAGGAAATTTAGCTTGATTTACAATTGTTTAAATCGCGTGTTTTTCCTAGAAACCCAGCGTTGGAAAAAATGTCAAGCATGGCAAAGTTAACGTGCGGGTAAGTTGATTGAAAGACAACAAAGATTGTATTGATATTAATTATTGGAAAGTCTTACTACACAGGCTTGCTAAATAGATGTGCATGACATTAACTCTTGTTTAATTGTAACTCAGATGTTGATTTGGAGGTGCATTTCGCCTGATTTGTATGCTTCTAATGCTCTGTTTATTGTTGCTTTCATAGAAATGTCTTTTACTTTTACAAAGAAATCTATACTTAAGTTACATGACTATGAGGTTTGATGAAGACTGAAAATCATTTATCTTTTCAATTCTCTGCTTCCTCTTTCACTTTGCGCAGACAAATGTAACCAGCTTTGTACTGGGCTCAGAGGGGGGTCTCTCACTGGCAACTACAGCAAAGGACTTTGATAACAAGCTTCAGGGAGCTCCTTTCAAAGCTGCTCCTAGCCAGTCAACCAGCATTGCTGTAAGTGGGTACATTTGTTTTTTGTTTTGGTTGATATTTGGAACCGCATGGATAACACATGTTTACAGTGCCTGCTTGGGGTTAGTTAATATAATTATTCATACTGATGTGTCTGTTGTACCTGTAAACAGGATTTCTCTCCTAAGTACATGTCTGATGAAATATTTGGAAGGTCTGGATCAGTTTACAGCAGAACGTTTGCAAAGGTATGTTGCTAGAGCAAGCCCATTATCTGATTTTTCATTCTTAAAACAGATAACAGTAAATGAAGATTTAGATATATGAAAATTCACATATTTGCACTGGGGTGGAAAGATGAAATTAGAAGATCCTCGCAGCTAAGAACACTACTGAAACTAGTAGTTGTAAGTAGGACCTGAAAAAAAATTTCAGGCCCATACGGGATTTGAATCCATGACCTCTGCGATACCGGTGCAGTGCTCTACCAATTTTTCAGGTCCTACTTACAACTACTAGTTTCAGTAGTGTTCTTAGCTGCGAGGATCTTCTAATTTCATCTTTCCACCGCAGTGCAAATATGTGAATTTTCATATATCTAAATCTTCATTCACTCGGATGTTTATTTGTACCCAATTCATTGACCAGCTCCCAGTTGGCTTGTTAGCTCAATTGGTAGAGCGCTGCACCGGTATTGCAGAGGTCATGGGTTCAAATCCCGTATGGGCCTGAAATTTTTTTCAGGTCCTACTTACAACTACTAGTTTCAGTAGTGTTCTTAGCTGCGAGGATCTTCTAATTTCATCAGATAACAGTAAGTTTTAAAATTTATTGAATCTTTCAAATATCTAGTAATTGATTACTTATTTATCACCTTAACTTCTTTTGAACATGTTGATATGTTTTGTGTAGCTGAGTATTTCAAGATGAAGTGAGTATTGTAATATGTAACTGGTTTCAGCTTTTCTAATTCACAGGGACCCCAGGCAAAAGGCTCTAATGCTAAAAACAGAGCTGAATGTCAAAAGCTTACCACCCATCTCAATACATCTCATTTTTATTTTGGGAGTGATTTAAATGGGTGAGTAATCTGGAGCTAAATGTTAAAATGTTTCAGTCTTGATGAATTTTTACAACTCAGTTTTCATTACACATTTTACAGGTTGTATTCCTGTTATCATGTTTTGTATATTATTGCCAACACTGTTATAAATATGACCACAATTGCTTTTGATATTGTCCTTATCAGTTTAATTATTATTTGACAACTTTTATATGGGTACCAAGAAAGCAGCAAAACTAGAGAGGTGGGATTTGACATCAAAGGATCCTCTGTTGTTATAATTTTTTTTTAATGCAATGATCACTCAACAACCCTTTTTCTCATTCACAGATATGGCACAGAGACAAGGCACTCATTTGAGAAGAAGTTGGAACATTCTGCCAAGGAACCTGGCCCAAGCACAAACCTGGCTTCCAAAACAGCTCAGGAGACTTACAAATCAAGTGTTTTTAGACACGGTGATTGGAATGTGGCTGAACCTCACTTTATAAAACATTCAGTGACATGTAATGACTTCCATATCAAACCCTTTACAACAAGCCACAATGTTGGATCAAAAGATACTAAAGGACAAAAACAGGAAAAAGATGAGTTAGAATACACTGAATCCAAAGTACCTTCCATCAGCCCAAAAGGTATTAATCAAAAGACTTCCAATGTACTTTGTCTTCATTGCAATATTTACTCTCAGAAGGATGTGAGGAACAGCTAAGAAACAATTTTGGTGGCCTTTGATAAAAATTAAACCTCATGTTTTATTTTTGGAATGAATACAAATATCAAGCCCTTGCAGTCCTGTGTGTTACCATGATGTGTTTATTGATTCTTACAGACAATCCTAGCCATCCTTATTATCAGCGCAGCACTCACTTTGTGGTAAGTCTCACCAATGAACAATCTGTCATTTAAAAGGTAAAACTGTATCCCTTGCTTTATTTGTTATGGATCCAAAATGATGTTAATGTTGGTAAATGCAAATTCATGACATTTGCCCTAACAGAAGCTAGTTTTGCAAGAATATTTGACCCAAGACACTTACAGAGTATGTAGAGATGTACAGCAATCATACAGGTGAATGTAACATTCATAACAAGCATGTTGATCAGCAGTACCCTTTAAAATACCTACTGTGTAAATTGCTTTTCTTTTATGCTTGCAGTTAGGAACCAACACAGATGATAGAAGTTCACTTCATCAGAAAGGTAACATTGAACATGTAAACACAGTGGGCTTTATTCTTTTACCAGTGGATCTTACTCAGAAGTACTCCATCCCTTTTCACTCTTTTATCCATAGGAGTGTCCACAAAAGAACTTCTTCTTTTACTTTCAATATATTTTTTAAGCCAAAAGTGATGAGAAGAAACAAAGATACTGTATCAGCCAGGGGATACAATGTTTAATTTAAAGCCAAACTATCAGAGGTTATAGATTATAAATAATGTATGACTGACAGTCTGGGGAATTGTTCTTAATTTTACATCTTGGGGGTAAAATGGTGGATGTATATCAGTTAACAGTTTTTATTGTTATCCTCGTAAAATGTGAGAAACATGCAATAAATTATTCACATGATGTTTTGTCCAAATTACTTTTTGACCCTTAGATTTTATTCTTAGTAAGCGAGAGTGCTTGATAAAACCACCAGCAGCTCCTCCTCCAATCTCTTCCAAGGTGATTAACAGAACATGTTTAACTTACTTACATGATGTTATGTGCCCTGAAGCGATTGAGATCATATACAACCTTGCAATCTTCAATTGAAAATCAATAAATAGCTCCTTCAGTTCATTCTTACACACAGTGTGGATGAATTAGAGATTAAGGTTTATGTTTTCTTTTTCTGGAAAAAAAAGGAATATTCATCATTATCATTTCATTAATTTCAATTGTCACACAAACTTAGCACATTTTTTAATACATACAATAGCAAAACTTAAATCTATGGGTTCTTTTTAGCTGCATGTTTTAATACAGTAGTTACCATGAGGAAAAGATAGCTGTTGACCTTAATTCATGTATTCCTTTCTCCCCACTCATGACCAGGTTCTTCCAAACCTGGAGGACTGTAGGCCCTCTTGTTCAACACATACAGCAGATTTTACCGACCACAAGATTCAAATCACTCAAATTAGTCAGGTATTTGTAATTGCATTGTCATCAGGTGATCAACATTGTACTGTTTGTACTGTATAGATAGAGCATCTTGTCATGGTCATCCCCCATGGATTATGTGCCAAGTTTTCTTGTCTTTTGGTTACAATTACAGTCTCAGTTTGTTTCTTTTTATTTACTGGCAGGGAAGGGCTGCTGAGACAAAACTTAATAGGGCACGTCACAATACACTTGCTGTTGTCTTATCATGTGATGCACAATGTCATGCAGGTGACAGACAGGCATCAAGTAAGTCCCTTAAATGGTAAATTTACCACTTCCTTTCAAGAAATTTCTGTCACTCAAAGTGGTTAAAGAACTAAATGTTATTCTCAGTCAGTAATAAGCATCCATTTGATGATAGACAGTTGTGTGTGTTATGCGTTTATCTATATTTATTAGAATAAACTGCAGTGTTTAATTTGACCTCTTCATCATTTGGCACTCTAGTGACAGGGAGTGGTTACTTACATCCACCAAAGGACCATCCATATCTCAGCCCCCAGAGGGAACAAAATAGTAGATATCGATACTTGGACAGTGATGGAGCCCTTCTCAGAGCACCAGAGTGGCCTTCACCATCAGAGACAAAGGTTTAGTTTCATTTCTTATAATGTTAGAAGTGTCATGTCAGTACTGATGATTAAGTTCCTGAAATGAAGTCTAAATGTCTGACTTATTTTCATTTTGTTTTGTTCAGGAGGAATTTATTCCCATTGAAGAGCTGGCTATGGGCAATGGAGCAGCCAAACTAAAGCAGAAAAAAGATGATTGCCTTGAGAGAATTACAGATAACAGGAAAACACATTTTCAGTTTGGCTCAGATAATAAACATAAACACACAGAACAGGTAAATATTAAATTCTATACCCATGAAAACATAACATTATGCTTGCCTCAAAATTCAAACAAAATGCTATTGGGAAATGTAGAAATGTCTAAATAATTAAGTGATGTGAGTCAGCAAATTTTTGCCGTGCACATCTCATCCCATGTAAAGAGCAGTATATTTTATTACAAAATTGAAGTAGTTTGATATCAATGAATTTATAATAAACCTTGCTTTTTCTCAGCACGACCAGTTCTTATTGTCTCTGCAACTTGATCCAGCCCTTCCAGCCGCAGGGAAGAGTGAAGGACCTGAACAGAAATACTCCCATGTATACCCAAGGTTAGAGAGTTAAGCATTTTTCATGTCAAATGATGTATATATTTTTGGTCTGCAATGTTTTTATTTCTTTGGGTTTTCCTTAGTGAAACAACACAGCAGGGAAGGCATCGAGTATCAGAGCCTCTCCCTCAGGACAAGGTAGCCACGATTCAACAACAAATGCTGCAGTTAAATCAACAGAGGTAAGAAAGACATTTGGTTTGGTTTTTTCCACTTAGTTTTGTGAAGGTGCCAAATCCATAAAAAATTCCTTCATTAAGTGGTGTGTGTGTCTCTGTGGCTATTCTGTCATTTATTAATTGTATTTGCATTCTTCAAGATTCTATAACTCAGGAGACACCATGAACATTCACTTGCGAAAAGCCTTCCTGGATTTTGATACAAGCTTGTGAGTACTTAAAAATACCTTCTAATGTTTTGCTTTTATTACTTAAAGCTCTTCTACTTATTAATCGTTGAAAAATTGTTCATAAGTAAGTCTTTCACCTTCAGTATGTCCCTTTTTTGCCCTTGCTTAGGAGTGGTAGAATTTCTATTGAAGACCTTAAATCTGTTTTGGGAAAACTTGGAATCGACATGGAGGAGAAAACCTTAGGAAAACTCATTGAAATGTAAGTGGAAAGTAAATGTTTGTGCTGACTTTACTCTAGCCTCCGTTCCAAATTCAGCATGTCCAGAGTGAGGAATAAAACTTCATGACAAACCTAATCATAATCAGGGCATTAACGGTTTATATCGCAGGTGCGATGCTGGTCGTACTGGTTTCGTGGACTACGAAGAATTTTCGAAATATTTGACGAAAGATGCTCTAATTAGTCTTGGAAATAAACCATCAAAGACTTCAGTGATGAAGACGGATTTCTGTTCACCAGAACAAAGAAGGTAGATAATTTAGCCGGTTCTAAACACCAGCTTTTCAGGATTCATGATCTCGCTGTAGTTACTGTGTACATGTCTATCCACAGACTCAGTTCTGCTCAGCTGCGTACGATAGAAATGGCTAAGAAGATCGCACCAATGAAGGTGAACTCGCATTACTTCCACGAGCATCACTCGGGAGGTATGTATTATTGAAGAAATGTAAAATGGTTTCCGTTTTAACATAGCCTGATGTAAACACGCGGGAGGTTGGGAGAACACGAGATAAGCGTAGGAAACCACGACGCGAAGCGGAGTGGTTTCCAGCTCATCGAGTGTTCTCCCAACCTCCCAAGTGTTTACATCAGGCTATGTTAACACGGAAACCATTTTACATAATATTATAGTTTCAAACCTTAAGAGCTGTTATTTCAAACCCTCTTCTCTACTTCTCTCGGTAGCACCTCGTCTCTCAACCACGGCTCAGGATTTCGTCCAACCTGACAGAAGGCCAGGTAGATGAATTTTTATTCTTGCATGCTCTGAAGATTGGGAGTGTTTTGTGCCCTGTTCTGTTTATATTAAGACCGTTTATTCTTTCAGTGTTTGTCATATCGTGCGTTATCAGTTCCTTCACACTTACTTTTATTTTCTAGGGAATCCTCGTCTTTCTGTGTGATAACATGGAGACAAATGTCACTGATCTTGTTCCACCCAAATTTCGGGAACGGTTAAATTTCTGTATTGTGTAGTTCTACAAGTGCGGTTGCTACGTGACTTGGGGTGTCTAACCGATCACGTGACCCTCCGAAGGTGCCTTTCAACTTGGCTCTGAGTAGGAACCAGTCTCCCTCTTTTGTAAATGCATTACGTATAGGAAATCGTATGAGCGCGAGTGCATTTCGTGATTTATGGGCACGAGTGATGTTTTGAAAGTTCTCAAAATTGCACGAGCCGTAGGCGAGTGCAATTTGAGAACTTTCAAAACATCACGAGTGACCATAAATCACGAAATGCACGAGCAGGTTCATACGATTTTTTATTTATTATATTCTCGACAAAATTAATCCATCGGTGTTTCCATGGCAACTTCTCCGTATTGCACTCTATAACCTCTATTGCACTCTATAACCTATTTATGCATTCATCATTGACCAATCAGAAACGCGTTATTTTGTTGAGTATATAATAAGATGTTTTAATAGTGCAGAGTTTAAGTTATTTGTGTCACATAATAAATCAAATTGTTCGCATAAAACCCTATGCTGGAGGAAACCTTACACGTGTTCCTCGATGTAGTTACAGACTTCGGCCGACTCTAGTTATAGGTATAAGGATCTTGACTTAGATTGTGCGTCTAAACGATTGTTTCACTCAACTGAACTGAAGAAATCAACCCGACTGTAAATCCATGTTTATTGACAACTTTGTATTGCTGTTTAGGCTCCTTATAACACACAAGGCCAGTTTCTTGTAAACAAAATTTTCGAGGAGTCAACAAAATACCCATATCTTAAATAACAAATAATACCCTAGTGATAAATTTAGCCAACTTTCTTTGAACAAAAGATAATTTTTAAAGAAAAAATTCAATTGAAAATTGATAATGAGTCTTCCCTGTGACTCATATCCAGAAGACCTGACAATTTTGGGGTTCTAATTTCTAAATAAAAAGAGACGAAAAATTATCTGCAAGCGACTCACCGAAACAAGTCAGAATAATCGCCCAGTATACCTAAGACATGAAAAGCATCAACCTGCATTAAACTGGGGTCGCTTCTATAGCCTTAATTTGCGTATTATTGACCATAATTTTACTTTCTACTGTGCCATTTTTGTTGTCATTTTCGTCAGCTTCACAGTGTTCCCTTAACAACACTGTTTCTTCTCTCGTTGGGGTCTCTTCTGAAGTCTTCATACTGCGCCAGGAAAAAATGTCACTCCAACTAAATTGTCCCCAATCCCCCTGTGGTCCAATCGTGCAGCAAAGTGCTTGGAAGAAGAACGTCGAAAAAGCCCATCCCAGGGTCATCACTAACATTAGGAAATGTCCCATCTGTAGGTAAGATAGGACCCTGGATGGCAGCATCATTGCACCTAAACGAATAAGATAGTAATCAGTGATAGGTCGAGTGTTAGCAATGATTCGTGGTAGAATGTATAGACGGTTTGAACCCAAGAGTGGCAATCTATCTTGTTGTTGATCGTAATCAGAAAAAATTCGAGTGTTAGTAGTAATTCGTAGTAGAAGGTATACACGGTTTGAATATAGGGGTGATATTCTTTCTTGTAGTTTGGTCGTTCGCGTGAGAGTATCCTTGAAAAAGGTTGTTGTCGACTGTTGTTGTTGTGAAGTTATCAATAGTGCCAAGTAAGGACTTTTTTAAATGAAAAGTTAAGATCAATTGTGTGAAAATGGGTTCGTTATCGGCTGTAACAGTCAAGTAGCATACAGTAAGTCAGTTATTATCGGTCAATTTGGATCCGTCGGTTTAGAAAGATAGATCTTTTTGGTTCTTTGAAATTTTAATGTCTTGAATGTGTCGTCTGATCAATAAAATTCACGAATATCGTCGACTGTATTTTTCTCTTTACTGGGTGTTTTTTTCCTCTATCAGCGCCCTTATTTGAACTGACCTGCAATAAAAGTTGTAACAGCAGCCATGGTGATTGCAGATCCCATCCGGGACAGCGAAAAACGCACACGTGCCTTTCTACATTCCTTATTAGGTGCAAGGCAATAAGCTACCCCAAAATGCATCGCAAAATCAATGGATACACCAACAGCAACAGACATAGTTATGGACTCCAGGATGTTGAGTTTCCACCCGCTAAGGACCAAGGAGCCGATAGTGACAGAGATTATGCCAATTATTGTGAGGATGGCGTATAAGCTTACTAGAATATTCAGCGTGGTCAGTAACATCACACCAAACGCCATGGCGATGGCAATTGCCATAGAGACTAAAGTCCCGGTAGAAAGGCTCCTCTGTAGGTCGTAAAACTCCATGCCGCTTATCCACCAGCCCCCACGCATGCCTTTTGGTGCATTTCGTATTTCCTTCATCACCCAAGACTCTGTGCGTTCCCAAAATTGGTGCGCTGGCTCATATGCGCGGGAAATTCTCACATTACTCATAACGCGCAGGTGAATGCCTCTAAGACTGCCGCGTTCGTCGTAGATGAGGTTTCCAATTGTGGAATCCTGTCTCTTATACTTAAATATCTGAGCGCGGACATCTGCTATTGTGGCGCATAAGTTCAGAATGGTTTTATTGAATGGAAAAGGAGAACCTTTGCAACAAGGGTAGTAGGAGATTCCTGGTGTCAGCGGATCTGTACAGCTTTGATTGTAGAACGTTTCTAGGAAACAGTAGCTTGTTACACCTTCTTTCTTTCCATAGAAGTCTTGCTTGCGCAGCTTTCTACAGAAATTCATCAACCACGCTTGAGATTCACGACTTGTTATGTCGAAAGATTCATCCCACTCAATTGTGCCATAGTCGTTGGGATCCAGGTAGTCACCGTTGTCGACTGGTTTAATTCCCCAGAAAAAATCGATGGGAAAAGTGGCACTACCTTGCGAAGAACTTGTCTCGAAACGGAATCTGTCTTTGAAATGGAGTTCGTAAGCCTCAAGGGGATGTGATGATTCAAACATCTGAAAATCAGATGATGTGGGCAGATGGAATCCAGGCTTGAAAAGAAGAACCTCCAAGCCACCCAAAGTAAGAACCGAAAACGACAAAATCCAGAAAATGCGGAATTTTATGACCACTCTCGGAAGAAAATCACTAAACACAAAGCGCACGGATTTAGCCACGTAATTCTGATATAAAAGTTCTATTTTATGGATCGAAGACTTCTCTGCGCATGGCCATGGAATCTGCACACTTTCATTGATGACGCAAACAGCAGGAAACCACGTGACCATCATACTAAACTTGCAGAGGATGGCAATACCAGCGTAAATACCAAAACATTTGATAGTGGTAATTTTAGAACTAAAATTGGCAATAAAAGCAGCTGCTGTAGTAAGACTCGTCACAAACATTGATAAAGAGGCGTGCCTTAAGGTGTCAGCGGTGATTCGCGTCAAAGGTGCACCGGGATTATTCTGTTTTGCCTGGCGCCAGACATCGGTGAAGACAAACGCGTCATCAGCTCCTATCCCCACCAGAAATATAAGAGTTGTGATGTTTAGAAATGGAAAAAAATTCAAACCTAACACGATCGTGTAGAGGAAATAAGCAATGATCAGAGCACTGACCACAGAAAGCACTAAAAGGACGGTGAGTAAAACAGACTCCGTGTAAAACCACATGATGAGTAGAATAATTAACATTGCTATGGATGGATAAATTATGTCCGCCAATAGCTTGATGTTGAACATGTCGAATTTCAAAAAGTAAAATTCCGTTGCTACTAACTTTACGTTTCCATCAGACAAATGTCCGTTTTTGATATGTTTCTCGTATAACTTCTTTCTGAACTCTTTATTGCTTGTCGCAGGGCTCAGAACTGATGTATAAATCAAATTTTCTCCTTCGGCTGCGAAGAAATCTTTGTCTGTCAGGTAGTATAGAATATTGTGGACCGCGTTATATCTCACACACTCTAATGGAAGTCCCAGACACACTGGATAAGCAATATTATATTTAAAGTTCCAACAGTTTTCTTTGATCGTCGCGTTGTTGAAAAGTGGTGCACAATGTCGTAAAATTGATAGAACTTGTTCTACATCGTTTGAAGATATATCTTGACAAGATGATCTTCCTGAGAGAGCTGCAATATAATTACCAACAGACCAACTGGGACAACAGTCTCTGAATGTGAAAGTTTTGTAACGGAGCTCCCTTTTAAAGCAGTTTGAATAAAAACCCGTTGTCTTTCTCACGACTATTTCTTCCATTTGACACACAGCCCGTAAACTGGCAGAATTGAACACATTCCCACCTGAGGTTGTTGAGGCAAATACCATTTTGTAATTAATGGTGCTTTTCATAAAAACATTCGGACTGTCACACATTGAAAGGCGATATCTATTCTTGAAGTGACGCTGGCTTCCTTCTCTCCCTTGTTCTTTCCTCTGTCTTATGTTAGGTGTGGTCAGGTGTCCATAAAGGGAGGACATGTTGATTAAAGTGCTCATGGTCACATTTGGTATTGGACTAATTCTAACTAAGCCACTACTCGCCGCTTTGCCAAGAACAACTCCTGCTCTATATCTTTTGTTGATAAGTGTTCCACGAGGCTCGAATCCCTGCGTGAAAGAAAGACATTTTCAGTTACTGAACTCTTTTCAGTAGAGAGGCGAAACTTTCTTGTGTGAGAAAAAATGAAAAAAGAAAAAAAATTAGAGCAATATGAATGACTTTACCTTGACTGGAGTTGAAAACTCTGGAATATCAGGGGCACTAAACTGGGGGACAAAAGAGCAAAGGCCACAAATCACAATCAATAGGGATGTCACAAAGAACACTGCATACGGGTATTTTGCTAGCACCGCTGAGTACCTTGGGAAAAAGAGATACAAAGAGACGTTAGAAGCAAACTGATTTTAAGATCTGAGTTTAGGAGCATATACAATGGTCGATAAAAAGCGTCCTAACTCATTGTCTCGAAAGCCACAGCTGAACTCAATTTTCCTCAGTTGTGGCAGAAATTATGTATTCTTACCAAGAGAGATCTACACGAGGTCGAGTAGTTTCTCATTCTGTGTGACCTTTTGAGAAGCTTGGGATCCCTTTCGCTGGTAAGTGGGTAAAGACGTGTTAAAATAACGTCAGCTACTAGTTGTTTGTACTGAAATGGGTTCAAGTATCAGTGCTTATTGTTACCTCGGAATGGCAAGCTGTCCTGTACTTCGTTCACCTGGCAACATCACTTCATTGGCGGCATCATTGTTATCAGATTCAATCTGTTTTTCTGTACCGGCTGGAGTTTCTTCTTGGCTTTTCAGACTGATTGCTTGGTCGCAAATATCCTTGTTATCCATGGCTGGCTAAGTTCACCTTAGAGGTTCGCTACTTTTTCTACCCGAAGATATGACGAAAAGCCTGTAGAAATCAGGAAAGTCCGGATCCATGCTACATTAGTGAAATACACTCAAACCTCAAACTCTTAATTCTGCGGGGAATGTTTTTCAATGTTTTAAGTTTGTCTTCTTAATGAAAAAGGTCGTCAAGCTATACTCAACGTTTTTTTCCAATCTTGTAAACACTTTCTCGTCCTTTCTAGTAAATGAATAATATATACTGTTTGACTTTATTTAAGAGTAAGTTCGTTCGTCTTCTGTAACAGCGAAATGCCCATAATTTTCCCTCAAATCCATTTGTTTTGATACACATCGTGATGTTATTGTCTTCAAAGGGAGGCTGAATACCTTAATTTGCATCAAGTCAGGTTGAATTCATTCTTTAAATAGTTCAAACTAAGATTTACAGGAGTTGCAATCATCTATTGCTATACTTGAACGCATAAGGCGTTCGTCTGAGGAAAAAATACGAATTTTAATTAAACTTTGCGTGCTGGTTTATGCGCAAACAAACTGAAAAGCCTAAGGTCTCTCCAACTATGTGTAAAAGGAAAGAGGAATTGTGCGGACTATTATTTGCTATTGATTCATTGCGCAAATTGGTGATTTTTGCCGATATTTTAGAGGAAATATTCTTTACTATTTTATTAGAGAGGATACCTGCCGAGATTGTGGTTTGCAGCGTGGTGTTTAGCATTTAGACTACAAAAAACATTTAACGACAAATTAAAAACATTCATTCCATATTTAGGCCCAGAATTACATTTACCTGTTTGGGAAATAATTCAGCCAATTTTATGGAAATTCAAGTTTTTTTTTAGTTATTCTTCAGGTAGGGATGTAAAGAATTAGAGCGCAGATTATAGTGGTTTATAAAAAATGCTTTGTCTCTTCTGGTCAAAACGCAACATTTACCTGTTACCTGCGTTTATCGTCCGAGCCTTTCGTTCTTGTTTGCTCTATAATTCAAATTTCCAATATGCCTGTGATATCTGTTACATTTCATCATTCTATGAACACGGTGGTTACCCAGTAACCGCCAGCATTAGATGAAAAAAAATTGCAAAACCGATAAAATTTAATGATACACGGACCTTAATTTTTTGGAGCAAAAGACTGAGCGAGACACAAGGCTAAACATTTTTCTATTTTTATTCATAGGCACAACTGTTGATGAATTACCCGATGTTGAGAATAACTGAACGACAACTTCGCGCTAAGATTTGCAATAACGTTGTTTTGTAGGTACTAAAATTCAGATAACACACGGTTTAAAGAAATGAATCTCCGATTTGCTTAGTGGTTGTTATGCATAGCATATGTTTCCCTGATTCGGCCGATCTTGTTTCTTTTTTCGCCACGGTTATTTTTGGAACAAGCTCCTCTATAATATTTTTTTCGTCGTCACCATAAAATTCGCATTTGGTACAAACGCAGTACACTTACCTAGAAAAAATAGAAGGAAATTGAAGGATCTGGAAACGAGGTAATCAAGAAGTTAAAATCCATTGAAGGATAAATTCGGCGCCCATTTCATCTCCTCGGGGACTCCAAGGAAAATCCGCAAACAGAGGTAATTCGCCGCGGTAAACACTAAACTTGACTTCCGGTTCTTTATTACTATGACAACCGGCAGCACATCCGCTGATACTTATTATGCCACCTGTCGCAAAAGTGAAAAATATGACTACTGATTCTTAGGTTGGGCCAACTGCCAGAAAATGCAACCTCCAAACAAGAAGAAATTGATGATGGGAAATCCAAATTGAAAAAAATTAGTTGTTTCAAGAAGCTGTGAACGATTTCTGCAAATTCATTTGTCTAAGAGAGTTTTCATCTGTCAGGAAAGCTTTTTTTTTAAAAAAAAATGTGAATTGAGATTTTAAAATGCGAACAGACTCAAGTTTGTTGCAGATGTTCAGCGAAACCCTCTATTTGAGTGAAACCAAGAACAGCTACCTCGTCGGTTTCAGGTTGAGGTATACCTAAAGATTGTCTTTGATAAAAGTGTCTTCCTTACTATTAACTATAACAGCCACACAAGACGAACCAAACACCTCAAGTCATTCCTTTGCTTGTTCCAGACGCTCAGTTGGCGAAAGGAGCGCTTGAGTGGCGCACAGCCTGGGTCGAGTTCCAAACTTCCCTTCAAAGGGAGAAATAAGGAAAAAGGAAAAATGCCTCTGTCTTCGTGGGAAGAGGACCTTCATTCAGGCACCAACCCAAGCAATTAAAACATTTTCACAGTTTTCGATGAGGATATGACATCCGTAAGATGCTTTAAGACGTTACATTAAATTGTGGATTTGCTTGTTGATGAATGTACATACACAGAAACATTCACATGAGATGGAAATCAAGCGGTGGATGAGGTATTGAAACACATGGATAAAAATCACAAAACACAAGCTATTTTAAGCCCCTTTTATGTCAATCGCATGCATGTCGTTTGAGGGATACTTCAGTACCTAAAATGAACTTATAAAGTCACTGAGCGATGCATTTGGAATACATTTTACAAAGAACTCTACATTTATAAACTAATTGATCTTTTTATGAGACATTTTAAGTCTCGTCTTGGCAATTAATTTGGTCGAAACCTACTACTCGTTTTCAACAACGAATTTTCTAGATTCCATTTCTGGTTTCATTTTAGAGAAGAATTAGTGAATCAATGAAAATATTAAATTTATGTTGGACCGTAATTAAACATCAATACGGTATTTGTTGCATAGCGAAAGCCTTGAAGTAAGAATCCTAACACTGCTTATGACATATAATGAAATGATAAGTCTGAACCTTCTAAGAGTTAACCACTGTCAATAAAGTTCGAAGTTATAACTTGTTGATATTATGGGGCTGTGACTGTAGACTGCCTTTCAAAAGCTTTCTTTGGCCTGGATCTCATCTCGCATGGCGGGAATGATTCCCTTATTAAAGGCCACGTGTAACAACTCATCGACATCTTTGATGTTGGGATATTCACGCACCGCCCACTTGAGGTAAACCAGGAATTCATTCCAGTCGATGTACCCGTCATTATCCATGTTGATGGCTTGCAGGGCCTTCTGTGTGTCAGCGCACATGAAGCAACCAAAGTAGGGAGCCATGAACCCGTTGTAGAAAGAGCGGAACATTAGCTGATCGTCATTTGGTTTATCTTCCTCGATGTCCCACTCGTTCCACATACTGCGAACCTCTTCAATGAGATGTTGGGCGTGTAAACTCGTAACTTTCACTCGTTGAATCACTCGAGCCATGTTGGCCGTGAGTTTTCCTCCTGCGCGATCAAACAGCAATGCTATACCTGCCTCGCTCATGTACTCTTCTTTCCTATTACCACTCAGGTCTTCAAGCATTTTTTCTTTCATAGCCCCAGCCATTTCCATCGTAAACTGCCTATCCTCACCAAATAGATCTATCAGCCTTTCCTGGATCATACGCTCGGAGGAAAGGGTGCTGATTCTCACCGGAGCCTCCACTCCAAAGAATGCCGCTAAGTCAAAGTCGGTTTCCCCAACGGTTCCACCTGCTATGCTTCCAAAGTCAAATGCTAAGTCCAGCGCCCTGTCGCCATAGATGACTTGCTTGGGATGGGGTGGAAGGCCAGTGGTGATCTTAGTCACGCTAGATGCAGCGTCCCTCAGGGCGGGGCAGTTGTAGCGTTTTAGGACCTTTTCGTTCCCCATTCGAACGAGGTTCATCAGCGTGACTGTAGAACATGCGTGACCAAGAGCAGCTCCCTCTTCACAAACGCTTGCCCAGATACCGTTAGCTCCGTTTATAAGGCATTCAAGCTGCACCATTTCTCCAAGAGCCCACTTCTTGTGAACATGGACGAAGAGGTTTCCATTGCTCCAACCGCGGGAGTCCATGATCTTTCGTACACCTGCGGCATACCATAGGATAAAAAAAAATGATTTAAGAGAATGACACTGTTAACAAGTTTTCAAACTGTTTAAGAATTCAGAAAGGATAAGATGAAAATTCCAAGTGCTTTTAACAGTCCATTTACATATTTTGCTTTGAGCTTACAACAGGCTAACTTGCTTTCTCAGTTTCGGATTCCTACGTGACTGAAATTAGCTAGTATACCGCCTTACCAGCAGTCCAAGCTCCAACCTCCTCAGGCAAATACTTGCCTGTTGGCTCCTCAAAGATAATTCCAAAAGGACGTTCCGTAACAGGTAAAGATGCCATGAAGTTCACAACCTGTAAGAGTCGTTCCATTTCATAGACCATGGCGTCTGGAAAGTCTCTTAGATTTACCAGGATCTTGGCATCTGGGGACAGATATTTTCGGCTCCATTTGAATCTTTCAGTCAGCAGTAGGCACATGTCCTTCGTGGTGAATTTTTCCCAGTTGATACTTCTTATGGCCAAATCTATCTCTATGATAGGATTGATCAATCCCTGCTCTTGCATCTTTCTCAGACCCACTGGAATAGTTTTGGTGTCAGGAATACCTTGAGAGATCGACTCGATAAACTCACTGAATGCAAATAGGTTACCCAGGTCTTCTTTGCCTTCCTCACAATCACGGACGATCGCAGCGACCCAGTAGTCATCCACGCGTGTCATATGGGAATAGGCTGCCACAATCTTGAATTGGAATCCACACTTTCTGACTTCATCGTAAATCCTACGCTTGTTTTCCAATGTGTGCCCACGAAGCTGACCCACAGTGCTCTCACGAAGTGAGTTGTCTAGCACAATGAGGTCCAGGTCTTTCAGTCTGGCTCGTTTCTTTTTCTCTTTCGCAAGGTTATCATTAACATCTTTCATGATTTCTTTGAGTGACATGTTTTCGTCAAGTTAACCTGAAAAACGATATCACAGGAAAGCTGAACGAGCAGCAAAAAGTTTTCTTTGAAACTCCAAACGTTAAATTTTTGGATGCAGAGATGAATAAGGTATTAACACCGAAAGAGATGAGGATTTACCAATGAAACTGCTGTGAATTCGAATGAGTTAGTAGACATAAGAAATTTACAACAGCAAAGTGACCTAGATATGAGGATCTAAAGATCAAAGTTTAGTTACAATAGGAAGCTTGCAAAGTAAGAGTACATGCATGCGATGTTTTATAAAGCGTCTTTTTCTATGTAGAAGGAAAAAGATGAAGAGAGGGCATTATAACTTACCAAGAGATGACAAATGTAACCAGTCGATTTCTTTGTTAGCAGTCTTTACACAAACAGTGTCCGCTTATAAAGGAAAGTTCTGGACGATGAATGAAAAGGGATAACAAAAATGGTCACTTTATGTATGTCCAACAACAACGAGGCTCCCTATGATTGGCTGAGTGTTATCCTAATTTAATCTTTCTTTACATATTATCTGGGATGAATAAAAAAAGTCTTAACATATTTAAGATTGGATATGGCAGTGGCATTGTGGAAAAATAAACCATTGGAGAATATCTGGACATTTTTTTTTATATCTACTTTGGAAGTACCTTTGATTCGAATGAAATTTGGGGAATACGTTTCTAAGACTAGGAACAAGACCTGATTAGATATGTGTTATTGAGTTAATATAATTGCTTCAAAATGTGTTTTTTGGTAAAAATTTAAAAAAACCTCTTTATATTTAAAATAAGCTCTTTCAAGCTGCTTCATTTTTAATGACAGTTTCACACTTGATACCATTGTACTTCCTTTGCTGCTCGAGATCTTCAAGTTCTTCATTCCATCATAAAAGAAGGCTTTTTGAACAGCTGCCTAACGTCAAGAATTACAATTTTTCAATTATCATTTGTGATAATATCTCATTATCACCTGTAATATATATCTCATTATCACCTGTAAAATATAAAGGCATCGTTGTTCAAACATAAGCAAAGGTAATTACAGGGTTTTCATCTTTGATTGTGTTGTATGCAAGCTATTGTCTTTTTTGCCTCAACTGAGCATGTTGCCATGGGAATGTTCAAATTTTATAATTTTTTTAATGATGTTTTCAATGGTCTATTGAAGCAGTGTTTCCTAGCTCATTTAAATATCAAAAGGTTTATTTAAGATTATACAACACCCATTGGCGCATAGAAGCTATTGTTCTCATAATTGCACAAAAAATATCCCGGCATCGTTTTTGAAAAACAGACAAACAAAGTGATATGTTTTTTACCAAAATGAATGATATGGTTTTCAGTATTAATTGTGCATTACAGAAGCTATTGTGATGTAACTGCCACAATTTAGTAAGGCGCCTTGAAAATTTTCAAATTTTATAACTTTTATTTAATGACATATTCAATCCTTTATTGAGCCAGTGTTCCTTGATACCTAAAATTCCAAAAGAATTCATTCGATGCACGTTTCTAAATAGAACGAAAAACAACTTTCAGGATCGCTTCTTTAAGGATGTTGTTCCTGGCATTTACAAATTACTTGCTCGTAAAAACAGAACAACATCAAAGTGCTCTGTGAGCAAACTCGTGAATTGACATATGATTTTTTAGACTATGTTTAATGTTATCTGGTTTAGGGAATTTTGTGGTTGATTGTCATATCTAGAGTACGAGCAGTAGTTCAGTGTTCGCTAATGTAGCAAAGAAACAAAGTAACGTTGGAATAAGAAGGCATTACAATTGAAATGATCATGCTATTACATTTGACAAGGTGGATGATGTCATGTGTTTTAAACGTCTATCATTTTTGTTTCTGGTTCCAAAGAAAAGGTTGGAAGTAAATGTGGGTGAAAAGTGAAATTTACTGTCTTTCGTTGTAAATATTAGAAAATCAAGGCAATATTGTCTTAATGAAAACATTAACGATTCCCTTTTTATCAAATGAGCCAAACGGGAACGAGTTTCGAGTGATATAACTAAGCCAAGCCTCCCACCGTCATTTTGGATCTCCGCCTGGGTAGATTTAAGTCACGTGCTAGGCAACGTATAATCAATAACAAGATAGAATTTCATTTCAGGCCTATTTATCAATTTTGTGGTGTGTAACTTTCGCATTTTAGTACGTTGTATGTATATTGAATCTTCAAATTGTCTTGAAACTGAAAAGAAAATTGTTCTTTAAAAATCCACTGAAAATCGGTAGCTAAAATTGTTTGTTTAGGTGTTATCTGATTTTCGTGTTAACTTGTTATTTCGTCAGTCGCCGGCATCTTTTGTTGCTTCACACAGGAAAAACACACGCGACGAAACGTAATGATCAATTTTGTCCTCAATCTCACGCCATAACAGAAGAAGCTTTTGAACATCTGTAAACTCCGAGCGCTTCGCAGTAAGTGATATTTTCAATGAATCTTCGGATTGTTTTTAAGTTCAAGGACTGTTAATTACAATTTTATGAAAAACGAAGGTTGTTCTGTTATTTCAGTGTGAATCCTTGCATGCATGCCAGTCGCTGGCGCCGCTTGTTGAAACTAAAACGAAAAAAAAAAAACTCTTTTAAGATTATCATTGGCTTCTTTTTCACCCCACTACTATTCTTAGCAACAAAGGTCGCCATTTCGTCTGTTTATTGCTCGCCAAAAACTATTGGATTGGATTTGATACACCGATTTTAAGGTGTGGCATCTGTTTAACATTTCTTGAAATAATTAACTAATCCTGGGCATCCTATTGGATGATCCAAGAGCTATGACGTAGAAAATCCAACTACCAATTTGATTTTAAAAACTTGTGGCACAGTCTTAGGTACTCCAGTTTTCTTTTAAAAGTACTTCGTTGGTAAAATTTCTTAGCATGTTTCGCTGCTAAAAACAAGTAAGTCAGTGTATTGAAATTTTACGCTTGCCCCATCACTTGTCTTGTATTTCACTCGTCTGTAAATTATTGATTCAAACGGCTCCTTTTTACAACAGATGGGATCCAGATTTGTAGACTGATCCTTCTGTGCACATTATTCTTCATCTCTGGTTGTCTTGTTTTTGCTTTTGTTTTGTTTTGTTTTTTCTCGTAAACTCCTTAGTTACTTAGCGAGGCATACTTTTCATCTGAGAAATGGTGTGAGGCATAAACTCTTACTTCGGAAAGATGAATGGAAGATTTGAATTGGGTATACACCTTATCGCACCAAGGTTTTCGGAGAGTGGAAAAGCCAAAAAAAAAGGAAGAAAGCCAAATCGGAATTTATTAGCATAAAAAACCACCCTCTCGTTAAATGCTCGGAAGCCGAACAATTTTCGCAGAATTTTCACTGAAAAATTCTTTCAAAACTCTTGAGGGTGTCAGATATTGTTTAGCGTTTTAAGCGACTCCAAAAATTGAATAAAAAATTTATATGCTAATGTCTCTTACGCTATATTGTAATCAAATCAAGTAGGGGTTTTTTCCTTTTGTCATTCTTCTTTAGGTGTAATTATAAGGTTTAAAAAATACATTTTTTTCCGACCAACAACGAAATTAGCTTCGGTTTCCAAGGCTCTTTAAGTTCGGGTGCTAGTGCAAAGGTGTCATGTTATGTGTTATGAGGATATGTAGGTGTGCAGTGTCAAAGGTTTTTATCTTAGTCCCAGTCTTGCAGGCGTTCTTTTGCTTACCCTTTTTTCCCTAGCAAAATTATTGCTTTACTTTTATCTCATTCTTGTAATAAATGTAACGACCAGCGTCAGCTGGGAGTGAACAACCCAAAAGCTGGTACGTTTTGTTTTGGGAGTTTTACTTCTCTAGAAAAGAAATCAAAGTGAACAAAATACATTCTCAATTCGGTTGATTCAGCACAGTGACCGCCCAGAAAAATAAACTTTGCAGATAAGTATAAAAAAGATAGCAAAGAGAGTCTGTTTGAGTGTGTGTAACTGACAAGAGGATCGCAATGATTAGCTGAAAGTCAACAACATTCCCTTAAAGGTTAAGCTGAATGATAAAATCACCTGAAATTGTACTCAGGGTGTGTTTCTGAAATTTAGAGAAAGAAAGGAGTAAGTTTGGATGATAAATCAATAACTTTATAAAAAACTGAAACCATGAAAAAATATCTGTACAGACACTTCACTTGATCTACCTTTAGTTTAACCATGCACTGCTCCACCTACTGGAAATTCAAAAAATAAAATGATAGTAGCGTCGTAGTAGCGTTGGGTGTCAATGGCGTTCGTCTTCTTGAGTGTCAGTAATGTGCTGTTAAGTTTGCGTTGAAGCGCAGGAGTCGGGTCACGTTTGAGTTCTCTGTAAGTCTGTTTGACGTTAACAAGTGCGTCCATTTTGTTGTGATAGTCAGTCTTGTCCATGACAACAGTAACTCGTCCTTTGTCAGCTGGTATAATAACTATGTCCTTGTCGTTTCTCAGTCGTTTAAGGGCATGTTGTTCGTCTTTAGTCAAGTTGCTGTCATGTAGTGACGCTGATTGTATAGTGGAAGCAATTCTACTTCTGATGTTATCCTTAGTAGACTCAGGTAGCTCTCGTTGTCGAGACAGAGCCGCCTCAACACTAGATACAATAGCTTCGGTCGGTAACCGTTTTGGAGTAACTGAGTGTTTCAGTCCGCTTGACAGTACGCGAGTTTCATTCTTGTCTAAGGGACGGGAAGAGATGTTTCTTACCCAGTTGTCGTCCGGTTTACTTCGTCTCTGTTCTTTGTTGCGTGGAAGTCGTGTCAGTTTCTGTTGATGCCCAGTACGGGCACGTTCAGTCGCTTTGTTGACTCGTTTGTCGGCAATAGTCGTAATAGTTTCAAGTAATTCAGTAGGTACCAGTTGGTTCAGTTTGTCGTGTAGTTGTTGTCTTTTGTTATTGTAGCGTTTGAGTCTTCTGTGGCAATCATTTATCTGCGCTTTGACCAGTCGTCTGCAGGTGGCTTTGACGATCTGGATAGCCTCTTGTGTGACGAGGGACTTAA